GATCGCGGACGGCCCGGGATGTCCGAGTCGTTTGTGCCATAATATGGCAGTAGCCTTTTGTGGTGATCGTTTGGCTCGATTCATACGCACATGAAAGGCTGAAGTTGATGTAGTAGGTGGCTCGATAACCCATTGCCCATAGTGTTCCGATAAGGTGGCAATGGTTGAACCATCCCATCGTCGTAGGCTTGTCGGGTCTTCTCGATTGTCCCACCATATACCTTGTCTTCGGAGCAGCCTGAATGATACGAGGCTGCAGAGGAAGTCTGGGCACCAGGCAACATTGCTCAGGTGTAGAATTTGTTTGCCCTGAGCCCTCTCTGCCGTCACCTTGACTGCTCCGTATCCTTGTATCCAAACCCTTGAGTTGCCAGCCCAAATGTAATCTCCCATCGCAGGCGGGCGTACCTCTTCGAGCCTTGAGAGGTTGTTGCAGATGTGCGTCGTCGAGCCAGAATCCAGGATGAATGCATCCTTTAATGGGTATCCTTGATTGCTCGCATTGAATGCCGCTTTCATCATGCCCTCGTCCAGCCTCGAGATCTCGCGTCCATCTAGTCAATCAGTGACTGAGTCCGGTGTTTGTGATGTCTTAATGTAGGGTGTAATTGATCGTGATGCCGTAGTTAGGCGTGGTCGCTTCGTTTCCAGGTTTGTTTCCTGTATTATCCTTTGTAAGTCTGCATCATGCTGAAGTTTGTACTGTACCAGCTTTGTGATGTGTTTGTTCGGTTTGAACCAATCTGGGGTCTCCAAAGTTGGGTTGACATAGTAGCAGCTACTGATGTCATGGCGTTGTTCACAAGCAGGACATATGTCGCCAGCTTCTGCTGTATTCCTTTTCTGGAACTGCTTGGACTTGTTGCCAGGTGCATTCATTTTGCGTTTGTTTGTTTGCCTTTGGTTTCCCTGGCTAGGGTTGGTAGATGGCGCTCTAATTTGCACACTTGAGGCGTCCCCCTGTGTGTTCGAGTCGGATTCACCGCTCGCCGCGTAGGCTGCTTCACCCGTCATAAAGGCACTTCTTGATTTGCCTCGTGTTGGGTGAGCTAGGCTCATGTGTTCGCGGAAGAGTTTCATCATCTGCCTTCTTTCTATATTGTTCCGGTCGCTTCCCGCTCCAGTGAATGTTGCCATCCATGCTGGGGCAATCTTAGAGACTGCTTTTAGGAAGTCGTCCACAACCAGCTTGCTTTGTATCACGTCCCCTATCTTTAGGGCTTCGGCGCGAGTTGCAGCTTGGTCGTATTCGCTGAGCCATGATTCCCAATTTTGCGGGCTTCTCATAGGTCTCAAGGAATCGTGGTACCTCTCTCGTACCCTTCTGATCTCATCGTCGAGGTCTACTCCAACTGCTACCTGGAGGTTTGTGATCCAGGTGCGGAGAGTTCCATGTTCCTCAAAGCAGCTCACTTGAAGGTGTGGGCTAACTGTTGCATTCAGGTGTCTGATCATTGCCGCAATGTTTGTGCGTTCGTCTCGATAGTTTCGTTCGCGTATTTTGTATGATTCAAAAACCATCTTGAATTCCCTTGAGTCCCCATCGTATGCCTCCTTCCCCTCCGCTGAGAGTTCTGAGTATCGAGCTGGTATGGCTGGAGTTTGAACAGCAGGGTTGACTATGTCAACTGTATCTTGTGTAGGCGCTCGGGCATTGGCTCTCGCGGTTCGTGTAGAGGAGGATGGAGCTGATGATGTATTTCTCAGAGCAGCGGCTGGTTCATAGTCGGATACGAGTGGAGGGAGAGGTTCGGTCGGCTTTGTACGAGGCTGAGTGTTGCCCGCTGGATCTACAATGTCCCAGATCTCTAGGGCTTCGCATTGCATCTTGATTTGGCGGTACCAGGGGATCCATTTGCTCGAGTCGGTGAGGATGACTGTTGCGTCCCTCTGGCTCTGGTTTGTCGCCATTATTGCGTGTTCGTTGCTCGTTATAGAGGCAGTGAGACTCTTAATTGTCAGATTAGATAAGATATTGCACAAAAGTGATGGATGTTCATCATTGATTGTTGTTGTTCTCTGTTCTAAGGTGCGCGCTGAGAGTTTTGTTCTGCTAAGACGCTAACCCATTATTAGCTAGCGGTGTCGGCACTTTCGGCTCGACACGCCTGCTATCTGACACCCTTACACACAACACTAGTTGCCTAGCTACCTATACAGACATTTTTCTTTAGTGTTTAGTATCGCCCACGATGGCCAAACGCTCTCGAGTTCCCACCAATACTGCTGCCGCCGCCGCCGCCGCCAAACGGGCGCGCCTATCAAGGCCCTCTGTCCTATCTCAGCGATCGCTGTCGCCTCAGGAAACCCTTGGCGCCGCCGTAAGCCAGGCCACAACGTTTGAGTCGCAATTTTTCGAGTCGCAAACAGAGGAGGAGGGTGCGGCTGAGGGCAGCCAGGCTGGTACAGCAGCAACAACAGAGGCTAGTGTTGATACAGAGCCTGATAATGGCGATAACTTTGACGGCATTAACTGGGATCGCCTCCCTCGGTTCATGAAGCCTCTTACAACTGAGCGGCGCGTCAAGAGTTGGATCTTTCAACATGGATATCGCGTTGTTGAGCTCTACGATCAGAATCGAGTGTGGTTTGTATGCAAATACTGCCACATCCACAAGGTCATTGACACTGGCGGCAGTGGAGTTTTTGACGTATCAAAGGCCACCTCCTCAGCTGCAGCTCATCTTGGCCTTCAGAAACGAGGCCATGGCTTTACAAAAGACGGCCTGAAGCCTCGAAGAACAGGGCAGCAACTCTCTCTACGACAGACGCTGGAGACTGGTGTTGCAGTCTCTCAAGAGGCTGCCAACGCGATGGGCAACTTCAACATCCAGCAGTTTCGTGAAGTTGCAGTGTTCTGCCTTCTTGATAACAACTTGCCAATGGAGCTACTTGCAAGGCCGTCCTTTCGCGAGATGATTAGCCTTGCAAACCCAGAGGCAGAGGCAGCTTTGTGGGTAAGTCCTCGCAGTGTAGCTACCTACGCAATGCGCCTCTTCCAATATATGCAGCCACAGATTGTCTGCGCTCTGTCAGAAGCTGCAAGCAAGATCCACATAAGCTTTGATGGTTGGACGACAAAGGGTGGCAAGCGTGGATTCTTTGGAGTCGTTGCACACTTTGCTAACGCCTCTGGAGTGATACAAGATCTCCCCATCGCCCTCCCACATCTCGCAGGCTCTCATACTGGTGATGCTATCGCTGATACAATTAAAAAGACGCTCCAAGAATACAGTATTGGGAGTGATAAACTCGGCTACTTCGTCCTCGACAATGCTGCAAACAACGATACTGCAGTCTCCTCGCTCGCCCACGCGTACGACTTCAACGCTGCTCACCGACGCCTCCGCTGCGGCCCTCACACGCTTAACCTTATTGGCCAGGCAATTATCTTTGGCAGCAATCAAGAGGCGTACAACAACAACAACGACGAGCAGCTCCAAACAGAGGAGGTGTACATGCAGGAGTGGCGTCAAGAAGGGCCCTTAGGTGTACTTATCGACGTTATCAACCATATAAAAACGCCTCAACAACACGAAATTTTCCGAAGCTTCCAAACCGCCGCCAACGCCGAGTTGCCAGCTAGAGAGCGCCTCCACGTACTTGAGCCTGTGAAGCCTGTTGTTACACGCTGGAACTCTTACTACGCTGCCTTCAAACGCGCAACTCAACTCCAGGCAGCATACAACTCTTACGCTGAGCACTACATTAACGCACTCTCCCTTGAAGATCGCCGCGCTTGTCAACGTGGCAATAAACTCCCTGAAGCACCTAGTTGGATGAGATCAACAGGACTTACAGCTGCTGATTGGGCGGTGATAACAGAGTATCAGGACTGCCTAGAGCCGCTTAAGCTTGCTACGGAGAAGCTTGAGGGTCGCGGAAAGGCAGGCAAATACGGCGCTATATATGAGACTATTCCTGTATTTGAATACGTACTTGGCGCGCTCGAAGCCCGTACGCGCTCGTACGAGCAAGTTGACTTCAACCCACCTGATGCGCCTGAAGATCACCTCTTTGTTAACCTCCGCGCCGCCTGGAGTAAGGCCAACGATTACTACAACAAGCTCGATCGATCGCCAGCATACTACGCTGCTACCTGCCTCCATCCATACTACAAATACTACTGCGAGAACAGCTGGGTGGATAAGCCAGAATGGCTAACATCAGCCAACGCTGGCTTCCTGCAGCTCTGGCAGTCGTATAAGCCTCAACGTACACGTCCTCTATCTCAAACAACTGCAAAACCAAGGCATAGAGGAATAGATGATGTGATTGGCGCCCTCGTACGGCGCAACAAGGCTCAGGTAGAGGCTGCCCACGACGATGAGTACGAGCGCTGGAGAACTCAAGAGCCAGAGTGGACAAGCGAACAGTATCTTAGCGATGGCCACCCAGTCAAGTACTGGATTCAATTACGCTCAAAATACCCGTGTTTAAGCCAGTTTGCGATTGATATACTCACGATACCAGCATCTAGTTGCGACTGCGAGAGGCTCTTTAGCGAGCTTGGCGATTTACTTGAGCCGCGCCGGCGAGCTCTTGGCAGCGAGTTACTTGCTGCCCTTCAGCTTGTACGTTCGTGGAGACGAGCTGGCTTTGACGGCTTGTACAACAACGGTGATGATGAAGATAAGTGGAGTGACGTCAAAGATGAGGAGATTGTACAACAGTACGATATAGAAGGCTGGAGTACAACACCATAACCCCCTGTATACTACTTCTTAGCATCAATCAGCCAATCAACCAATCAATCGCAATCAATCTGCTCAAAAACCCTAACAATCAATCCGCAATCAATCAGCAGCGTCGCCGCAAGCTAATCAAACCAATCGACAACCTTAAGATTGATTGATTTGATTGTTGCGGAGTCTGTCACCCGATGAGAACTGGAAATCTTTTTATCATACCTATATTCATGACAGTTGATGTAGGCAAGGCGGATAGACATGAAAGCCATTGCTTCAATAAGATGAATTCTTTGGATCGAAAATTTGATGTTTACGAGAAGAGTGGTGTATAGAGTTACGAAAAAGATATTAGACCCTAGAGCTGTAGCACTAGCAGTGTGTAGAAGCGCGGATATGTAGTCAAGTTCAGTTTCAACGAAACGAACAGCCGCTCTATCTAGAGGTTGATCTAGGACTGTGGTAATTCTGTCTATCACTGGGGTACAAAGTGTCTAGTTCCGAAAGAATAAAGGAGATGAGATACCAGAATACTCCCTTTTCTTCTCGTGTCTATAGTAAACCCCCTGACTGTATTCCCAAAGGACTCCGACCTTACACACCACCTCGTCTCTCAAGCAGAACTACCTTGTTGCTTAGCCTTCCCACCTCCACTCACCTTGGCAGGTAAAAACCTCAGCAGCACAAAAAGCCCACATGCCAAAATGACCTGGAAGACCCAAAAGAGTTGACCACCCAAAATTTTGTATTTAACGCCAACAGCGTATATACAAGTCGCAAGAGCGGGTGCAACAGATCGGATTCCACTCTGAATCGCCAGCGCCAGAGAATTCAGGGTCGCAAGCGTCTCATGCGAGGGCGAGATGTCATTGAGAGCAAGTTGCACACTCGCTGCGAACCTGTCAGCGAAGCCATGCCAATACGATTATACGAGCACTCACTAAAAGCCATCGCAACACCGCTAGCAAGAACCACGAACGGTGGCGCAGTAGCCCAGAAGATGACATTCTGCCCATACCGAAGCAAAACGTTGTACACCGGAGCGAGAACAAACAGAAAAGGCCAGGCTGCTGCACACAACCAAAGGACACGACCAGTACCTAGACGGTTATGAAGTATGGGGAATACGATTAGTAGCCAAGCAGCCTGAGACGCGCCGTTTAGACCCGTGCATGCTGCAATCAGGCCCGGGGTGAAACCAAGGCCGCCCAAATCGACGGGCGTATACTGCGCTACGGGAAAGACGGCGGTGAAAGTGAAGGCTAGAAGCATAATGTAGTTGTAAATGACCAATACTGGAGTTACGCCAGGGTACTTGATCAGTTCCCAGATGGACATTTTGGGTTTGGAGTTGGCGTCGTTCTTCTTATCGGTATGGATATGCAGCGTCTCTTTTACGAAAAGCACAGTGGTGATGACAGCCAAAAATGCCATTGTCGCGACGATGAAATTAGGCAGTGCATAAGGGTAGTCGTGCCAGAATTGCATTTTGCCAAACGTCGAAGGGAATTTGTTGGCTGGCCGCTCCAAAGCACCTTGAACGGATAATTAGCTTGTGATCATACACAACAGAGACCAAACGGAACATACCAATAAGCGGCCCAATGAAGATTCCCATATTGCTGGAGAAGGCAAAGAAACTGAATGCTCGTGCTTGAGTGTGCTTTGTGCTATTCTCGGAAAGCATGGCGCGCACGGTGACGACCGTCCCCGCAAAGACGCCTTCCAAACATCTCGCAAACACCATCTGCCAAAGTGATTCGCTCATTCCGAACAGCACAGCAGAAACAGTCAGACCACAGAGTGATAATATTAGTACAGGTTTTCTTCCGTAGCGATCAGAGGCCTAGTGGTGTGTGAGCAATGCTTTTCATCCAAAAGCAAAGAAAAAGACCCGTACCTTCCCCCAGAGAATCATGACACACATCTGCGTCGCACTGAACAAACTCTCAATCAGACCAGAATAGAACCCTACGTCCTCTTTTTCCATGCCTCCGACCCTCTCAATCATGAAATTGATATAAGGAAAGATGGAGAAGAAGGCGATGGGGGCTATACAACTCGTGTAGCAGAGAAGAAGGATCTGTGCTTTGGGTAATGGTTTTTCTTCATATTCGTCGTCTGATCCATCTTGAGCTTCTGTTGAGTTGTGTTGAAGCGAAGGGTCAACGGGCTCCGGTAATGGAATTGGATCGACATGGGATAACAGAGGCGTGTATTCATCTCCTGCATCAGATATGTTGGATGGCGGTGACATTGTGATGAGGAGTACGAAACGAAGACTACGCCGGGCGCGTATCTTATAGCTCGGGAACTTGGTGCGGTCGCGTGCTTGCTTGGTCTAAAGAATAAACAAAGGTTAATGACGTCCAATGGGTTCTCTTCCAGAGAAATCAACAACCATAACAAACCCTTTAGGAAAGTGAAGAGGATATCTATGAGATGTCAGACTGTTTATAAGCAGTAGTCGACCGGTGTATCGGTGCCTCGGCGACTACCGATATCTAGTCCCAATCCATCCAAGCAGGTTCTAATTGGCTCGTCCATCTTATGGGATGCCTATGCCACCGATTTGTTTCCATACATAACAGTATGCTTACGCCATGTGATGTTTTACTAGGTAATCGCTGACTACGATGTTGTCGACAGTCCTGCTTTCCCCGACATGCAAGTAACTGCCGCCTACGTGGGTAGAGCAATTTCACGTCAACACAGGTCACAGGGCATTTTTTAGGGATACGAAAGTGTCCATAGGCTTTAAGCTACAATCTTAAGATCCTTACTACAGCACACTGTATGAGCTCAAGCTCCTCCATAACTCAAACACCCAACCATTGGCCCGCTGCGCTATTTTATGGACAACCGACATATGTGAGACCCCGGATGACAAGGCGCCAATACAACGATGTTTCCCGCTACTAGGCTTGCCATGATCTCGAGAATTGTACGCAGGAAGACGCTGAGAAGGAAGACGTCAGTCGATGAATCGTTCGAACGCGTGATTGCTAGTACCTTAGAAGCACTTGCGGTGGACGATGGAAGGACCGCTCTCGTCGTACTCCTGCTTTGAGATCCACATCTGCTGGAAGGTGGAGAGCGAGGCCAGAATGGAACCACCGATCCAGACGGAGTACTTGCGCTCGGGGGGAGCGATGATCTTGACCTTCATCGAGGATGGGGCGAGCGCGGTGATTTCCTTCTGCATACGGTCGGAGATACCAGGGTACATGGTAGTACCACCAGACTGAAGCTTGTTAGCTGGGTTACCCTGGACAGCGCGCTGTGTAACATACCATGACAATGTTGCCGTACAGGTCTTTCCTGACGTCGACATCGCACTTCATGATGGAGTTGAAAGTGGTGACGTGGATACCACCGCTCTCAAGACCCAAGACGGAAGGCTGGAAGAGAGCCTCTGGAGCACGGAAACGCTCGTTGCCAATGGTGATGACTTGACCGTCGGGAAGCTCGTAGGACTTCTCCAAGCTGGAGGACTGGCTGGCAGTCTGGATCTCCTGCTCAAAGTCGAGGGCGACGTAGCAGAGCTTCTCCTTGATGTCACGGACGATTTCTCGCTCGGCGGTGGTGGAGAAGGTGTAACCGCGCTCAGCCAAAATCTTCATGAGGTAGTCAGTCAGATCACGACCAGCCATGTCAACACGCGAAATGGCGTGGGGAAGAGCGAAACCCTCGTAGATGGGGACAACGTGGGTGACACCGTCACCGGAGTCGAGCACGATACCGGTGGTACGTCCGGAGGCGTACAGGGACAGGACAGCCTGGATGGAGACGTAGAAGGCGGGAGCGTTGAAGGTCTCGAAGACAATCTGTGTCATCTTCTCACGGTTGGACTTGGGGTTAATGGGAGCTTCGGTGAGAAGGACGGGGTGCTCCTCGGGAGCAACACGCAGCTCGTTGTAGAAGGTGTGATGCCAGATCTTCTCCATGTCGTCCCAGTTGGTGACGACGCCGTGCTCAATGGGGTATCGCAGCGTAAGGATACCACGCTTCGACTGTGCCTCATCACCGACATATGAGTCCTTTTGGCCCATTCCAATCATGATACTGCCATGCTGTCAGCGTGCGGATTACGGGATGGGAGGAGGAGCTTGGTCGTACCCATGGTGACGCGGTCGGCCGACGATGGAAGCTTCAGAAGGTCAGCCATTGTGTCCTCTTTAGCGCCAGAGGCCACAAATGGGCGCTCGGCGGGCGTAGAGGTACTTACGGAAGACTGCTCGGGGCGCATCGTCACCGGCGAAACCGGCCTTGCACATACCCGAACTGGCAATTGTCAGTTCACGTCCATTGTATAGCTACACCTCGCGCGCTGCCGTAGAACAGCTGCTTGAGCTTCGAGACGACGCTGGCGCGGTCGATGCGGACAGCCCCTCCACAGCAGGGATGGCCGTGATTGGTATCGGGGGTTGCCAACTCACCCATTGTCGATGACGAGGGCTGCGACTTCCTCTGTAGTGGGAGGGACAGGTTAGCAGAGCTCATTGAGATAGACGCAAGGGCAGATGAAGATGGTCATTGTTGTGCGAGGTAGGGGCTCAGCTGCTTACCCTCCATGTTGATTGATTAGGGTGAGATTAGGGTAGACGTGGAGTTTTGGTTTATGGGTCGATGTAGTATCGCTGGAGCAATTGGGTGTCAGTGGAATTGCTCAGAGATGCAGCTACTGTGGGAAAAAGTAAAGAGGGCTGAAGGAGTATGGGGGGAGCTTACAGGTTCGGCGGCGGTGTTGAGGTTGAGGATCTTGTGCGCGAGGCAAGAACTGGGTGTGCTAAATAAGCGGGTCGGCCTTGCCCAGATTTAGCGGGGTGGCAGGAGCGCAGGAGCAGCAAAGGAGGATTTGCACGAATGGACGGCTCAAGGGGGATGGTGTATAATTTGGCGATTAGGCTTTGATTTCACCATGATTACTGCCACGGCTCTCTTATAGACGCCCAAGGAAATCTGCTCCAGGCTGCACAATTCTTCTCAAGTGGTTGCCAACGCTGAGTACGCAAGCTGCACGCCACACCAGTATGGAAGCTGCTGTCCACGCACGTCAAACCGTCACAGACCGCCAGGCAGCGAGCTTTGTGACTTGGCAATGCGCGACCACTCAACCCGATACTACGTGTTCTTGACGGCCTTGTGCTGGGAATGCACAAGTGCTGGCTTGAAGCACAGAGTCCCCAGCCATCCGCCATCCGCGTCTGCTCACCGCCAACTCGCCCTGGTCCCGCCCAATCCGAGCCACGAACACGCGTGTCACGTGCAATGAGGGGCAGCGGAGCTACCCGATCCAGATGTCTGCTCTACACATCTGGAGTCTGTACGCTAGCAGACACGAACGAGCACCCGGGGCAAACGACAAGTGCAAGATGCATGTCAAACATGGCATGTGTAGTGCAATGCTGACTGATTAATCTTCGGGTTTCCATTCCGATGTCTTTCCAACCCGTCACGTGTCGATTGCACGTCTCGAGCATGCGTCCTGCGTGGCTGTTGGCGCATCGAAGGTCGCCGAAGCCGCTGGTCTCTTCCCGCATGCGTCGGCGCAATCAGCGTCATAAGTGCCGCCAAAATTATTCAGCCTCTACATAGCCCGCACTGCAAACATCGCAACTCTCCACACAACAAACCAGACTCACCAACCTTTACACGACATCATGAACGACCCGGGACTTAACAACCTTCTCAAGTGGGGTATCCAAAACTCCGAAGCCTCGCGCGCCGATGCTGCTGCTGCAGACCAGCCGCCGCCAAAAATCGATGTCGAGGCCCTGCAACGCCTCATGACAGGCATGTCAGGGCCTTCGGACGCGGAATTGATGCAGCAGAGTATGCAAGTCATTCGTAACAAGGACGCCGAACTGGAGCACCGGACCACCGCATTCGACAACTTTGAGCAACTCATCGAGAACCTCGACAATGCGAACAACATCGAGAGCCTGGGGCTATGGATGCCCCTCGTCGAGCAACTGGAGAACGAAGAGTCTGAACTGCGATTCTATGCTGCATGGTGCTGCGGAACCGCTGTGCAGAACAACATGCGAACCCAGGAACGAGTAAGTTGCCCTTGACACTTGAACCTCATAGACAGCATCGCTAACTAATCGCAGCTCCTTGTAGTTGGCGCTATCCCCAAACTTGTGCGCATGGCAACCTCAGATAGCGAGAACAAGGTCCGCAAGAAGGCCATATTCGCCCTTTCGTCTTCCGTGCGCAACTTCCAGGCCGCCCTTGATGCTGCAGTGGAGCACATGCCCGACGAGTTCAAGCCAGAAGGGCAGCTCGACGCCAACGACATGGAGTCAGTCGACGTGTTGATCAACAAGCTTCGCGAGAGTGTATAGGATATATCAGGTCGAGTTTGCATTGGGCGGCGTTTCGGTACTACAGCTGGATCAGCATGGGATGGCGTATGGACGGCAAAGGTGACTAGAGGGAATTGGAAGGATGGCATACCCAGGACTTGATACAGCAGCGATTGTCGCTGAGCATGTTGTGAGCACTGCATAGAATAGCTGGCTCGGAATATACGACTTTTCATATGACCCCCAAGACCAGTCCAACCAACTCGCTGAATGCTTCCCTCCCAACCATGTTCTTGTCCAGGCCCATACCCACTACTACCATCCGGGTCTCTCTATCATCGCGTTGCTTGATAGCGCTAGCGATCTGCGTCGCAAGTGTTTGGCCGAGGACATCAAGTTCTGCCACTGTGCCGCCGAGAATAGTTGTAGCCGTGAGGTGGTGCATGGGAAGGAGGTCCGAGTTGGGGTCCTCTTCGTCGCGTTCAAGGTAGGCGTTTGAGGTCATCGCCGCATCCGTCGCCGAGATATCAAGTGGAACATGAACCTGCAAGAGTTAGTGAAAGTAAACAGCACAAACTATAGAAGTCGTACCCAATGCGCCAATCGCCCGTTTTGTGTGACGGTGATAAGGATCTTGTCTGCGAAGTTGACCGTGGTTGCTGTGGTTTCGGTGTTCTTGATCGCTACAGTGGCAGTCTTTGTACGCGCAGGGTATGGCGTCGGAGTCACGACATAGTCGTCTGCAGAAGTTGTTGCTGCCATCCTGCCGTGGTGTGTGTGTTTCAGCTCGAGCCTCTGTCGTGCCGCGGGAATGATGCGGAGGGTTTGCACTAGCGTCTAATCCCCGCCAAAATTATCTCGGGCGCATCAAAGCATCTGCAGCCTTCAACGCCATAACCGTCAATATGCCCAAATTCGTGCCGCGACAACGAAAGCACAAGGTCCTCGCTCGGCGGAAACCTTCCAATGATGGCGCGACTATTGACGCAAACGCTGCAGAAATTTTGCCCCAGGAAGAGCAGGAGCGCGCACAGAAAAAAGCCGCGCTCAAGGATGAGCTCACCCGGGAATCACAAGGCAAGATGAGCGGCAAGAAGAAGAAGCGACTCGATAAATACATTGTATGTGCTGTGTCTTTTGTGCGCGGATTGGGACGTGCAGAACTTTGCGACTAACTTTGACAGGATACAAAACTCAAGAAGGAGGAAAATCTTGAGCTACTGAAAAAGCTTGCTTCTCAAAAGATTGACACCAGCCTATTCCAGAGCTCCAAGAAACTGGGACGTGGAGGGGATACTAAGAGGGAGGCATTGAGGCGGGCGCTTGCTGAAAGCAGAGCCGGAATCGACGTCGCCAAGAATGAAGGACTATTACTCGAGAAGCATGAAGTCAGGGAGATGGAGGAAAACAGTTCAGATGAAGACAGCAGACCAACAACAAAAACTGGTCTGAAAGCAACGCCAGCGAAAGCATCCTCGAAACCAGCACCCAATGAACCCTTGCGAGAACGATCGCCTTCCCCATCACCCTCCGAACCAGAGACGCATACCTCCGCTACACCGCTCGCTGGTCCACAATGGACAAACGGGCTATTTGGAACTGGGCTGAAGAGACCCTTGGAGGTAGATGGATCAGGAAAACCTGTCATACAAGTACGCAAACGTCGAAAAGACCAAAGCAAAAAGCCAGTCGTGATCGAGGAAGAAGTAGCCTGGGAGGGGTTCAGCTCGAGTGAAGAGAAGAGCGAGCATGAAGATGTAGAAGAATCTGAGCACTCTAACGCAGAGTCGGAAGACGCTGGTACCGAGTCCGAAGAGGAGGACATGTCAGATGCAGAGTCAGGATCGTCAGAAGAAGACTCAGAAGACGATAGCGACGAGGAGAGCGAGGAGAGCGAGGAGAGCGAGGAGAGCGACACAAGTCCCGATGAAGAAAACAAGATCGCAAAGAAGGAAAGAACGTCGGCATTCAAAGCCTGGGCTACACAGCAAAGAAATGAGCAAGCAGGCTTCACTCCTACCAATCAACTCTCATATGCGCCTACGCCCGCCAATTTCAAACCTCGGGCTCCCGAGCAAGATCCTTTGCCCCCTGAACTCGAAACAAACACCGCGACCGATGCGACACGGAAAGCTTTTAGCGTAGTCGTTCAACGATCACCCGAAATACAGGAGTCAAGGATGCAGCTTCCCATTGTGGCGGAAGAGCAAAAGATCATGGAAGCTATACACAACCATGATGTGGTAGTGGTTTGGGGTGCCACTGGTAGCGGTAAAACCACACAAGTGCCGCAGTTCCTCCTGGAGTCTGGGTATGGAGCAGCCGATGGCCCAACACCCGGCATGATTGGTGTTACACAACCGCGACGAGTAGCCGCGGTGAGTATGGCCAAACGTGTTGGCGACGAACTCGGTGACCAGAGCTCGAAAGTGGCGTACCAAATCCGTTTCGACACCTCTACAAACGCCAAGACTGCCGTCAAGTTTATGACTGATGGTGTGCTGCTACGGGAGATTACTCAAGACTTCGTTTTGACAAAGTACTCTGCAATTGTCATTGATGAGGCTCACGAGCGCAGTGTAAACACGGACATTTTGATTGGTATGCTCAGCAGGATTGTGGATCTGCGAGCTCAGATGGCGCGGGAAGACCCGAAGAACAAGCCTCTCAAACTGGTTATCATGTCTGCCACACTACGCATATCGGACTTTACGGAGAACAAGCGCTTGTTCAGGGGTGAACCACCGCCACTTATCAAGGCAGAAGGCCGCCAATACACTGTTGTCAACCATTTTGCACGTCGCACCCAACGAGATTATGTCGACGAGATGTACCGCAAGGTATGCAGGGGACATCGCAAGCTGCCCAAAGGTGGGATGCTTATCTTCCTCACTGGTCAGAACGAGATCTCCCAGTTAGCCAAGCAATTAAAGCAAGCTTTCCCTTCTACACAAGGCAAAGATATCAAGGCTGGCAAGGTGGTCGTATCTCCGACAGAGACGCCGTTAGAAGTAGAGGACATTGAATTGGGTGCGCCAAGCCAGAATAAAACCTACGAGGACGACGACGGATCGGACTCTGAAGGCTCTGTGATTATGGGGCTCGACGACGAGGACGACAAAGAGTTTGAGATTGAAGATGAAAAGCCGGAAGAGACTGTTATGAACGTACACGTTCTACCTCTCTATTCACAATTGCCGACGAATCAGCAGTTGCGCGTCTTCGACCCACCCCCGGATGGCTCCCGGCTTATTGTGCTCGCGACGAACGTTGCTGAGACCAGTTTGACGATACCAGGGATCCGTTACGTATTTGACTGCGGAAGAGCAAAGGAAAAAAAGTATGATCTCGTTACTGGTGTGCAGAGCTTTGAGGTCGGATGGATAAGCAAAGCCAGTGCTAACCAGCGAGCTGGTCGTGCAGGTCGTACCGGTCCTGGTCACTGCTATCGTCTATACTCATCTGCGGTGTTTGAGCGCGACTTTGAAGAATATGCCGCCCCCGAGATATCAAGAACGCCACTAGAGGGGGTCGTCTTACAGCTGAAGAGTATGGGAGCGCCAGTTGTCAGCTTTCCTTTCCCAACGCCGCCGGACCGTGAAAGCTTGCAGAAAGCTGAGAACTTGCTTTCCTACCTGGGCGCATTGTCTGTAGACGGAAAAGTGACAAAGCTCGGTCATGAGCTTTCGTTATATCCTCTCAACCCGCGATTTGCCCGCATGGTCGCAATGGGCGTTGCGCAGAACCTTACAGCCGAAACCATTGCGTTGGTAGCCGCCTTGTCAGTGCCAGAACTCATTATACCAGAGAACAAACTCGGTTTGCGAGAGCCAGTCAAGGATCCTGAGGCTATCCGGACAGAACAGGATAACGTGGAAGCTGAAGAGCGATCCCGGTTGCGGAAAGCTTACAACGCCGCACAAGCAAAGATGAGCATTAATGCAAAGCAGAGCGACTGCATCAAGCTCAGCAACGCTATATGTGCTTACGCCTACGAACCCAACTCACAAGGTTTCTGCGAAGACATGTTCCTCAACGCGAAAGCTATGAATGAAGCTAGCCAGCTCCGTCATCAACTCACAAACATCGTCCGGGCACACCGACCGACAGCTATTGGGGGATACCAGGCTAAGCTTCCCGCGCCTTCGGAACGTAGTATCAATCTCCTCACTCAAATCTGCGCAGCAGGATTTATCGACCAGATCGCCATGCGCGCAGACCTCGCCCCCATACCGCCTGAGCTCCCCAGGAAACCAAAGACCGCCATCGATGTCCCTTATGTGACATTATTCTCTTCCCAATCAGAACGTTCAGACGATCCGCACGCGCAATACGTCTATTTACACCCTTCATCCATACTTGCGCGTACACCGCCAGCAAAGATGCCGGGATACATCATCTACTCGCACCTTCAGCGTGCAGCAACATCCACCATCAACGGTAGCAGGACACCGAAAACCCGCATGCACCCGTTGACGCCCGTCACGAGACCACAAATTATCAATATCGCGTTGAACACGCCGTTGCTGCAGGCTTCCAAGCCAAAGGGTAAGATTGTGGAGTTATCCAAGGACAAGCGCGAGTGCGAAGTTGAAATGAGTCTTATGGGTGAAAAGGGGAGTCAAGGTTGGGGTCTTGGTATTAGAAAAGTGGTTCAGAGGAAGGAAAGCGATGGTCGGTGGGTTATTGAGAGGATTCTTGGTTGAGAGGCGGTTTAGATATTGTGATTTGTTGAAACATGGGGGTGTTGGGGCTGCGCTTAGCCAGCGTGAAAAGGATCATCTTGGATTTCGCAAAAATAGCAAGAAAGAGTAGCAATACATTTTGAGATACCCATTCCACCCGATTCAGCCAAGCTACTCAGTTCCCTCTTCTCCCTGGGTATCTTCCTACCCAAAGAATCCACCTGCCTAATCTCTCGACACCGTAGTCTCAGCAGCAACATGCTCATTCATAAGTACCACAACCTCTTTCTCCTTCTCAACACTAGTCCTCTCCTTGCCCTTACCCTCCTCCTCACCACCAACACCGATACACTTATACCCGTTGAACCTCCTTGCCCCTAACCCTGCCGCAAACATCTCATCAATTTCCTCCAGCGTCCTATTCTTGACCTCAGGCAAGAAGAAGAAGACCCAAGCCGCAGCAACCGCACACGATGGTGCCCAAATGAAGCCGTATCTAGGACCCCAGTCCATCGCCTGGGGGTTAATAAAGTAAGGTGCCGTAAACGTCGTTAGCCACGCGCCTACGAAACCGGCGGAAGCGGCCAGACCGAAGGTATGGCTGCGGAGGCGCTGGGTGGGGAGTTCGCCGCCGGAGAGCCAGGCGTAGGTTGATATCATGCCGTTGTACTAATCACACACACCGTCGTTAGCATGAACAGTCTTCCATCAACTCCACAAAGAAAAAGAAGGGGGAGATATCACATACACTAAACATATAAATCCCCGTAAGCCCAACAGTAACTTTGCCCGTAGCCTTCGCATCCGGCGCCTTGTGATACACAAGCGCGATGATGAGTTGCAATACGCCACAGAAGAGCAGACCCGTCATGAGCAGTACACGCCTGTTACCGTAACGTACGACGATACAGGAGTTTGCGATGAAGGCGATTATGCTGATGGCGGAGAGAATGTTTGACATTGCGAAGGGGTCTTGTACTTTTGCCATTTGAAGGAAGTATGCTTTGTACGCTTTTCCCATCGTGTTAGCTTATTCATCATGACGGTGATGATGAAGAAGTTTGAAGACTTGAAGGAGGTATAGAAAGTGAACACAAACATACCAATAATAAACATCGACCCACTCGCCGCCTGCAACAGCACCGCGCCCACAGCCAACAAAGTCCTCCGTCTATCCACCTTATTCGAAAACATATCACACCATCCCACCCCCGAACTCGACTCCTTCTCCTTCTCAATCGCCGCCCTTATCGCCTCGGCCTCAGCACGCGAATCATGCCGTTGCGGTCTCAACCACTGCAGCGCCTTAACCCCCTCTTCAAACCTCCCTTGCAAAATAAGCCACCGCGGACTCTCCGGCACCCACCAAATCGTACACAAGATGATGAGCGGGAACACATATATCAACCCCAGCGGAATCAAATACGCACTCTTATCCGGTCTTTTCGCAGTCGCCCAGTCAACTATTGTCCCGATGAGTGTGCCGAACGAAACGAAGAAGTTGAAGCCGGTGAGAAATATACCGCGCAGCTCGGCGGTACTGCTTTCTTGGAGGTAGAGTTGGGAGAATGTCATGAAATAGCCGTTTGCGAGACCGATGACTAGGCGGCCGGTGTATAAGGCTGCGATGTGTTCTGTTGCCATCATTAAGATGTTCGCAATGAAACATGTTATACAGGCTGCTGCTAGACATGTCCTTCTTCCGAAACGCGTCGACGGTACACCAGCGGTGGCAGAGCTGAGGAAGGCGCCTAGGGTCATGAGGGAGGATATTAGTTGTTGGCGCTCTGGGGAGATGTTCCAGCCTGTGGGCGTTTTGTCGGTGCGGTAGCCGAAGATCTGGACGTTTGGTTAGGGATATGGGGTTCTGAAGATGGGGGCAGCGGAGATGGATGTACCTGGAGGAAGCCTTTCATAGCCTGAAGACCTCCAATCATGCCAAAGTCAAACCCATACTGAAACGGACTTAGAATCACAATCCCGCAGGCGAGGAAGAGGCGCGAGTGATCGCGCCATGTGTAATTATTGTTATCGGACATTTTGCCAACCGTGTGAAGAAGAAAAGGATGTTGGAGGCGGCATGCTGGGCCCAAGTGGCCTGTCCTTATACGGAGATGATGGCTTGCCTAGAAGGGGGGTTTTCATGCATGGGCTATTTATCCATCTGCCGAATGTTTTGTCCTTCTGCCAAGTCTACTGTGCAGGAACCTTGTGTTGTGTGACCTGTGACCCCACAGGTTGGAGCCAGTTTCCGCCCGGCTGCAGGGTGTGGCGGAGGGTTTACTTGGCAATGGGGAGGATTTGGATGTGGGGAGGGTGGTGCGGATAGGATATTAGATTGAGAAGACTTTTTCATGTGAGGTTTGGCAGGTAAATGTTTATTGTTTACTATAATACTGGCGCATGAGCTCTCGCATTATTGTCAGTGATTTCAGTGACTAAATAAGGGAAGCCCTGGGGGATTCCAGTGTTTAGCTCCAGCCAAGAAATCGAAGCTTTTCATCACGTTGTGGTACGATAATTCCGTGAACGGGTAGACAGGATATCTTGGAATAAGGCCTAAGAACTACAAGTCAGTGTGCGCTGGAGAAGCATGGGGTAGCAAGTAGTTGATGTTGGGGAAAAGTGTGGGTCAGACGGCTTCATGCGCGGGGAAAATAAAGCTTAGCTACACAGCACCTCAGATTACCAAAGGGTATAGCATCCCGTAGCCCGACGATGATAGCATCAATTGTTATTAGATAAACTTGCCAGGAAACAGCAGACGTTGTGTAGGCGTCAAATGTATGACGATATGATAGCAACGCTAGCAACACGACATCGCGACTGAGATGAACTTCCGAAACTCCCGACTGACATGCCACGCATACCGACATCGCTCCTCCGCAAAGCACATGCGATAGATTCTTTTCTGCCTGCCCTCTTCGCTCCATGCCGTGATCTCGATGCTGCGCGCAATGAGCTACGATGGCTGCGCGAACATGTTGAACATGTGGCGAAGGCGCGCCGCGCGAGGGGAAAGACGGTAGCCAAAGGTCCTCTTCTGCATCGACTAGTCAAAGAAAGAGCGTCTGGGAAGCCACTGCAGTATTTATTGGGTAGCGAGTACTTTGGCGACTTGGAGATACGCTGCAAACCTGGCGTACTGATCCCGAGGTGAGAAAGTCGCAAGAGCTCGTGGTGGGCGCATCTGTGGCTAACTTCCTGTAACTAGAGCGGACACAGCAGCTTCAGTTACACATCTCGCCGGTCTCCTCCAAAATGCGCCAAATCTCCCACCCGAACTCCGCGTCCTCGACCTCTGCACCGGCACCGGCTGTATACCCCTCCTCTTCAAATACCAGCTATCCAGCGCGCGCAACGACATAAGTCTCCGCCTCCTCGGCATCGACATCTCTCCCAAAGCCATCGGGCTAGCCGCAAAAAACCTGAGGCGACTACAAAAACACGGACAGCTCAATACCCAGGGGAACTTTGACTTTCTGCGTGCAAACGTAATGATCAACCCCTTTGTCGAGCAGACAGAAGGTATCCCATCTGTAAAAGCTGCACTAAACTATGCACTGATGCCATCATTTTGGGATATTCTCATTTCAAATCCGCCATATATATCGCCGTCGGAGTTTTGGAAGACTACTACCCGCTCGGTGCGTGGCTTTGAACCAAAACTCGCGCTTGTACCCCCGCTCAGACAACAACAGCAGACGGACGTGGACCGCGGTGACATGTTCTATCCCCGTCTACTGGAACTTGCGCGGGAAGTAGAGGCAAAAGTCGTACTGCTTGAGATTGCAGATATGCAGCAAGCGCTGCGTGTCGCCCAGCATGCACAAAAACTCCACATTTTCGACGGTGTGGAAATTTGGCGGGAGCAACCCAATGCCACTGGACCTGTCGCAACTAGCGAAGACGGTTTCACGGTTGTTGGACAAGGCAATGCTCGATCGGTGCTTTGCTGGCGCGGTCTGGGTACATCTTGGCTCGGCAAGTCTGGAACAAGCACTCCGGCCGAAGACGCAGTGCGTCTATTCCAGAGCTCCTGGGGCGCATTCCAACGTAATGATTATCAACCCCAAACCGCTGCACCGGGTGATGGTGATTTGCGGTCTTTGGAGCCGCAGTTCGATCTACAGGCGTCGTCTGGATATCGTAAAACTCCTTTTGATCGGAGAGTCGCCAGGGCGGCCGAGCTGTTGGAAAAGATGAATAGGAATGCTAGTAAATTCAAATGATGAGAAACGTATCTGAAGAAATGACGAAGCCAAAGCCGGTAGCATCCTCAACCGGTGTACACCAAATTCGAATTTGCGATTTTGGTGGAGACCTGTTGGGCGTCGTACCGGCTTTAGTTTTGTCGTTCTGAGATACCCATTTTGTTTCTTTAGTTATAGTTACTATGAAATCTATTGGAACAAGGTCCCTCTAGTAGTATGACTACTATGGATAACCGAGTGGGAGGAGGGACAAGGCGGGGTGGCTGCAACGTATTGTATTGACTATCGTGTTATTTGTCCTCCTCTCAGGCTGTTGTGGTGGATGCCATTGCCCACCGGGCAGTGCCTGCCACACCAGCACATCATGTGACCCCCAAGCACCTTCTACCTGGACTGAACCCAGATATTCTCAACAAAATCATGTATTGTAGTTGTTACTCCGTGGTTAAAGGAAGTTCTCAGAACACCAGTATCGCTTTTGTACATGTTCTTATAGATACAACTACTTCTCTAGATAATGTCTGCAATATATGTAATGAGGAAAATGACCTGCACATAAATCCCCAACGCCCATAACAGACGGTTGACGCCCCCTAAATATACATGCGAAACCGCCCATGATGACTCCCCATACTCCGGGCTATTGAAACTTTGTATACTTCAGAAAAAGACTTTTTTGCCTCGCTCCATCCGCGCGACACCTGCGGCCCCGTACAGCGCATGGCCTCAATGACTGTTGAAGTCACCTCCCGCAGAATCCTGACCAGGATTCGCCTGCTCATAGTTGAAGTACTTGACAAAGCGATAGTACAGCGCAGCGAACAAAGCCCCAAGTATGGGCCCAATCCAGTAAATCCAATGATAAACGATAAACGTCCTGGAAGCGACAGCTGGGCCAAAGCTACGGGCAGGATTGAGTGATGCACCTGTAAAGTACACGCCTGTAGAACGTTAGTTATACACGTATCGATCAAGTGGAAAAGAGGATAAAACATACCACCCATCATCGCCACAAACAGCGCCAGCCCGATTCCGATGGGGGCGATGTACGTGGACTTGCTCTTCTCGGCAGCCAGCATAAGCACGACGAAGACAAGCTCAGCCGTCATAAACGCCTCGATGAACACGCCCTGGACGATTGTCGTGCCACCCGAAAGCGAAGTATTGACGACACCAACGTCGCCCGGGAATAAGGCTTCAACCAGCGCGGCAGCACAAATCGCGCCGAGTAGCTGTGCCGGGAAGAGGAAGATCGCTCTGATAGTAGGAAGTTGACCAGCGACAACCATGCCGAAAGTAACCTGTATTTTCAAGTCAGCATCATCTTTTCATCTCGCCACACCCTTCAAGCGATCAAGATGGGAGTTTACATACCGCTGGATTAAACAACCCACCACTAATCCGAAAGAAAGCCCAACTATTAACTAACAAACTGAACCCATATACCAACGCAATAAAGATATTCTGCTGACTACTCGTCCCACCATTCTGAAGCGACCGGTCACTCGCTTGCGTGGTAATCATGAGATGACCGGAGAAAGAAAAGAACAGAAACATGAAGCTGCCGACGAACTCGCTGGAAGCGGCGACGATGTGACCTTCGAGTGTGCTAATCTTCTTTATGCTTTGGGCGGGGACATCGAAGGCAGAGGCTGTACGGGGCATGGGGCTGCGGGGTTCCTTTTGGCTTTCCAGGCTGGCGGTGCGGCGGGAGGAGATGCTGAGGTTTTGGGTGGTTGGACGGGGGCTGCGTATTGACATGGTGGATGGCTGGTTGTGAACGAGTCACGGGATATGGGGAGGGTATTGTTGTTGTATGTGTGGGTATAAAGTAGATATTTAATGGAGAGTAGATGAAGCTGGTGCAACATGTAGAAAAGGACGATGCTCAATCAATATACCTACAGCCACCTGTGGGCGATCGCGGACTGCGTCGATCAACGTTTCCTACTAGATCTCGCTAGATGGCGTCGAGAAGGGGCCATGACGACTGTGACGATGACATGCGTATTAAGGGTCCACGCCTAATCTACGCCACTGGGTGATGGCGCACAATACGTCGCCAATCATCGTCGTATACCAATTGCCATGTTTAGCCGAGTGGGGTGGGAAAACGTCGTGGTGAAGACAAATATCACAGTACGGTTTCATTATTCTGTCGACGATGTAAACTGCCACTGTGAGCGAAGGCAGCTTTGAAACACCCCACAATCGTGGTTGCTTCACGGCAGTGCATGATCCGCAGCTTAGCCAGGGGAGATGCTTGTATGATAGGTGAGATTTCCGATTGAATCCAGTGGAGTGCGCAAGAAACCGCAGTTTGTTTTAAATGGGCGCACGGGAGCTAAGTTTATCGAGAAGGTTAGGGGCTGGTTAGGTCCCAAACTTTACCGCTATCGCGGTTTCTGGTCTAAATGATGACATGTTGAGAGAAGCAGCGCCTTGTGATGATGGTGACATTTACGAGGCATGCGTATGCAATGCAAACCTCAGCTGCGCTTTTTGCCTTGGACTTGAAAAGTCTGCCGTTTCCGCCTGTCTTCCCAACGTGCCCAACCGGAATCGACCAGATCTTCTTGTATGACAAGATCTCTGACGCGCAACAACCTGAGAAGCCACGTCTCGAGCGCCCATTCAATCCAGCCAGCCCTGCGCAGATACGTGGTAAATGCGAACCAGACCAAGGCAAAGACTGCACCGGCAGCACACCCGACCATGACTTGCTTGGGTGTGTGGTAACTCAAGTATATCCGGCTGACGGCTACGGCGGCTGCGCAAACTAAGGCGAGGACCGAGAGGAGAAAACGACCACCAAGCGAGAAGGGGGTGTGGGTATCGGTAGGGTGAGGGACGTGGCGGAAGAGAAGGAAGAGGGCTAGAGTGACGGAGAAGAAGGAGACGAATTGGGCATGCGAGGAAGGCATTCCGTAACCCTTGCCATGCATTTCTGTCAACCTGTTAGTACCGTGATCCGGCAGCAGGCGGCATTGAGTATACCCCGCGGCCGCTCTTCCTTGATGTATCTCTTTAATACCCAATTGAGGGCTTCGCATGCCATTTGGCCCGCAAACATTAAGAATATCTCAATTTCACGGGTCGACCAGATCAGTGTCGCATACACGACGCATAGTCCCTGCGGAACCAGAGCGAGCCATGCGCACAGGTATGAAATGCGGTCGGCGGGATTCTACCCATGTTAGCAGTAGACAGTACAATCAAGTCATGTAACTAACATAATGCACATGCGTCAGTGAGAGCGACGCAAGCGGCGGGCCGTCCATATTGACGTGGAGGGAATGTATGTTTACTCGCCCTCCGCAGAAACGTGTAAGCTTGGAGGAAGAGAAGTCATGTGCGATGATGATGATGGCGCGTCTCCAGCCGGGGACCCTGGCGGCCTTGGCGTGGCGCGTGCCAGCATCCTCGGTGATGCGTGGATTTCTGTGTCTTCGCACAGTGTTGCTATTCACTCACAGCGACGACCTAGATGCTGAGGGCGCTGTGTAATCACAATTCAACTTTCTCGCCCACCATGGAACTGTATAAAGCATCTTCCTCGTTTGGGGTTCATAGGAGCAAATCGCCACACCCTCCCACCATTTATCACCGCGCTGGACCGCCGTGCTCTTCCCCCGCCAGTCGCCGCCACCTTTGATCCGTTTACTCTCTCGACCGCAGAACAACCCCGACATGGCCGATTTCAACACCGAAGACGAACGCATTGAAGAGCTCACTATCCTGCAATCCATCTACCCGGAGCTAGTCATTCATGATAATGACGACGATGCTTACACAGCCGCGCTTGAATTGCCTGTGGCGCCTGCGAAGCCGCTCCCTATCACTTTTCAGCCAGGCCAACACATCGAGCACTTCGCACACCTGCCACCTATTCGATTGGAGCTCGTGCTGCCTGTCGAATATCCCGTCCACGCACCACCTACCGTGAAGCACATCTCGACCTCGCCATCTTGGCTATCCGATGACCTCCAGCATCAGCTGGCCGACGAAGCGCAACTACTATGGAACGATTACGGCGGAGGCATGATGTTGTTCGCATACATCAGCTCTCTACAAGAGAAGATAGAGTCGGTATGTGGATTGACCGAGCTCACCCTGCCATCCAGCATGCGACAGGAGCTTGTAGAATACAGCCAGCGCATCGAGAAGGACCTGTTCAACAAGGAAACTTTTGACTGCGAGGTGTGTCTAGACCCCAAGAAAGGATCCGAGTGTTATCGCATGCAATGCTGTGCCCATGTTTTCTGCATCGCCTGCCTTCAGGACTACTACAACTGCTGCATAACCGAAGGCGAAGTCAGCAACGTCAAGTGCATGTCAACAGAGTGCGACGGTAATGGAAAGAAGAACCGATTATTGTCACCCAAAGAACTGCTTCAGATTCCCGTCGCACGCGACCAAGTCGAGCGATACGCGAATCTGCGACGGAAGAAGAAGATGGAAGCCGACCAAACCATCGTCTACTGCCCCCGCCAATGGTGCCAAGGTGCCATGCGAACAACCAAATATCCCAAGATCACCGATGTGAGCCTGATGGACGACGCGGAATCTGAACCAGAGGACGAAGAAAAAGATCCCGTGCCACAAGTCGTCGCTGAACCTGGATCTGAACCGGCGCCTGAAAAGCGCAAGATTGGCGTAGTAGGCATGGACCGTCTGCGAGTTTGCGAAGACTGCACTCTGGCTTTTTGTGTCGTCTGTCTAGCTTCTTGGCATGGTGACTTTGTGCGCTGCGAGCGACGCGACGCCACGCAGCTCACAGAACAGGACCAGGCGTCGCTCAACTTCATTTTGGCACATACCACGTCATGTCCAGAATGCAACGTACCTTGCGAGAAGAACCTAGGCTGCAATCACATCACCTGCCGTCAGTGCGGGGCGCACTTTTGTTATCTCTGTTCTGCATGGCTTAGCCCGGACAACCCATATTCCCATTTTGGCAACCCTGAGAACGTGTATTGCTATCGGCGCCTGTGGGAAGGAGCTGAAGGCGATGGGCAGCCTGGTGACTTGCCGCCTGCTGAGCTTTGGGAACGAGAGGCTTTGCGTATTCAGCACGAGCAGTAGCAGTATTTGACTAGTACGCGGCAGTCTAGATATCTAAAGACTAAAGCACATTCACCAGTAGTGGTAGCTTTAGTCTTTATTGCATCTCAAACATCAATCCGTTTCTCTACTCGGTTTGTTCCCACAGTCTGTTTTCTCAAGCAAGCAGTTAACGAACGATGAGTGCATCTCATTTCATATAGAGAATACATTTATTAGACAGACCCCACAGCATCCCAATGTGAAACCTTGATCATTCAACCATATGAGTCCCCACTCACTTTTCAGGAATTCGTTAGACCCGCGCCCAGGAAGCTCATCCTGTAGATGCCCCAGATGCAAGGGTACGGCGCAGTACATGAAGATAAGGCTTAACGATTGGCCTCGTTACGTAACTGCATGTCAGTGCTAGCTACCAACATCTATTCGCTGGTTAGACTGTATACCACGCAGTTCAAATCTATATCTCGGTGTCTTTTTTACTCATGTTTCCAAGTTATCATCACATCTCATTGACCTTCTCATAAAACAATTACACCTCATTGACTTTCTCAAAACACTTCCATTTTCAACATGCACCACCTGCGAGATTCCCTACTAAGCCCCGTGCCAAAAGGCCCATCGGATATCACTAAACCCGACGAGGCTGCCAACGATCGACAGGGTATACGTGACTCCATTGCTCGTGGGGAACTCGACAACGTCCGAGATGCAGCTTTTTACAATCGAACCTGGATAATCAGCGAAAGATACTGTAATGGCGACGGAGTTGACTCTCTCGAAAGCTACCTTCATTCCACCTGGTACATGTACTACCAACTCAGCCTCCACACATCTTACGAAACACATGCGCACGACCGCCTGGTCCTCGATATTGTCCGCACCCAAGGCATGGGACCTTTAACCAGACCCGTATCCGGCTACTTCGGCATTGACATCGCCCGAACAGTCGAAGGCACACTCTGGAACGACCTCCCCTTCCTAGTCACCGACATGACTGAATTCTGGACAAACGACTGCGCTATCCTATCTGCAGCCCAGCGCATGAGCTTTTCCTCTTTCCTCGCCAAATTAGCCTCAACCCGCGTCTGCAAAGACCGAGTCTGCCAAATCGCCCTCTTACTCTTCCGCTCCACCTTTGAGGAAACACGCTGTCTCTGCCCCCCAGAAGCGTCAGATGAAGTAGTATCCGACGAGGAAAACACCCGCCGCACTATGCGCGACCTCAGTCTCGCAGACCTCCTCCCCGCAGCATGCATCTGGATCAAAGAAGCCAAATACAACATCATGCAGCTGTCCGATGTAAGCTGGAACGACTGCCCCAGCACCGTCGGCCAGGGAGGCCTGAAGTTCATCGAATCGGACCTAGGGAAGCGCTCACCGACGGGCTTTACCCCCTGGCGGTGGATGTATTGGCTCAAGCGCCTCCACGAGATCAAAGAGGAAGCACAGGAAGCAAAGGAAGCCCGTCTGGTGGAATATGCAGAAGACGCTATTGAGAGAATGGCTAGTGGAGTGAAGGAACGCAATTCGGGTATTCTGCGGGCGTACAAGGATGGCGGGGAGGTGGTGCTGCAGGATAAACATTTGAGTTGTTTGGATCCAGATAGGCCGATTGAGGAGGTGGAGATTGTTTGAGATGGAGGGCCCTTGTCCTATTCCGGTCACAGTGTTGCACTGCTGAATACAAGGTTTGATTTACGTTGGGCGTGTTTTTGGTATCGAATCATCACTTGAGCTCGAAATGACCTTTGTCTTATCCCGTTCTGTGACGCAGCTGTAGTGTTCTACTTCGACCTCAAACATCCTCTTTTACGTTAGTTTGCGGGGTTTTTGTGGCTGATCATGGCTGTGAACTTGAGCTGGCCTGCCTTTCTCCTATTCCATCAAGCGGTCCTGCTGGGGTGGTTTAATTTGAATTCAAGTTCCCTGATCTACGTTAGTGGCGGGGCTTTTGTGGCTAATCATGGCTGAGAGCTTGATTGCTGACAATATATTAATGGGTTCCGGGTACCAGTACTGCGGGTTGAAATCGCCGAATGTAGGCCGCCTCGTCGCATGGAGCCGAGTTGGGTTAACTGCTCGTGAAAGTACCCCACAATGCACACTGCATGCAAGACAGACGGACATCTCGGGCGGATAAGTGCCGTTCTTTGGGGTAGATCTCCAGTGGCCTGCGTCGGGCGGCTTGGACTGTGGTGGAATTGTTGGTGTTGAGTTGAATACCTGGGTTCCGGCTTCATACCTGCTTCTTTTGGGGTTGCTAATCCCGATTTTCTTGGGACTTCACATGAGAGAGGCATTAAAAGTACACGTTGCATCCTACGTGAAGAAAGACTCCTGTTCTTCGATTACACTACAAGTCTCTGGAATGGCTACGCTTGCCGGTTTCATCTCTACAGTGTCTATGCAGCACAACTACGCTTACCTCTGACTAACAGCCTTTGGAATTTTATATTGCACATGACCACCGGTATCCATCTTTGCAAGATTCATGCAACATAAGCTTACCTGCGACGAACAGTACGGCAGTTCATATATTGCAGTGGACTACCAGTGTCCATCTTTGGGGTGATGACTGTGGGATTCAGGCTTCCCTTTGACTAACAGTTGGATGTCCCCCGCACAACAAGGCGTCCTCTTTCACCATCTTTTCAGTGCTTTTGTGGCACAGCTTACCGGTGAATGAAAGTCAGACACTTCTCATTGGACTTAATTGGAAGTCCACCTCCTGTATGGAACCTGGGATGCATGCGGTCATGCCGCGACAAAGCCGTTTCTGATTCCACTCGCGGAATGTAAACATACACAGGCAAAAGACTAAGAAATATTTTCGGGACGTAAACTTCATGTGCGGTTCCAGTGGCATGATCTATCAAGGCCCACGGCTTTCCCTATAAGAAGGGGCGTCAACAACCCCTTCTTTCAACCCCATCCCATCCGCAATACTTGCTTCTCAAAAACCGCTCTACACTTCATCTATCAATCCAATTCACCTTTAAATCACCGCTCTCAAACACCTTGACCATGCAGTTCACCACAGCCACCCTCCTCTTCCTCACCGCCATCACCGTGGTAGCATCCCCTGTTGAATCCGTCCCTGGCGACATCCGAATCAAGTTCGACGGGGTAAAGAGCCCAAACCCACTTCCAAATCCCCACCATCCACCTTAAACAAGAGTCCACCGCTAACTCCTTGCTCAGAAATGTACAAAATCCACCGATCAATGCAGTTTCACCCGCAACGGCAAGACTAGCATTTCTAAATGCTCTACTGCCACGGCTGTGAACTACAGGGTATGTTTAATTATGACTTGGGTGTTTTTGACGCTGCTGACAAGATGTAGTGCACCAAAGATAAGAACCCTTGCACCTACGATGACGTTGATGGAAAGACTCGTTGCACCTAAGTGGGCTATGGGCGGAATACTGGATATCCGCTTACCCTCATCTTTGGTACGCAAGAGGTATTGTGTGGACGTTCGAGCCTAATAGGTTGATATGAGAAGGGGGAAAGTTGTTAGTTAGGCTGGGTTGTTAGGAGATTCGAAGGGAAAGTTTGTTAGGATACGCTCGCTTTGTGGTCTATGGTGGTTACGTAGTTGTACGTAAGAAAAGAGCAGTCTTCTGCCGAACGATGCCCGTCTTGTGATCTTTCTGCGTTTTTGTTTGTATGCTGTTGTTAAACGAACATAGTTCTACAACGGGTGATGATATTATTCATTTGCTAAGTTTCTTTAAGATGACTTCGCACTCTTGTGATTTTACTCTATCCTGAATCTCCTTGTTCTCTTTAGCTTGCACAGCTAGGATGTAGTATAAAAAGCGATAAATTTGCTGCTCCTAACGTGTTCTCATTGGCATATTTATTATCATCTCTTCCAAGCTGTCTACTTACTTCTGGAAGGCTAGTGTAGCCGGAACATCGGTGATATATTGCGCTACCTAGTCGTTCTGGCACTACCAGTATCAGTGGCAATGAGGGAAGCTAGACACCAGAAAAACCTCAACGACAGCTCCTTTCATTTAATTGCAAACGCAAGCCTAAAACAGTGAGAACAAGGCTCATCTTCCTTGTGGATAGACTATTCTTTGTCGTTCAGATCTCTGCGTGCTGATGACGTGTTGATTCGCGTACTAGTTGGTGGTTGCAATATATATAGGAGTAGCTGACCCTAGGGTATTCGATGGCTTTGATCTGCGCAGGTTCAGTTGGATCGCGTCCTGCAGTGGTGATGGGCGATGGCTGTCGTTTGTTGTGTCCAGTCTTGCATTATATCATCCAATCTCGTGCACATAATACATAGGATGACAATCCTGTGCAGTGTAAGACTCCACTAGTTCCGCATTCTACGAATGACATTGCGAAGAACGATTTACAACCCACTGACTACCTAAGACCTAAGATAGTACAGCGGCGAATGCGGCCTTTTCTCATGATTGACACGCATACGGCCCGCATGATCCCATAGGAAAGCTTAAATCCAGCTCCGCATCACGATCGCGGCTGCGGATCATACCACGTAGGCAAACCACATTGCAAATCATCGCCATGAATGTACTAGCAAGATGACAGTAAGCCCTAATAAAAGAACCAACATTCTCCCCGGATGCGGACATCCGCGACAATCTAGAGAGAGAGCCAAGGAAGCCAACGCTCTTCAAAACAGGGGTAGAAGTAAGCAATATCAGAATCTCGTCGCAAACTTCGCTCTCGGGATGGAAGACATTGGATAGACGCATATTAGTTCGTAAAATATTAGCACAATAGCAGTAAGTATAGAGTTGGAAATTCCCTAATACGACAACGTTTAATCATTTTCTATAGGCGAGGAGAACAGTCTTGCGAGGATGTCAATGCGCTTGAGCCATAATACATGATCTGCGGCCTCTGCAAGATGCGATCCTTACCCAGAACCGTTAGTTGCCAACACCTTTCATTACATAAGATGTTGGGATCTGTACTCTTCGAGAACCGTTGATTGCCAACTCATTTCAACTATACAAGGCGTTGGGATCCGCGCTCTTTGGATCCAATCCTTCTACCACAGGGTTCTTTACAAAATTCTCATCCTCGCTTGCTCTACACGCTAATCCTACTCGTTCAACCAAGCAACATCTCAGTACGCAACTCTTCTATTTATATCGCCTAATGTAGACTTTAATCTTGCATGAAAGCTAATGTTGGTATTGCAGCAATGGTTATTACCATCTTCCAATCTGTCCTAGTGGGACTTTCGGCTCTATCCTGCATCACTCTACCTGTCAATAGCTTTGCTTTTGATCCGGCATCAACATTAGCAAAACGAGAAACTTGCCTGTCCAAGTACGCCACCGCTCCAGCTGGCACTCAATACCTCGGACTCGTGACCCTCAGTATTCCATCAGAACAAGGAGTAACTAATAAACTCAACAACAAGTGGGGTGAACAAGAGGTTGAAACGTCGATAAGTTTGACGGGAGACAGCCCCCCCAAAGCGTCTGTTCAATTCCAAGCTTCGGTTAACAACGGAGGGTCCTTGTTTATCAAACCTGTTTCCCACCCGGGTGCACCGTTGATGGTTGATCGGGCCGGCAGTTGCACAAATACCTACGAGCCTTATGTTCTGCCTTCGCAGATCTCATTTCAATTCTATCTCCTCCCTAAATAAACGCAGTAAGTCGTGGTATCTTCTTGTTTACAATTATGAGACGTTAACGACTTTACAGCTCTGTGCTCATCATTTTGACCCCTATTCGCTATACGCTTGAATTTGGTACATAATCGTCGCTATTGGCCCACACACTCCTTATTAGACATCCTGTTGCAGTACAATGCAGTCAATTAAAGTGTAACCGCGCGAGGCAGTCATCAGAGTATATTGTGTTCTGTTGTTGTTGTGCTGTCATGGCCACCTTATATGTAGCCATAATCAGGGTCTATTTACATGACGTATCTCTGATGCTGGTGAGGGGAGAAGGTGCTCATGGAGGGGAGGGAGGAGCGCCAGGACAACGCACGTGACATGCGCAATACCCTTGCCTCACAAACCGCAACACATCCAGTTGGGGCCTCGGAAAATTATGTTGGGCCTGTATAAAGCTAAATTATGTAGAAGGTTTAGAACTGTAATCGAGACCTACCTATGACGACATGTTCATCGAATTTATTTCACTGGTCATCTCCTACGATTTCTTTACTGGTTGACCTGATCGTCGCGAACGAACCATGTTCAAGCTACCTATGTACTCTGAGCATTTCCGGATCTTTGGCCAACATACAAAATTGCCATAATCCCGAACATGCCAATATTATATCAAAAGCCATGTAGAAATATAGGATACTTGCTTTGTTAGTCACGCGCCACGGCAGTGCCAGCATTCACACTGGAATGAGTCGATCAGTAATCTACGACATCTACTCGGACAACGACCTTGAGTAGAACACTTTAGCTTTGCACGTGATTTTCAGAGAAGAAATAAGTTTCTTCGTATATATTTGAGAGGATGGTGGATGTGAAATGGCAATTGGGGTGGGGCGAGTGGGTGAGTTCAGTGCTTACCCCGCAGCTTGGAATGGCTTAGTTACCATGTCCGTGCGCGTTTTGGCCATGTTCGAGTTTTGGCCACCCCAACAACATGAAGATACCAGAAAAATGAGGCTGTATCACCAGCAACAATAGCTATTAATGCGAAATCTTGTGGAGTTGTAGTAATTATATCATTGCGATTAACTTGTGCTACTTGTATTTACTTGGTAGCTTAGTTTTGCGGCCAAGGCGGGTGGTACGCGCTGGGGCGGCTGATGCAGCCTCCTCAGCTTGAACATGAGATGGAACAACAACGGCACGTTTCTGACGCTTTCTAGGTAGCTTAGAGGCTTGTGAGGCCTTGCGCTTACCCTTTTGGGACAGTTGTATAGCTTTTTCAGCGTCGCGAGTTGCTTTCTGGCGCTCCTTTTCAGCCTCCTTAGCGGCTCTCTCCTTCTCCCTCACTTCCTTGAGCCTCTCTTTCTCAACACGCTTCTCCTGAGCTTGATGAAGCCTGTACAACCGAGCTTGCTCCTTCATCTGAGATCTCTCAGCTTTCTGAAGTTGTTCCTGTTGTTTTTGTTGTTGTCGAACTGCTTCATCGTCCCGAGCCCGATGGACCTTACGAGGAGACCAAAGAAGAGCACCACCATAATACTCATGGTTGTTGTTGACGTTTAGAGTATAGCTCTTCTTCCTATGTCTCTTTTTCACCAAAAGAGCCTCCTTGAGGTCCCTGTTTTCACTGCTTAGGATACTAAGTTGAGCTGAGATATGGTGGAGACTTCGGTAAATCTTCTTTGTATCCTTTGCGTCCTTATCTCGCACTTGACGAGATATAAGAGTCTTGATTTTAAGCCAGTCTTCTGCACTAAGCACAGAAGTTGAGCTTTCATCTGAGCTTGATGCCTCTTTGCGGAATCTTCGGAGTATAACCTCAGCGTTAGGTGGGTGTATCCCAGTTGCTTCAAACGACTTCATGATAGTTTGAGGTTTAAAAGCAGCAGCCCAGGCACTCCAAAAGAGAGGAAAGAAGTCTCCTTTCGTTACTGGGATAAGCCCCTGGCTTCTATAAAGGTGGGATGAAAGCTCAGTTGAGTAGGCAGTCGAGAGAGGCTTGAACATCCCAACATCAAGCGGCTGAAGCGTATGGGTTGCATGAGGAGGAAACACGAGTAACAGGATCTTGTGGTCATTGCAGTAGTTGATAAAATCCATAGTTACGTGGGATCCATGGCCGTCAAGGAGTAGTAATCGGTATCCTGAGCGAGCTTTCCATCTAGTCTCTCTCTCAAAAACCTCCTTAAGCCAGGCAAGTCCTATATCGTTGTTTGTCCAGCCAGAAGGGGATGAGCCGATGAAGACTTGGTGCTTTTCTTTGTTGATTGCGTCCGTCCAGCTCGATTGTAGGGCTCCAGCAGCTGACTGGAAGATGAGCGCTGGCGATAGAGCTGTACCATCCGAACAGATACAGGCTAGCACCGTCACCCACTCTCTAGAGCCATCCTGAACAGCAGCTGTAATCCCTTTTCGATCGTATATCCTCTTGTCGAAGACCCTTTTCGATCTCCCAGTTACCCCAATCATGAAGCCCTTTTCATCCATATTGAAGATGTGGGAGGGCTCTACATTGTACTCCTTCATCTTACTGTGTAACAGCTCGAAGTATAAGCTGTACTTAGCTCCTGAATCAGCCTTGTGGCGATTGCGGTCCATCCCGGTCTGCCAGCGTGAGATGAGATGGGTTGGGTTTCTGTTGATGAAGCGAGTAACCCAGCTTTCTGAAACCTCCCTACCAGCCAAAGACGACGCAAGGGAGCGTATTATTGCTCGTGTAGGGGGCGTACGTCGCTCAGTAAGCGTCGTAATATGCTTTAACAGTTCGGTTTCTTGGTGTGGGTGAAGGATTCTATGGGCGAGCGTATGCGGCTGGTTTTGGCCCTGGTGTCTTCGAGCTAGCGTACGGCGACCTACACCATGTCTTTTTGCGACTTCTGAGTACGAGAATGGTGCACCTGATGCGCGCGATTCGATTTCTTCAATCGCTTTTTGAATCGGATCCATGGTGGTGGAGTTATGACGTGTTCTGTATAGGTGATTGTTGTGTTGGGGTGGCCAAAACGCGAACGTGGCCAAAACGCGCACGGACATGGTATGTAATCACAACCCGCGATTGGGTGCCCATGGCAAACAGCCTGCGTGGCCACGAAAGATGAGCCTTCTGATTCCATACATAGGTACTCAAGTCTGTAGGAAGATGATGCATTATTTTTCTTCAAATTGGTATCTCGTTCTTGCATATCCATAGTTCTGGAGGTCGACAAAAGCCAAGCCCGAGTGAAGTAAGCCTGGTAAGCAGTCTGGGCATATTCTCACTGCCGGGCGCGACTCAGCCGTAGAAACGCGTCACCTGGTACGTTCACGGGAAACACACCGCCAGTCGGCATTGGTATACCATAACAAAAGGCTTATGTAGATCTGTCTGGCGATCTTTTGAAGGCGAGTGGGAGCAAGGCATTCTTCTACCGCGATTGGAACAACAATGTGCGGAGAGAAGGAGAGAGATCTTGGCGAGCGTATGACTACGGCCATCGTGGTATACCCAGGTAGGGTAAGGTCTGGATTTTCTATGACGCATGTCGAAACAGGTTCTGATCGCTGGACAACACTCTGATCGAGACACGCGTCGTTCGGCGGTTCGAAGTAAACAACAAGCTGATGAAACACCCGCCTGTGCATGCAAACAGCGAGTAATACATACCATATACGAAACATCAGGCATGAGAAAGATCTTTTCTGCAATGCAGCGTGTTCGCGAGAGCCAGCTGTCCAACGAAGCCTGTCAATTTTGGGCTTGATAAGAGACATGGAGCATGATGCGTCAACTGACTAGACAGGGTACAGTACCGACAGTGCCAGCAAACAATCATCATCAATCTTTACTTCGTTTGAGAAGTGGAATAATCACGCCGACGATGTCATGAGGATCGGGACCTTGTGCTCGTGGGGTGCATTCATCGTCTATGGCCAACTGTTACGACACTGACAACTACAACAGCTACTGAGATCGATTTGTGAAACCTGTACAACCGCACCGCTGGTAAAGACAGCTATCTTGAACAAGCGTTCTGTTGAAACAAGCTCGCGGTCAAGACTCGTAAAAATCCAATGAGCTTCGACTCGAACCATTACCTAGACTAGACCATGAAAACTTGCCACAACACCAAAAACAGCGGATACCAGCGTTCACGATATCGGCCACCGCAAGTTTCACTTCCCATCAGGGCAATCTCGTATTACGCAAAGCGCCACACTCGAGTGCGCCACGCGTCCCAGCAGGGATTCCAGCGGGCAAGATACGAGAATCTCACAGCCCAGCAAAGACTCCCACCAGTGCGAGCCCGAACTCAGCCCCAGCAAAGCCGCCGAAACCCAAAGATCATCACCCGATATGCAGGTAGACTACACTCGACACACGACCAGAACTACAAGAATACATGCGTGGCCGCCAAGGCCCAGGGAGTAAGACCCCGTGGCTGTGGTTGTAAGTTTTCTTGGCTACAACGATTGCGACGCAACGGCCGTGGCTGACGTCTCTCATGACCGTGGCGGTATGCAATGCAGGATACATGGTTTCCAAGGGTATATATATACGCCGTTGGTATGCAGGAACAAGTCATACACAAACACAACAGTCCATCACTCCGTTCGCTTTCCTCTATATTACCATCGAGGAAGCCGCTCCAACATATCAATCGCTCAAGAGTCACACACATACTTTTCCACCGCCAACATGATTTTCACACGCATCATCTCCCTCGTCCTCCGCACCGCCCAATGGGTCTTCGCCGTTATTGTCCTCGGCCTAACCGCATACTTCATCTCGCAAAACCAAGATGAGAAGAAGGGTCGCCGCTGGCGATGGGATGACTGGGACGAGCCTATGGGTCGTTTGATCTTCGCTATTGTCTGGTCTTCTCTCTCCGTCATCTTCGCCATTGTCTGGTCCATCCCCACCACCACTAGCATCACGGGTTTCGTTTCCGACATAGGTACGTCGATACCCTCCCTTGTTTTCACACGAAAACATCCAGCTAACATACTACAACAGTCTTCACAGGCGGCTGGGCAGCAGTCTTTGGCCTCCTCGTCATGTACTACAACGACACCGACTGCGGTGATGAGTGGGACTGGGGCCGTATGTCTTTCAGCCGCAGGAACTCTTGCGGACAGTGGCGGGCGGCTCAGGCATTTGCATTTTTGAGCATGATTGTGTGGCTGGCTACTGCTGTGTTGGGTGCCTTTACCACGATGCGCCTCAAACGCCGTGCTAGGGCAGCTGCTGTGTAAGTTGTTAGATACTTCTGTCCTTGTCTGCGAGGAACAATTTGCTGATTCGATGGATTTTAGTAAGAACACCAATGCTTAAATGATGCATGAGTGTAAGGCGAGGATGAGGGTTGCAAGGTGGGGGTTTGATGATGACGGGGTTGCGGTTTGCGCGATAGGCTGCACGTCATCATGTGCTTGGATGTTTTGGCAACGACTGGGATGATAACAGAACGTATTTTGTCATGACTTGCAAGCGGGCGTTTATGCGGACGGGAATGAATATAGTATGATAATGTCACTCCTTCATGATCTACTGCGTTCACTCATACATCTACGTGACTTCCTCCACCCCAGCCCTCCACCATGTACTATATGTATATGCCCATCCCTCCAAATAAAAAACAAGATGCCCAAAACGCCACGCCAAATGCAATAAAAACGGCACATGAATCCCTACATGCCATGCGGTACCCCATCTCTTATCCCATATGCCATATAAAGCATAACCCGGCCCTCTTCGCTACCCTCCCAGCCCATCTCTCACACGATGACGCTACCCCAACCAAACCCACCAAAACAGCAGTATAACCGCAGCAAAAAACCCCACCCAAACCTTCCACCCAACGCCCGTCTTCTGCGCCATAACGAGCATCCGATTCATAGTGCCCTTGATCTTATATCTCGAGTTCTCAAACTGGTCGTTCATCTTCTCCGCTAGCGTAGTCGAAGTGCGGATTTCGTCGCCGATGAGGTGTGTTAGCTGTTTCGGTGTTAGCCCTTGCAACCAAAACCCAACCCAGGAGAAGCCTTTGAAAGGGAAAAGGAAATGTAGAAGTAGGGAGAGTACATACATCCTTCAACATCCGAACCTTACCCGTCAAAACACCAACATGCTCATCGTTCTGACTCTCCAACTCATCCAACACAGCCGCCGAGTACTGGCCCCTCGAATTGGGTGTCGCCGACCTAAACGTCGCTCCTTGCCCCCCATCATATGCACCCCCTTCTCCTCCGCGGTCATCGTAACTCCTCCTCCTGTCAAATTCGCCCCCTCCGACGCCATACCCACTCCCACTGCCACCAGGGTATAAACTCGCTGCACTACCGGATCCAGGATAAGCGGGTGAACTGGGCGCTGTGTAGCCGTACGAGGTGTAGGGGCTTGAGGCAGCGCCGGGCCGCGGCTTGTGCTTTGTTTTTGAGGGCGAGGCGCTGCGGTTGTATGTGCTGAAGAGGTCGGCGCGGTCGTCGGGGCGGGAGAATCGTGAGGACATTTTGTGGTGGGTGGGTGGGTGACCGTGGATGTGAAGGATAGGGTTGTACGTGGGATTGGCTTGGTAGGGCTGGCTGGTGGGATGCAGCCTCGGGGATGTGGGATGATGATGCGGTCAGAGCGCGATATTCGTATTTCGTATTTCCCGTAGCGACTTGCGCTCTGTATCTTGTCTTTGCGCGCGTTCTCGTCGTCCCTGTCGTCGTTCTTTGTAGGCGCGTCTTCTCTCCGGGCAGTAGGTACTCCTTTCCCTCTGTCGTCCCCTGAATTCTCTTTAAACTCCTTTCTCGTAATTCTTTCTCTTCGCAGCACAATTGTTTTTCCTATGCGTAGAAGCGTAAACGTAGCGACTCGAGAAAAAAAAAGTGTCTGTAAAAAGAGAGGGTACAGTAGATGTTGTCGCGAAAGTCCAAAGTTCTAGCACCGGCTTCAAGGTAGGCACTAACGCCGGTCGGTACGCGCGCTAACTATGGCTACCGACTTTCACACTGAACAAAGGTATTGAGGTTTATGATGCGCGCGACGGCGGCGGGTAGTGGCAGATGAAGAGACTACAATTGTGAGAAGAAATGTACGATTTACATTACAAGTTCTGCCTAAAAATATAGCGTATAGGACCATTTGCTACACAAGATAACACGTATGTGGAGACGAACAAGTGAGGCCAACTATACACTTTAGGCATGTCACGCAGTCAGAAAACCTCGGTTCAGCTACCCAGCACAGTATTCAGGGCAGCCAACTTCATCACCAGAAAAGAGAGCGAAAACACGTAAATTTCTTCCTCGGTAGCAAAGCCCGGAATATTGGTCAGTTTTAATATGTCTGAAATATCAAAGATACCACTGCCACCAGAATTTCACCGAACCACCCTATGCATCTGTGTGTACAAGTACAAGGAACCCATTGTTGTAATACATATGTGCATTTTCTCTTTTTCTCTCTCTCCGTCGACAAGCGTAGACCGTTCGCCCGGATTTCCAAACAAGATATGGTTGAGAAGCCGAAAGAGAGAAAGATCCCGCAGTAGTCTGCTTATCTGGTTGGGGAGGTAAAAAATATCCGTGACTCGTAGCAAATCCGTTGAACAATGCATATCTTCCCAGGTCGCTACCTCAACGCCGCTTTCCCAATCATCGGGCGTATTCTAGTTCTTGAGGCCAATCTTATTCAGCAAACTCCCCGACCTTCCAGCGACCATAGCCTTGTCGTCAAAGATCTTAAGCAAGCTCTTCCACACCTGACCCGGTTCTTGGCTAGCATCGATCGGCTTCCAGATACCCGTCTTCTGGTAGTACGCCACAACCGGCGCAGTCTGAGCGTGGTAAGTCGAGAGGCGCTTCTTCAGCGTCTCGGCGTTGTCGTCGGAGCGCTGGATGAGCGGCTCACCCGTTACATCGTCCGTCATGGGTGCCTTTGGCGGGTTGAAAATCTTGTGGTACGAGCGGCCGGAAGCGGGGTGGACGAGGCGGCCAGTGATACGCGAGACGAGGAGGCCGTCGTCGATTTGGAGTTCGACGGCGTGCTGGAGGGGCTTCTTGGTAGCGGCGAGCATGCCGTCGAGCTTCTCCGCTTGGGTGACTGTTCGGGGAAAGCCGTCGAGGATGAAGCTATCCAGACCGCCGTGTCAGCATACCAGAAGGAGACATAGACTAAAGAGAATAAAACGTACCCCTGGCGCACTCCTGGTTGTTCTCAAGCTCCGTCTTAATCATGTTGACCATGATCTCGTCGCTAACCAGACCGCCCGCATCCATAATCTTCTTTGCTTCCCGTCCCAGCGGTGTCTTCGCAGCAACTTGGGCGCGTAGCATGTCTCCGGTGGCCTAAATCCCCAGTCAGCCCCTCATCCACCACAGCCGTTGACTACGGTTGGAAATTCATGGTACGTACGAGATGGCAGGCGCAGAACTTCTCCTTGATCCGCGGCGCTTGCGTGCCCTTGCCTATCCCTCGTTAGCAAAATGAATGCCACCAATGCCACCCTCGTTCAGCGCAAACCAACTCACCAGCACCCGGAGGACCCATCAAGATCATGCGCACGCTCTCAGTCGCCGCTGCAACCCCGCCATGGCCTGCTAATCTGCTCTCTAGCTCCGCGATGCGCTGCTCGAGGCGCTTGACATCGTTCTTCAGGTCATCGACGCTGGAATCCGCCATAGGAGCCATTGCGCCTTTCGGTGTTCAGAAAAAAAACTTGCGAGGGGAAAGAAGGGTCTGTAGAGAGTGCGAGGTAAAGATGATGCGCTCGCCGCTCAGAATGGGACACTGGGAGTCACGCAATGGCAATGGAAGAAGCCGCGATTATGGGTGAGGTGGACGAGCTACCCTCAGTTGCTGCTTCTCGGTTGTTGGTAGGCCCGAGCTTGGAAAATGGCGTCCCTTCCGCCCGATCCTCAGTGTGCTGCACGCTTTAACCTTGGCCCGAATGATGTCACGCTCAACAACGTTGCTGCATGTTGCTGCTAGCACTCCTTGTAACCGAAGACATACCGTGGCTTGTTATTGATAGCTCTCCGATATTATATCCAGGACAAGTTGCAGTGCTCATTGCCTCAGTGTTAGTTGGCAGCGAACATGCGGGGTCATAAAGGTCCTTGCACCGCACTACCGGCATAGTATCCGAGTGGTATTGCGAGGAAACCGGAAACTATAATCGCTAACATTGAAATACATGTTGAGTGGTGAAATATCTGTGCCAGCGATATCGATGCTGTATCAAGCGTCCAACACTACTAGTACTCCTTACCAAGCACCTTCTTCAGCCCCTTCATCTCCATCTCATACCTCTCCACCTTTGCCTGACTAGTCATCAACTTGGTCAACAAGTAGTTGACCCGCCCTGCAGTCTGTGCAGGCTGATTCCTCAACTTGCTCAACAGCAGCAGCTCCGTCTCGCACTTGTCGATTGTCGCATTTTCAATCTTGGTTAGATGCGTGAAAATCGCCAGATCCAAACGGCTCTTTAGTACTTTGTCTTCTGTCAGACGCTTGAACGCGGGGTGATACACGGGTTTTCCGGGCTTGATGACCGAGGGCCTGCCATTTGCACCGGAAACAATGGAGATAAGTTCAGCTTGTTCGAGAGCGCGGAGAACAGATTCACCGCCGGTTTTGAGAATGTCGTCGATGAGAACTTCGTTGTAGCGTAGTGATTCTCTCTGCGCCAGCTCTTTGATAAGGAACCAGGCTTGTTCTGCGTTCCAGCTTCGGTTACCGCCCTCATCTTCAGCGCCAAAAATGTACATTTTCAAAATCTCAGATGCTGACTGGTCAATGATTTCGTGCACCGCTTTGGTTGGAGTCTCGCCACTCTTGATGCGACGTGACAGAAACTCAAGGTCAGTGAGTCGGCCACCCAGAAGATCAATACAGGTATCCAGTTCGCCGAGATCGCCACGGTGTTCAGATGGGACTTTCTTAGGTGAGCCGTCTTTTGGTGCTGGATCATCCTCGACATCAGCATCCAAGTGGTTTATTACATAGCGCTTGGCTACTTCAGGACTGCAATCTGACAACGAGATTTGACGGAACATGCGATCGGGCATTGCTTTGGACAGTGACTTGTTGAATGCGACATCGTTGGTCAAGAAGATGACGTGAGCGATATTCGTAGTTGTGAGGCGTGCAGCCCATTCAGCAAGCTTGTCGTAGACGATACCGCCCTCCTGGCTCTTATGCAAGAAATTGTCAATCACGACGATTGGCCTTCGTTCTGGGTGAGCTTCGAGCCATTCGTCATCGCCAAGATAAGCGTCTTTGTCGTGCTTGTGTCGGTTATCCAGGGCTATTTGTCTCAGAGCCAGGGTTGTAGTGTTCCAGATTTTGCTAAGTTGTGAGTCGAGTGTCTCCGAAAAGCCAGTCTTTACGCCTGTAGCACCCTGCGCTGCCATATCGATCATACCGCTGATACTGTTCATCCAGCTAAAGACGGGCCTATATCCTACTGACAGTGCTGCTGCATTGATTGTTGCGCTTTCGCCTCGGGCTTCCTGGATGGGCTTACAATCAATGATGAGCTTCAGTTTCTTGTCTTGTAGTGCTTGGTCAACCACCAGTTCGCGTTTGCCGGATCCCCGAGGACCTTGGACAATGATGAAGGTTTCGGCTGTCTCCATGAGCCAAGTTTGAATCTGTTCGATGCTTTCCTTTCGATCATCCCAAATGTAGTCCATGCCGTCGCCTTCGTTATGCTTGCGGCCTGCACTCATGATGTCGGTAGCATAGCCCTTGACCCATTGATACCACTTGTTGTCTTCAATGTGAAAGTTGCGAGTAATATGTGCCTTGACGAAGAATTGTCGAATGCTGGGTGGTTGTCAGCTGATGCGAAGTAACGCTACCAAGAAAAAGCAGACTCACGGGTCGAAAACGATAGCCACTGTGCCGGCAATGAGTGCAGCCACAATAGGGATGACAATACGCGGATGATTCAAGATCCAATCCCGAATATACCGAGGCTTAATCTTCTGCTCATACTTGAGTCTCAGAATTGTTCCTTTGGCGCTACCACCCTCAGCTTCAGAGACGAGATACCCATGCATGCAGTTACGAGCCATAATAGCTTTCCCGATACTAGTATAATCCAGATACGCGAACTTGGGAAGAACCTTGGAGTCCGGAGGCTGCATCACAATATCGCCCAGCTTGCCGTACGGCCTGAAGAACTGGAAAAGTTGCTCTTGACTCAGCTCCACGGCTTCCGAAGGAGGCGTACCAGGTTCACCAGAGACGAATTCAACGCGCAGACGTGAAGCAGGTAGACGCATCAAGTCCTCCACCCATGGCCGTCCTCTAACGATTTTCGCGCGCATCCTCTTCCATGGACTCCACCATGGCTTCACAGGCTCTTCCCTGAGATACTCTTGCAAGATCTTCTCAATCTCTGAAGTCGGTGCACTCCCATCATGCGTAAATTTGACAAAGGCGCCTCCTTCTCTCATCCGCGGAAGCACTTCGGTGGCCGTGATCGGCAGATTTCGTTTTGCACTCGCTCGCTCAATGACAGCTTTAGGATCGGTTCCAGATAAACTAGGACTGACAAGGCGATCGATAATCGCCGGCATTGGCAACCCCAGGACCTTACGTATTTGGATAGGAAAGACATTGTTGAAGAAGAAGATGCCTTCGTTGGGACCTGCGCTGATGTGACCAGTCTTATCCTCACCGGCTTGTAATCCAGTAACATATCGTCTTGGGATATTCCATGGTCCTCGTGAACCTAGATTAGATGGTCTGCATGTTTGTTAGTGTCTTGACGATGATCGCCGGCCGGGGATCGAGCGTGCACACCCACCTTGTCAGCGTCAGCCCATGTCCGGGACGTCGACCAGCATGATGCCAGCCCGCTCGCGGTAACATCTCTGCGATATTTGACTACCGGCGCATCTCGAGAATGCTACCGTGAGTAATCGAACGCTTGACTGAAGGGCAGATGTCGCACCCAACCTACCCACTAAGCGAATCGAACATGGAAGGCGGATGACGTCATCAGCTCATTTCTTGGCTTCGTGCGGCTATGAGCTGGCAAGTACAATGCTGCAATACCTCAATCGGGTCCTAGAAGATGACCGCCCCGGGCGCATACATCATATTATTCTCCACGTTTTAGCTATGTGTCAGTTGAATGTAGATGCCCCGCAGAGGTAACATCAGACCTATACCATAACATACGATGACGCCTGGCGTATACATCACCCTCACACCATCACTTCGTGAAGCTGCAATTGTTAAATCGACAAAATTCATTCGCATATATATACAAATTGGATTCGAAAAACATGCAAGAAGTCATAGAGAAGAGAACATTGTACACTGCATGTGCCGCCCAGCTGACTCCGCATACTGAAAAGGTATCGTGCAGGTAAAAACGAGGGAAAAAATGCAGCATCAAAACACACGTTCGCAAAACGCCAATACCTCATGAACACCCCGAACCCAATTCTTTAATCATATCCCTCCTTTTTCATGTCATTCCATTCCCATCTTTAGATACCCCATCTATTCATTACATCCATAAAAGTCGTCTAAGCGGCAACAGTAACCAGCTGCTCCTTAAGGTCGCGGCTGGCCTTGGTCATAGCCTCGTAAGGTGGACGCTTGACGATACCACCAGTGACGGGAAGCGAAGTTCCGTACCCAGTGAGGAAAGTATCAACGTCACGAGCGCACTGGCGACCTTCGTTGATACCCCAGACGATCAGGGACTGACCGCGGCGGCAGTCACCGGCGGCGAAGACACCGGAAAGGTTGGTGTTGTAGTGACCCGGGGGAGTCTTGATGTTCTTGCGTCCGTCAAGCTCGATGACATCGCTCATGACACGCTGCTCAGGGCCCAAGAAACCCATAGAGAGCAAGACGAGGTCGGCAGGGAAGAATTGCTCGCTACCTTCAACGTGCTTCATGTCCCAGCCACCAGATGCGGACTTGGTCCACTCGACACGGACAGTGTTGATACCCTTAACCTTGCCACTACCGTCGTCGACGAAGTCCTTGGACATGACGCAGTACTCACGCGGGTCCTTGCCCATGTGGGTCTTGACTTCGTTGTGACCGTAGTCGGTGCGGAAGATACGGGGCCACTGAGGCCATGGGTTGTCGCGGGCGCGCTCTGGCGGAGGCTGGGGAAGAAGCTCAAAGTTGACGACCGACTTGGCTCCGTGGCGGACCGAGGTACCGATGCAGTCGTTACCAGTGTCACCACCTCCGATGACGATGACGTTCTTGTCCTTGGCCGAGATGTAGGCATCATCAGCCAAGTCGGAGTCGAGGAGTGACTTGGTGTTCTTGTGCAAGAACTGCATGGCGTAGTGGATACCCTCCAAGTTGCGGTTAGGGATGGGTAGATCACGGGCAACAGTGGCACCCGTAGCGAAGACAACCGCGTCATACTCGCTGCGCAGCTTCTCGAGATTGGTCTGTCCCTCTTCGCCAACAGTGACACCAGTCTTGAAGACGATACCTTCGGCAGCCATAAAGTCGACACGGCGCTGAACAACCTTCTTGTCGAGCTTCATGTTGGGGATGCCGTACATGAGAAGACCACCGACACGGTCAGCCCGCTCGAATACGGTAACGCTGTGACCAGCCTTGTTGAGCTGATCAGCGCAGGCAAGACCAGCAGGACCGGAACCGATGATGGCAACAGTCTTGCCGGAGCGAACCTGTGGTGGCGAAGGAATCATCCAACCCTTCTCAAAACCGCGGTCGATAATGGCACACTCAATCGACTTGATACCAACGGGGTCCTCGTTGATGCCGAGAACGCAGGCACCCTCGCAAGGAGCCGGGCAAACACGACCAGTAAATTCCGGAAAATTGTTGGTCATTAAAAGCCTATTGAGGGCGTCACGCCACTGGCCCCTAGACATGTCGTTAGCAATAGTTCACCCTGGGGAATACAGCAGGTGTTACGTACTGAAAGACCAATTCGTTCCACTTAGGGATGATGTTAGAAATAGGACATCCAGTGTCAGACTGGCAGAAGGGTACACCGCAGTCCATGCAGCGGGCAGTCTGGTACTTCAGCTCGTCCTCGTTGAGACGCTGAGACAGCTCGGCCCAATCACGAGTCCTAGTCTTGGGATTGCGGTACTTCTCAGAGCGGCGCTGGTACTTCATGAAACCGCGGGTCTTGTCTAGCACAAGTGCCTTCTTCTTCTCTGCCTTGGCGTCGGTGACACTCTCTTCGATGTCGAGAAGGTCGCTCTTCTTCTTATTCTTGGCCTCAGCCTCGGCTTCCTTGTTGCGGGACTCCTCGTGGACGTTGCGGACGGGGTTGCCGGCGAGGAGAGGAAGAGGGTACTCTGACTTCTTCTTTTCGGCAGCCTTGGCCTTCTCTTCGAGGAGTACACGCTTGTAGTCGACAGGCATGACCTTGACGAAGCGTGAGAGAGCACGAGTGAAGTCGAGGAGAATACGGGCGGCAAGCTCAGAGCCAGTGTAGTGGTGATGGTCCTCAATGAGGCCACGTACAAAGGCAATCTCCTCTGGCTCTTCGATACCGGATAGTTCAACCATTTCCTGGTTGACCTTCTGCTCAAAGTCCTTGTGGATGTCCAAGACATAGGCGATACCACCAGACATACCAGCAGCAAAGTTGCGTCCAGTCGAACCAAGAACAAGGACGCGACCGCCAGTCATGTACTCGCAACCGTGGTCACCAACACCTTCAACAACCGCCGTAGCACCGGAGTTGCGCACACAGAAGCGCTCGGCAGCGATACCACGGAAGAAGCAAGTTCCGCGAGTGGCACCGTACAAGCATACATTACCGATGAGAACGTTCTCCTCGGCGCGGTATACTGCGTTGCGGGGCGGGTAGATGATCAAGCGACCACCAGACAGACCCTTACCAACATAGTCGTTAGCGTCACCCTCAAGTTCAATAGTGACACCAGGTGCCAAATAAGCACCGAAAGACTGGCCAGCGGATCCACGGATGTTCACGTGAATGGTATCCTGGGGCAGACCAGCCTCGCCGTAACGCTTGCTAATGTGGTAAGAGAGAGTTGCACCAAGAGCACGGTCGGTGTTGACCACATCGCACTCAATGCGTGCCGGTAGACCCTTCTCCAAAGCGAGCTCGGACTCGGCGACGAGCTTGTTGTCGAGACGAACATGGAGGCGGTGGTCCTGCTTGCGGACATTGAAGGTAGCAACACCGGGGCGGAGCGTGTGTGCTGGTGTCAGGATGAGGGACAGGTCGATGTTCTCAGTCTTGGCAGTGCGGAGATCATCACGGATGCGAAGAACCTCGCAATGGCCCACCATGTCGTTGATAGTACGGAAACCAAGCTTGGCCATGATTGCGCGAAGCTCGTTGGCGATGTAGTAGAAGAAGTTGATGACATGCTCGGGTGTACCGGCAAACTTCTTCCTGAGCTCAGGGTCCTGGGTGGCGATACCGACAGGGCAGGTGTTCCTAGGCATGTTAGTCTCTCGAAACTCGAACAAGGGACGGATACGGGGACGAACAGGTGGCATTTCCTCATCATGATACACCCCATAGCAATAAGAGGAGTGGTAGCAAAGCCCCACTCCTCAGCTCCAAGTAGACAGGCGATGGCTACATCCCGTCCAGTCCTAAGTTGACCATCAGTCTGGACAATGACACGACCACGAAGGTCGTTAAGAACAAGCGTCTGATGAGTCTCGGCGAGACCCAGCTCCCAGGGAAGACCGGCATACTTGATACCAGTCCATCGAGAGGCACCAGTACCACCATCGTGGCCGGAGATGAGAATGTGGTCAGCCTTGGCCTTAGCGACACCGGAAGCGACGATACCAACACCAGTCTCGGAGACGAGCTTGACGGAGACACGAGCACGGGGGTTAGAGCACTTGAGATCGTAGATGAGTTGCTTGAGATCTTCGATGGAGTAAATGTCGTGGTGGGGAGGGGGACTGATGAGACCAACACCAGGAGTGGAATGACGAGTCTTAGCAATGGAACCAGAGACCTTGTGGCCAGGAAGCTCACCGCCCTCACCAGGCTTAGCACCTTGAGCCATCTTGATCTGAAGCTCATCGGCGTCGGCAAGGTAGTTTGAAGTGACACCGAAACGTCCGGAAGCAATCTGCTTGATAGCCGACCGCATAGTATCACCGTTCTCCATGCGCAAGCTACGCTCGGGGTCTTCACCACCCTCTCCTGTGTTTGACTTTCCACCAAGACGGTTCATGGCGACGGCGAGAGTAGAGTGAGACTCCATGGAGATGGAACCGTAGGACATGGCACCGGTAACAAATCGGCGTACAATGTCCGTCCATGGCTCGACTTGGTCAATCGGGATAGGAGCGCGGTCGTCGAAGCTAAAGTCCAAAAGACCACGGAGAGTGCAGTCCTTGATGCGTTCATACTCGGCAATTGAGTATGCCTCGTACGACTTGTCATTCTTGGTGCGAACGGCATCTTGGATGTTAGCCATGGCCGTCGGGTCGTTGACGTGAGGCTCGCCTCCGTCACGCCAGTGGTACTCGCCAGTCTCGACAAGACCGGGAACCTCAACAATGGGTCGCGATGGGTAACCCTTCTCGTGGAGAGCGAAAGCGTCCGAAGCGATCAGTTCAAAGGTCATACCCTTGATACGCGACGCTGTTCCAGTGAAGCAGCGGTCGACAACGGAGTCATCAAGACCGAGGGCCTCGAAGATCTGAGCGCCCTTGTAGGACTGAAGGGTGGAAATACCCATCTTACTCATGACCTTCAAGATACCACCATCGCAGGAGTGCTTGTAGTTGTCAATGAGCTGATCGGCAGTGAGCTTCTTGCGGATCAGGCCCTCCCTGTGCATCTTCAAGATGCACTCAATGGCGAGGTACGGGCAGATGGCATCAGCACCGTATCCGACAAGCACACACATGTGGTGTACCTCCCGGGCCTCACCAGTCTCAACAACCAAAGCAGCGTTGGATCGCCACTTGTTGCGGACAAGGTGGTGGTGGACCATACCGGTAGCCAAGCAGGCAGAGACGGCAACACGGTCAGTAGAAGCAGCGCGGTCAGTCAGGACAAGGATGTTGTCGCCAGCCTGGATACCCTCGGTAGCAGCTTCGCAGATGCGGTCAAGTGCGGCCATGTACCCATCGATACCCTCGCTCTTGGGGAAAGTAATGTCGATGCTCTTGACGGTCCAGTCAGAGTAAAGCGTATGGGCGTTGTTCAAGGCCTTGAATTCTTCAAGAGTCAGAATAGGCGATGGCAGAAGCAGACGTCCACACTGTGACTCATCCATCTCTAGGAGGTTACCCTGGGGGCCAACGTAGGTCTCCAAAGACATGACAATCGCCTCACGAATGGGGTCGATAGGGGGGTTGGTGACCTGAGCGAAGAGCTGGCGGAAGTACTCGTAGAGTAGGCGAGGCTGAGTGGACAAGCATGCAAGAGGAGCATCGTTACCCATGGATCCCAACGCCTCCTTGGAGTCAGCAGCCATAGGTCCTAGAAGCAAACTGACTTGCTCAAGGGAGTAGCCAAATGCTCGCAGACGAGGGTCCTCGTGTAGCTTGGTCTCTGTGAGCGCGTATGAAAGGTCAATACCCTTGTCTCCCACAGACTTGACAATCTTGGGGAGAGTCAAAAGGTTCTTCTCGATCCATGCGCGGAAGTCGTTGCGCTCTGCAACAGTTTTCTTCAGCTCAGCGTCATCGACAATTCGACCAGCGACAGTGTCGACGAGCAACATCCTACCGGGCTGCAGACGACCCTTCTGTACGACTCGCTCGGGCTCAATGGAAATGGTACCGACTTCTGATGCGCAAACAATGCGATCATCGTCAGTAATGTAGTAACGACAGGGACGAAGACCGTTTCGGTCCAAGTTGGCACCGCAGTACCGTCCGTCTGAGAATGTGAAAAGTGCAGGGCCATCCCAAGGCTCCATCATGCAGGCGGCCCACTCGTAGAATGCCTGCTTAGCAGGGTCCATGGTGTGGTTGCCCTGCCATGCTTCCGGAACCATGAGCATAATTGCTTCTGGCAGAGAAAGTACGCCGTTGATGGTGAGCAGCTCAAGAACGTTGTCGAAAGCTGCAGAGTCGGAACCACCATCTTCGACAATGGGATAGAGAGAGTCAAGCTCCTCGCCAAAGAGGCTGGACTTCATGACACCCTCACGTGCTCGCATCCAGTTCTTGTTTCCTCGCAGAGTGTTAATTTCACCGTTGTGGGCAGCCCATCGCAGCGGCTGTGCGCGGTCCCAACTGGGGAATGTGTTGGTCGAGAAACGCGAGTGCACCAACGCAAAGTGACCCTCGTAGTCAACATTAAGCAGGTCGTGATAGTATTCGTAGACCTGAACGGGAGAAAGCTGACCCTTGTAGACAATGTTCTTGTTACTTAAGCTGCAAACGTAGAACCAGTTGTGCAGGCCAATAACGTGTGTAGCCCGCTTTCGCATGACATACAGCTGTCGCTCAAAGTAAGCGTTGTCGTACTTTTCCTGGAAGTCGGCCTTGGGCTCCCGGGCATCGCCATAGGCAGTCTTCAGGACAACAAACGGCTGGAGAATGATGGGCTCCCGCGATAAAGCGGCAGGTCCAAGAAGAGTCGAGTCGCGGGGAACCGTTCGCCATCCGAGCACTCTCAGATCGAGCTGGTCTGCAACTTCCTCAAACATGGTCTTGGTCTCATCCAAGATGGTGGCGTCCGGCTTGAAGAACAGGTTACCAGTGGCGTACTGACCAAGCATCGGCAGCTTGTAACCTTGTTCACGCTCGAACTCTTTGAGGAAGAATCGATGGGGGATGGAGGTCATTACACCTGCACCGTCACCATCTCGTGCGTCTGAGCCCACGGCTCCTCGATGGGTCATGTTGCAGAGCAACGACCGTGCTATATAATTGTTAGCGTTCTGTTCCTAGTTAAATTTATATGGCACTTGGGTGACATAAAATACTGGACAGTGTAGGTAAGCACCCAACAGACGTGTCTGGCGACTACAGTGGCTTTTTTACACTAGTATGTCCAATATGTTATGACACCCAGGTGTAGTTCACTCTTACCATCGGAGACAATCTTGTGGCTGGCCTTGCCCTTTATATGGCTGTACAATTGTCAGTCGTCGCGCCCATGCACAACTAGATTGTCACCACTCACGCCGCAAAACCGACACCGCAAGCATCCTTCTCCAGCTCCGGATCATAGAGACCCTGCTTCAAGGGCAGCGCACCTGCCCAGGACTTGTTCTCCGGGCCATCCTGATAAGCAAACACCGACGTTTGCTCCTCTTCGATCTGGGTATCCTGGGGCAATTTTGTATCTTCGGTAAACGAGACCCGACCCATTATATCGGCAAAAGGCCGAAACTCTGGGTTGGTTGGTGGTGGTGGTGGTATGGTGAGGGGTGCGGTATCGATATCGATGAGTGGCGGGGTCGCTCGACGCGTCGCTTCGGAGCTGCTGCTGCTCTGCTATGTATGTGAAGTCTGTGTCGCGAGAAAAACAAATCAGTCCTACGTTCTCAAGCCGATTTGTTATTGCTTAGGAGGTGGGGGTGGGAGAGTGGGAAAGATATTTGGTGCAAATGCGCCCAAGACAGTAGCTCAAAAGCAAAGCATGTGTGGGGAACTATTGCCGCGGAAAGGGGATTGGAGCCCTCAAGTCAAGAATTGGAGCTAGCGAAGGGATGGGCCAGATTTTTACCAGCTTCAGTTTGCCGGATATAGGTAATTGGTACCTATGACGCTCTTCAGACCCCAGCGGCGGCTGATAGCTGCTCTCCATGCACACAGGATAGACCGATAAGGTCGAGTAGCGAATGGGCTAACGCGGGGTGCCCACATAAAGCAGCAGTCCAGTAAGACGATGGCTAATGGTCGCGCAGGATGGGTGGTGGACAAGCACAATGTTTGGCCACAGGTGGGAGACGGAATGCAGAGGATGTACAGTACGTGTGGGAGGCAGACACTTACTTACAGTAGAGGGTTATGGAACAGGCCTTGACGTGGGCTCGCGGTGTTCCGGCAAGCAAATTGTAGCGATTGTGTTGAGGGTATGGAGAGTAAGAGAGGGTCGCGAGAGAGATCGGTGGGCGTGCTTATGAATAAGAAAGCCAGCGGAGGGCTCCTGGTGGGGTGGATATTTTCCCAATGCGCTAACAACTTGACTCCAACTTGGTCCAATTACCGGCTGGGAGCGCGTCGAGGGAGGCGTTCCTAAGTCCTGTCCTGTCGCCTTGGCTATCTCCGCCCGTTTGCCTGGAAACTGGCGGCCGGGTGAGAGAGAGCAGGCGTTTGTATCAAGTCGCGGGCAGCACAAAGTCAAGATGAGTTCACGAACAGCCTTTGTCTTGTAGTTCTGGTCGCAACAAGCAGCAACGTGCAGGCCCTCGGCGCATCCAGCCAAATACAAAGTATATACCAATCTTCTTGTGCGCCCGCACGCAGTCAGTCTGACCAATGCTCGTATACACATGCGCTCCAACGGTGCCCTCTGCGGCGTGTTGGCTATGGAAAATTGGCGTTACCCCACGGTTTTTCTGCCACTCCATGACAATAACCAGGGTGTGGATTGGACAGAAGCCAGCGACCGCCCTGCAGTGGTTCAGGCCGTGGGCCCAATCCTGGTCTCCGAAGGTCGGTTTGACATGTGCATGACCACAGACCAGGCCTTGCAGTTGCTTCCGCTCCTCGACGCTCCACCTGCTAGATTGCCGCTGCAAGCCCACGCCGCATCATCTGAATAACGGCCAGGTTCATTGGCCCGGCGGCCTCGTCTCGGCAGTACCCGACTTCTTTGTCGTAATTCGAGCGCGTCATACGGTCTTATCGCCGCTTGAGCGCGTCTCCGGGCGGCACTTTCGCGCCACGCATTTCATCGTATCAACGCTCGTTGGACGGGAGACTGGATTTAAACCCCCGCCTTTCGCAGCCGAGTGTCGATGAAATTCTGTATGTGCACGCTCGACGACATCATTGCCCGCTATCGTATCCAGACTTGGGCGACTCTGAGCGAAGCCGCCACGAAAAACTCACCATCTTCGGAACAGACCGGAACACGCCTGCCTAAGCTGACGGGAACACGTCAATAGCGGAAGACGAGTCACGAGAACGTGTGCCGTACCCCAAGTGCATCTTTGGAACTACAACCTGGCAGGCCGATGTCGCCTCCAAGGATTCTCTGCGTGTACCGGTAGATAATTTCCCTGCGGATATTCCAGGCCGCAAACGCCTCCTATCTTGAGCTAGCGCCAATTCCGTACCAACACCTTCGTTGTACCTAATGCAATTCCATTTTGGGTCACCCAAACTCAAGAGTGGGAGCGCAACGAGCATTTCCCGGACGAAAATCTACCTGAGTCATCTCATCTCCAGGCTGCATCGCCCACGGGGCTCTGAGCTGGCACGGCTTACTCGAGGAAAGATCGACTTGGGACGACTTGCCCCCGTGACTCCATGTGTGTGACCCCTTGTTACTTTCTGAGCTGACTCTTTGGCGTCTCGTATCGATAGTACTGGAGTGTAGCTCGGCTCGTAACCGACCACGGGGTCTACCTGGAGTATCGACTGAGCCAACACCAATCGTCTCCAGTAGCTCTCGGCCTTCGGTGTAATCCAGTAGGACCAGTCCCAAAGTATTCCAGTATGACTAAAAGTAATAATACACCTACGTAGTCTTGTGCTCTGACCAGTCTACATGTGTTCTTACTGCAAGAGGCCAGAATGGTCACCATTGCTGCACGCCAATATGGCTAGTTCTACAGGAACTTCCCTGCGTCTCGACGTCTTTGAAAGGCTATGCGCCAAAAAGTTCAAGCCGAATAAATGTCAAGTTTACCCGCCAATTCTGTATGTCTCTCACGTTCTCTTGTTTGCCAATTTACATACGAATACCTCTTCATCAATGCAACTTTGAGAAAGAGGCCTCATTCCACATGTATGCGTCTTCCACGAGAACAGCGACATTGCTCTCCACTCCTTGCCATGCTAGCTGTTAGATTCATGGTGTGATTATCACGTAATGAGAATGAATCATGGCAGTCTCGCTGCCGTGATGTATGCGCGGCCGTGTTCCCATGTCTAAAGGTACTGAGACTAGACTAGTCATATACTGGCCATACCACACCACTCGACAGAGAAGATCATTACGAGACATCTATCCCAAGCGAACCCTACAGCAATGCGTCAAAATGCCTTGCATCAAAATCATGTGTGCATGCACCGTCATGTGGTTCGCCCAAAAATTCAACTGATCGGCGACTTATGCTCATTGTTGTTTATTCATCATATACGTCCACGCGAGTTATCCAATCCAGAGTCCCTGTCACGCTCATCGCGCGCAAAGTAAATGGTCTCGCCACATACACAGACACCCCTCATCCAGCCGTCGAGCAAAGCGCGCCCCAGACTCCAATGTTGAGAGCCCTTTCCCCGCTAAACCCAATGCCTTTTGTATATCTTATAACCCCGCCAGAAGAACGATTCCGAAAGTTTGTAGTCGCGCCGAACAAGTCTAGCGAGCTCAGTTAGCAGGCGTGCCCAAAAGCGGTGTGAGGGGCTCGAAAAAGCAATAACATACCCAAAGACGAAGAGGTTTGTGTTTTGCCCAACTTTTTACTCCTTCATCTGGTCATCGGGATCGACAAAGTCCTCATCGTCGTCGTCGTCGTCATCGTCGCCGAGCTCCTCGTTGGCCTTCTTGAAGTCGATGGTCTTGCCGCGTGTGCGGCCGGGTACAATGTTGTCCGTCTCAATCTCCTCCATGTTGTCCTCATCGGGCTCCTCAGCTATTCTTCTGTTAACCGTTGTGTTCAATCGCACGGGTTTAGCAAGGGTAGCTTACGTTCGCCAGCCTGTACGCCATCATGTTAGCTTTTTGCGCCTTGACTTGTAGCGGTGAGCGCGTGGAACGTACCTGGTCCTCAACACCGGACTCGTCGCTGGAGTCATCATCCATGGATTCTTCAATTGTCTCGCCCTCCTGAGCTTTGCCCTTGCCCTTGACGTCGGCGGGGTTCTGGACGCCCTCCATCTGCTGGTTGTTCTCAGGTTGAGCGGACATGTTAGAGACGTTGATCGTATGTATGTCGGTTTCGTGAGTCGTGATACGTGGTCGTAGGGGATACGGATGCAATTGCGTGCCTGAGGGATTGTTGTTTGTGGTAGCGGTGTAGAGCAAGACGTCGAGGTGAAGCGCCCTGCATCTATTCCTTCCTTTGCGGCTTGCTACTAAGGCCAAAAGAGGTATAGCTCCATCGTCTCCTGGACGACGCCTGCCATTTCCAGCAAACAGCAAACAGTAGCGCGATTGGCTCCCCACCCTGCCAATTGCGTGGTCACAGCGTCTCAGTAAACGAATATCGCGGACAGAGACATGAAATGCCAACGACCATATTCTTGGCATGTAGAAAAACCATTTTGGAGGTATCTTTTTTCTACCTATGAGAACCCCAGTCATTCAAGTCATCTCGCATGCAAAATCGTTATCATGCGCCCCTGAGCCTTCACCTAGTGGTGGAACAACCGGATGTGCTGCTCAACAAAGGTGATTCCTAACTTCTCACTTGTCTCGAACACTGCGCCATCGTTCTGGCTTCCGGTCGGCGCGGCAATGTATTTGGCACCACTCCGGTGTGCCCTGAAGACATTGTCAATGAAGGGGAAGAAGGCATCAGAGCTGACAGCAACGCTCTCCATCTTCGAGAGCCACTCCTTGCGCTCATCCGCGGTGAACGGCTGAGGCACCTGACCCTCCTCGAAATGAGCCTCAAAGTCGTCACGCTCGATGCCTGATTCGGGTACGAGACCAGAGCATAGGAGATCGATAGCGTTGGATTTTGAGGGCCGCTTAGTGCCCTTCTTGAACTGAAGGTTCAGCGTCTTGGGGTGGAAACGCATCCACCAGTTGTCAGCCTTGTCACCAGCGAGCCGAGTGCAGTGAATGCGCGCTATCTTAGTTAGTAATAATAATTTTTTGCGCGTCTGAGACACTTACATTGTTGACCAGCACCAAGACCGATAATCTGGCCATTTAGCGCATAGCAGACACTGTTTGACTGGGTGTATTTGAGTGCGATAGTGGCCACGGTCAAGTCGCGCTGGGCTGACTCTGGTAGGGCGCCAGAGTTCTTAGGGACGATGACGGTGTTGAATGTGTCCGAGGGGACAATCTTGGCATCGTTGCGGTGTTGCTTCAGCGTGATGCCGAACACTGTCCTGGTCTCATCTGGGCTTGGGACGTATTCAGGGTCCATCTGGAGGACTAGGTACTTTCCACCCTTCTTCTTCTTGAGAATCTCCAAGGCTTCCGCGCTGTATCCGGGGGCGATGACACCGTCGGAGACCTCACGGCTAATGATCTTTGCGGTAGGAACCTAATCACCGTCAGAATTGAGGCGCATCGCTATGAGTGTTTATTACTTACATCAACCTCGGCAGACAGAGCGATCATGTCGCCGAAACTGGACATCCTGTCGGCACCACGGGCCCTCGCATATGCTTGCGCAAGTCCCGAGGTCTCGATGCCCTCAATGTCGTCGACCATGTAGACCTTGCGCTCCACATCGCTTAGTGGGACACCGATGGCAGCGCCAGCGGGCGAAACGTGCTTGAAGCTGGCAGCAGCTGGGTAGTTCAGTGCCTTGGTCAGCTCCTGGACAAGAGGCCACGCGTTGAGCGCGTCTAGCAAGTTGATGTATCCTGGCGCGCCACAGAGTACCTTGAAAGGCAACGACTTCTCCGGCATTGAAACTGTCGCGGGCTTCTGGTGGGGGTTTGCGCCATATCGGAGAGTGAGGAACTGGTCGCCATCGCCCGCATACTTCTTCCTGAAGAACTCGGAGATTGCGGTGTCGTATGAGGAGGTTTGCTCGAAGGCCTTGAGAGCATAGCGCTGCCTGCTGTTTTCAGAGACGTCGCCATCTTTCTTGAGCTCCGTTAGGAGGTCATGGTAGTCGTTGGGGTCGCTGATGATGGTCACGCGTGCGTGGTTCTTTGCAGCGGCCCTCAGCAGGGTGACGCCTCCAATGTCAATTTCCTCTACGGCCTCTTCGATTGTGACGTTGATGCGCGCGACCGTCTCGGAAAAGGGGTATAGGTTACATACGACAAAGTCAATCTTGTCAATGCTATTTGCGGAGAGGTCGGAATCGTCGGAATCGAGGTTGCGCGCGAGGATACCTCCGTGCACAGCAGGGTGGAGCGTCTTGACACGCCCACCCAGCATCTCAGGCGCCTTGGTGATGGCAGAGACATCTTCGACCGGGAAATTGGCCTGACGAATCATCTTCGCCGTACCACCAGAGGCAAGCAGGCGGACACCACATTCATGAAGTCCCTTGGCCAGGTCAAGAAGACCGGTTTTGTCGTAGACGGAAAGGATGGCTGTCGCATACTATCAGCACTGTTTTTTATGCAGTATAAAGCCTTGCTCTCACCTGTCTTTTGGCCTGCCATATTGAGCGACTTTACTGATTGCCCAGGAATCAATTGGGAGAAAACAAAGACTTGAAGGGCAAGTCTGGGGTACAATGCAACGGCGCACGACACCCTGTGGAGATTTTTTTAGCGTCGCGGGGCTCATGTCTGACCTCATTTCGCTGCCCCTCCATGGTGCCTGCCCCGATTGGTCAAAGCTTCTCCGCTCCGCAGCCGCAAGAGCAAACTTTGTCAATTGACTTTTCTGTATGCACGCACGTAGCTCACTCATGTCGTGAGAGATGATGCGTCTGTGTGCTCAGATATATATGTAATCTGCATGGCTCACCGCTGTTCCAGCTTGTTGACGCATTGCTAGGCTTACCGGCCAATCGCCATCGAAATGTCGTCGCTTGCGCCTCGGCTCTCCGTCTTCAGTCTGGCATTGCGGACAGTACCCCTTTAGACGTGCCATTCCCTAGAATATAGACTGTATCGCAGAACCGGTGGTTTTGGTTCCCCTGCATCACTCAACTCTGGTAGCACCCGAACAAGTCACCTTCCCGCGTCGACTTGTTGTAGGCCTCCCGACCGCACCGTCCTCAATCACAGGTTGCGCGGATAATCCACCTATGACCACCACGATAATGACAGAACATAATAGCACCGAGAGCCTTATCAGTCATTTCCAATCCGTCTTACTTGAGCTCAACGCGAACCCGTACCCAGATGTCGCGTGTCCACCAGACCTACCCAAACGCGCCTCCGTAGCCCTCATCTTACGCATACAACCGAACTACTCGCATTGGCCCAACGAATCTGATAGCCCTCTACCAAAACGACGTAGGCGATCTTCGGCAGCGAAGCCAACCGATGAATTCGACTTTGAGTCTTCGTTGGCCGCCTTCTTCGAGCAGGACTGGGTGAAGCATGGCGACCCAGAGCTACTCTTCATAAAGAGAGCGACAAGGATTGGCGACAAATGGAATGGGCACGTTGCATTGCCGGGTGGAAAGCGGGATCCCGAGGATGAGGATGACCAGGTGACTGCTGCGAGAGAGGCGCTGGAGGAGGTCGGTATTGACCTAAGCCCGGAGAATGCCATCGCTGTAGGCAATCTACCCCAGCGCATCGTCACAACCAGCTGGGGAAAAGTACCGTGCGTCTCACATCCAATGATCATTATGGAATAGGCTGGATACATGCCATAAATGTCTTCGCATGCTTCCAAGCTATACAAACCATCCGAGCTAATTGCTAACAGACTTATGGTGTTGTGCCCATACATCTACCTCCTGACTTGCCCTGCCTACCCCCAGCAACGTCTCCAACCTACCGAAGTAGCGTCCTCGCACTGGGTCCCCATTCGTGCCCTCCTATCTCCCACACTACGCACCCACGAATATGCTGACGTCTCGGCGCGTCTTGCAAAGTCCGAATTGGGCATCAAGCGCTGGTTCCTGCAGGCGATGCTGAGTAAGATGATGTTTGCTGCTATACAACTGGTTCCGGCAAACTCGACATATTGCGCCAACATTCCAGACTTCATACCCTTGGACGAGGCACCACGGGGCGTATTGGCTAATATCAGAGATGCATTGGGTGGACCTGAAACAAGGTCCAGAGACAGGAAACCTCCGCTATTGCTTTGGGGCTTGACACTGGGTGTTGTGAGCGACTTGCTGGAGCATATCCCACCTCACAATGCGCTGGAACTTTGGACGTACCCAACCTTTACGAACTGGGATGTCAGATTCATCATGTGGGCCATGTCCTATCGATTCCGCAAGCAGAAGTCACTTGAAATGAGCACAGCAGGGTCAAGCGTTTCGCCCACTTCTTACCAAGACTTTCCAGGGGTAGGAAGCGAAGCACTGGGTTCTTTGGAAGAGGAAAAGCCAGGCGAAGTCGGCATAGCGGGGTTGGGTGTAGGCAGGGGTTGGGGTCAGACAGGAAGGAGTAAGATGATGGCTAGGGGAGCCGCTGTTAACTCGATGCTACAGGGTTATTACCCTTATGTCAGGAAGGCGGTAGCTACAGCGCTCGTTGGTAGGATAGGTGTTGTAGCATTGGTAGCCTTCTTCGCTTGGCGCAAGCTGAAGTCTGATGGACCCCTTTGATCTCATTCCTCTAGCAGATTGTAGTAAACGAAGCATGTAGGGGACAACTTCCTTCTTAAACGGTTCGCTCCGAAATACATCGTTATGTTCTCACCTTGAAAGTTACTTTGAATCGTGATACCATAATAGGTATTGCCCACACCATGGCACTGATCGTTTTCATTTGTGTTGTCGTTCCCGTGCTTATTCTCTGCGTACTCTCAGAAACATTACTTCTCAGAGCCTGGTATCAGAACATCTGATAGAACACTGCAATAGAGTCTAGGAAACGACCTTGTCTGAACCAATCCACCCAGACATACATTGTTACACCGCGTAAGACACACCGAGATGTCTACCTCACATCGCCGAATGTCTCAGACATCGAAGTACCCAACATTGTATATATCTCCACAACTGTCACGTACCTTGGAAATATCATACCAAAAAGATACAAATATCTTCTCGAAACATCACACAGACTGTTCAAACAACCCACACATCGGCAATCCTCAATACAACCACAATGTCCTACCACCCAGACTCAACAACCCGCGACATCTTCATCAGAGAACATATCCCGAGACGAAAAGGTTACCAAGGCATCTGTTCCATCTGCCAGCAGCTCTATTCCCGCCGTCACAAACTTGTTCAGATCTCTGGGCATCCGCAATGCCATTGTTTGTTTGGCAAAAACTGTCTATTGAAGTGGTTGGGGTCAGGTATTGCGGCGAGCAACACATGTCCGGACTGCAAGGCTGTGCTATACAATGCTAATGGCGATGAAGTGAATGTTGAAGAGGGGGAGTCAGGCAGTGAGGATGGCAGCGAGGACGAATTAACTATACCTGCTCGCGGACGGCCTAAGGGTAACCTAGTAAGGCAATTATATCGCCGTCGCAGTCATGCGCCGTCGCCGTCGCCATCTCGCGGCCCAGCTTCTTCAGCTAACGCAACACCATCTCACACATACAACCTCCGTCCCCGCCCCATTCTTCCCCCTCCATCCTCATCAACCCCATCCCCTCTACTACAAACCCACCTTAACCACACCCTCCGCTCATCCCCCTCCACCACCACCCTCCCAGCTTTCCTCCACACCCTCGCCTACGATCTCACAATCACTACCCTCGTAGACGACCTCTGGACCGGAACCTGGGACCTCGTCGCCGAGAGCCGCGAACTAACCCCCGACAACGCAACTAGATCACGCAGCACCACTCGCGCGCAACTCATCATGCTTGTTTTGGATGTTTGGCCGTTTGGGGAAGAGGTGTGGCCGGCGGTGCTGGAGCGTCTTGTGGTGAGGGCGAGGAAGATGATGCAGAAGCATCGGAATGGAGAGGATGGAGGGTTTGATGCGGAGGCTGAGTTGAGGGCGGAGAGGGAGGATGTGAGGTTGGCGGTGGGGTATGGTGTTTAGGTGCTGAGAAGGAGGGGAGCACGGTGGTCAGGACGTTGGTAGTGTGAGTTTGTTAAGTTGTTAGATTTGTCAATGCTATTTGTTTATTAAGTTTGTTAATTTGTTGTTTCATAAATTTTTTAAGTCTATTAATTTGTGAATTGATCACCGTCGAGGGTGTGGTGGAGCGGTTTAGATTCGTGGCAGGAGCAATGAACATCTTTTGTATTTCGTTCTGTAGATCGCATGCACTAACGTGCACGGACAGCTCATGCCCGGAGACACCTCGTGCCCCGCCGAACACCATATCCACCACTTCAAAAGTGAGGCTATTGAGCCACGTACAATAGCTATTATCATGAGATTCTGTAGAGGGGCTGTAATTAGATGCTTGCAATCAACTTGTACTATCTATATTTTTGTGGGAGGTTGACGTTGCGGCCACGTGATGTGACTTTAGCTGGAGTAGCAGATAGCTCATCTCCAGCTTGAACACCAGCGTGAGCAGCGCCAGCGCGTTTTTGACGCTTGTTACTTGGTGAGAGTACTCGTGAGGCTTTACGCTTGCGTTGTTGAGCTTGTTGGATAGATTTTTTCTGGTGTTGAGCTTCAACTTTGCGCGCGCGTTCAGCTGCTTTCTCAGCTCGCTCAACCTCCCTTATCTCTTTGAGCCTCTGCCTCTCCACACGCTTCTCCTCGAGTTCAACTTGACGCTGCAGTCGAGCCTCCTCGCGCTGCTTCTTGGCCCGTGCTTTTTGGAGTTTCTCCTCCGTCTCATCTCGCTCCCGTACTGCTTCTCTAACTCGAGCCTCACGCAACTTGCGAGGAGACCAGAAGACAGCGCTACCGTGATATTCCTGGCGCTGTTGAAGGTCAAGAGCTTTGCCCTTCTTCCTGTGCTTCTTTTTGTGTTGAAGAGCCTCCTTTAAGCCCTCATTCTTATGCTTTAAAAGCTCATTCTAAACAGAGAGATGGTGGACGCTTGAACGCAGCTTTCTTGCCTCATACTGATGGCTATCAGTGACAGCAGCTCGAACTAATCGATCTATCTTTCTCCAATCATGATCAGAGAGCCCTAATGATGAGCTTCTCTCAGCCTCTGGCGTGCTAGCAAATCTACGGAGGATAACGTTGGCATCTATCGGCCAGATCCCAGTAGCTTCGAAGGCCTTCAATATGAGGCTCTCCGTGAAGGAGGATATCCAGGCGCTCCAGAAGAGTGGGAAGAAGTCTCCTTTCTTAATTGGAGCGAGACCTTGAGCCTTATAGAGATGGTTGGTGAGCTCGTTAGAGTAAGCTTGAGAGAGAGTCTTGAACAGCACTAAGTCAAGCGGCTGGAGCGTATGAGTCGAATAGGGGGGAAGGATTATAAGGAGGATCCTGTGGCGATCACAGTAGTCGATAAACTCTATCGTGACATGAGATCCATGGCTATCAAGGATGAGCAATCGTCATCTCCCTGATCGCTGCTTTGTATAGCGATCAAACACCTGCTTAAGCTAAGCTAGGCCTACGTCATCGTTTGACCAGCCTGTTAGAGATGATGAGATAAAGACCTTATACTCTCCTGCCTTAATATCCTCTACCTAACTTAATCGTATAGCTCCTTTCTTAGCTGCGTAGATAAGGCTTGGGGGCAGCGAGCTCCCATCGGCGCAGCAACAGGCCAGGAGTGTCAGAAACTCGCGTGATCCATCCTGGAGAGATGCTCGAACCTCCTTCTTCTCCCATTGACGCCTGCTGAATATTCTCTTGCTTCTGCCTATCAAGCCAATCAAGAAGCCCTTCTCATCCATATTGTATATATCTCGAGCCTCAAGGTGATATTCAGTGATCTTTCGATGCAGTAGCTCGAAGTAGAGACGGTATTTTGACTCAGAATCAGCCAGGTGGCGAACACGATCCATGGCGGTGGTCCACTTTGAGATTATATGGATCTGGTGTCTGGTGATGAAGCGAGAAACCCATCGATCGCTCAGCTGCCGATGGGCTATTTCAGATGAGAAATTCCTAATCATCTCTCTCGTAGGAGGAAGGCCTCTCTCTTTAAGCTTTGTGATATATCGTATAAGCTCTAGCTCTTGTTGTTGGTCGAGAGCTTGTTGATTTAAGTATCCATCCTCCCGAGACGCTGTCACGCCTCTCCACCTTCACCCCAGCGTTGAGCGGTTAACCTGGTATTTCTCAGCAACTTCCCTCAACGTAAAGTGTTCTCCTGGATCACGCGATTTCAAATCTTCAATTGCATCGTCGATAGGTGCCATGGCTGTAGCGTTATAGTCTGTTGAAGTTGTGGTGTTGAGACGCGGCTTGGTGTTCGGCGGGGCACGAGGTGTCTCCGGGCATGAGCTGTCCGTGCACGTTATGTCCAACGTCAAATGCCTACCTAATTCCTTTTCCTTCCTCTCTTTTTCGCAGCCTTGCCCTATAAGCTTTTCTCTCTATCATTTTTTGTTTACTGTGTTGTATCGAAAAGAGTGCGGTAATGATGATTTTTTATCCTCCAGGTCACCAGGTGTGCCCCAAAAACAAAGTCCTGTCACTTCCAAACACCAATGCATCCAGCTACCATCAACCCCGCAGATAAGCACGCGGTCATCGATCAACAACGCGAACAACTCGCATCGGCCCAATCACTCAACTCGGCCATAGCTCCACCAACACCCGTCTCCACATGTGCCTAGGCCCTGCAGCTGCCGGCGGGAATTCCGCCCTGAAACGTCATTGATCGACTTGCAGGAATTGACAATGCCATTGTCCGGAAATTTATATACGGGACGGGTCAGCGCCGCTGCACTCATAACGCATGCTGCTTACCATTTCACCTGAAAACTAATTCAAACTCTACCATCTGTCTCCAAGGCTTACAGCAGGTCACCGGCTTACGAGAAAAAACTTCATGTACGAACACCAGCCCGAAAACATGGCCGACGAGAAGAAAGGGCAGGTTAAGCGTGTTGCTGCCGGAAATGGAATGTGAGCTATGCATGTTGTCGTGGAGAAAAAAGATTTTTGGAACTGACATGTCACGAAGTCTCAATCCCTCGGGCGCCATGGTGATGGGTGCTGCTCCTATGTATCTCGCACTTATACCTTTGACGTGGGTTTGCGGAAATTCTTTTACTCTATATCTACTTAGTCTTTCCTCCTTCGAACACGCATCTACTTGCAGAATGTAAACGGAGGGTTAAGCTCTTGAATCCAAGGCTTAACTTCGACAATTGATATGGAAAGAAACACCGACCTGACAACCACATAGCACATACCTCACCAAACCGGACAGCGTAACGCAATCTCTTGTCCATGCGCTGATCAAGCTTCTCCCTGGTGTCGACGTACGTCATGCTTACCCCCTTGGACCTTTTTTCCCTGTCGGGTTGGTTTCTTTTTCTTTCGGCTGACTGACGATCCCACAGGCTGCGTCAATAACCGGCGGTCGCGCAATCCCAGCGCTCAGCGCCATATATCTCTTTTGGACCTTTGGCGCCTCTGGTGCAATCTCCGTGGCGGGACAAGCCATGAGCCGAAGGGAAGGGTTAGACAATGACCACCCGAGGAAACATGTGCATGCGCTTGAGGGGCTGCCATTGAGGATGAGGAGTGCGCATTATGCGCTTTTGGAGAACTTCCCTGGTATGTTGGCTTGATGTCTCTGATATCCTGCTCTCTTCTTTGTTCGTTATACTGGCTCTTGCTGTAACAGCGCTTTATGAAGTATGAACCTTGGTGGTCTTGCAATTACGAGGTCGAGGTGTCATGTATTATGGGAAAGTGGACTTGCTGACGAAACCGATTGCAGGGTTCGCCTTGGCTGCCGCGCTGGCGCAGGTCCTCGCACCGCAAGACGCGCAGGTGGTCAATTTGTTGGGATTACACGTCATTACGAAGTTGATGATTCACTACCCGGCTTACGTGAGCAACATGGCGGTGCCGAGGTCTGTAGCACATCTTACTGCGACATCAGCCTTGATCAATATTTGCTGGATTTTGGCGGCCGGCAAGTAGGCAATCCGCGTTGTTGTTAGTAGAGGGAGGCGAGGAGTAAAGAATTATGAGGAGAATCAACAGAGGTAAGGAGAGAAGGAACTAAGACAGTGTGGCAAAGTAAATATTAGAGCAGTCAAAGTATAACAAGCGAATATGATTGAGACCTGTGGTCTCAGATATGGAACCGCTTCCTGCCGAATTCAAACAGCTCACAGCGACAAACACACTTGTCGATGCAACGGTAAGGTCACCCACTCCTTCATCTGATCCCAAAAGCGTACCCTCTTTATGACTCTTTCTCCCGAATTTGCAGGTATCTCGCAGGAGTGTTCACCCTCCGCCCCCTCGCACTTGATACATACATGGCGTGACTACCGAGGGATATTTGCTAATTTTTGTTAGTAAGTTTGACTACGATTTTTTGCTACTCCACGTACAGATTGTGACATGAAGAATATAAGTCACGTCTTCTCGTTGCTCGGCAAAAATACAGATTGACGCCGGTTGCCCCCAACCACCATTAACGCTCCCAGCCCCATCAGAAATAGCAGGGTCCGATCGACGTCGGATTGCTGGTTGGGCGGGAACAGCAGGTCTGCCGCGATAGGGACCTACGGCGGGAACATATGGGGCGTTTGTTTGCAGCTCAGCACGAACCCTGAAGTGGCCACGCGCTTGGATTTGGAGAATAGGGTACCCATTTACTGTCGCGGCCCTCCATCGCCAGTCATGACCTGGTGTATTTACTCCAACAGTCCATGGAAGTGTTTCCAAGGACCTTACGTTGGTCTGTATGTTGCGTGTGATGGGGACGTCGATGGGTGGGAGGTGTGCCCCTTCGGGGACGCTGGGGATAGGGAGCGGAAAAGCAGGACAGAAACCGCTTCCCCCGGCTCTTGGGAGAAGTTCGACGTCGACTGGCAGACATTGAACCAGGAGGGCCAAATATATTGGTAAGAGAAGAAAACGATATAGTAAATGCATGGTGTATGTTGAGCCCAGGTAGGCGAGTAACGTGGTTTTGCTCCAAGCAAGCAAGATAGTGGAAGCAAGTGAATGCCCAGGTGTACTTCGATGTCGGTCGCCGCAGGCCATCTTTATAATTCCCTTGCAGATCATCCCTTCGACAAGTGAATCGCTCCTAAACTTAGAATTGGCCGCTCGGTAGTTCTGAGTGTCATCCTTCTCTGATACTTGGCGTCAAAGCGACGCATCTCAAATGAGATGATTGACAAGATGGGACCATAATTTGATGCCACGGCCGCTTTGCATGCTCATTTTGACACATAAACTGTGCAATTAGAGAGAATCACTCATGCCTATCATCACTGTATGTCATTTTAGCCGGCCAAAGAAAGTTCAACTACCTTGGCAGGAGGAGATAATGCTGGTTATATCCATCAACGCTTTACTGGTTTCCCCCATAATCCATCGATGTTCCACAATTATCGATTCCAGTTTGCCCGACGCCAGTGTCGTGAAAACCCGTATTTCTATGGCGTAGGTCCAAGCACATAAGACTACCTAGGTACTGCTGACACAACTCTTGTGGGTCTTATCTTGGCATGGTCACTCGATATCGCAAAGGCGCGAACCCACAGATATACCGTCTCAGGTCGATCAGCACATATCTATAGCTTTCTTTGGTATAGCCTTGTAACGTGCCCGTGCGCAGCGCGCACGGATTCGCAGCGCGCACGCCGAACACCATCTGCTCAATCTCAAGAATGAGGCTGTACAACGCCACACAATAGCTCAATATTGATAAAAACGTGATGTAGCAGTAATTAGATGCTTGCGATCAACTTGTACTATCTATGTTTTTGCGGGAGGCTGACGTTGCGACCACGTAATGTGACTTTAGGTAGAGCAGCAGATGGCCCATCTCGAGCTTGATCACCAGCGTGAGCAGCGCTAGCGCGTTTTTGACGCTTGTTACTTGATAAGGTTACTTGTGAGGCTTTACGCTTGCGTTGTTGAGCTTGTTGGATAGTTTTTTTCTGGTGTTGAGCTTCAACTTTGCGCGCGCGTTCAGCTGCTTTCTCAGCTCGCTCAAGCTCCTTCGCTTCCTTGAGCCTCTGCCTCTCCACACGCCTCTGCTCGAGCTCAACTTGACGCTGCAGCTGAGCCTCCTTACGCTGCTTCTTGGCCTGTGCTTTTTGGAGTTTCTCCTCCGTCTCATCTCGCTCCCGTACTGCTTCTCTAGCTCGAGCCTCACGCAACTTGCGAGGAGACCAGAAGACAGAGCCACCGTGATACTCCTAGCGCTGTTGAAGGTCAAGAGCTTTGCCCTTCTTCTTATGCTTCTTTTTATGTTGAAGAGCCTCTTCTAAACTATCTACTTTATGGTTTAAAGCTCATTCTGAACAGAGAGATGGTGAACGCTTGAGCGTAGCTTTCTTGCCTCATACTGATGGCTATCAGTGACAGCAGCTCGAACTAATCGATCAAGCTTTCTCCAATCATGATCAGAGAGCCCTGATGATGAGCTTCTCTCAGCTTCTGGCGTGCTGGCAAATCTACGGAGGATAACGTTGGCGTCCATTAGCCAGATCCCAGTGGCTTCGAAGGCCTTCAATATGAGACTCTCCGTGAAGGAGGATATCCAGGCGCTCCAGAAGAGTGGGAAAAAGTCCCCTTTCTTGATTAGAGCGAGGCCTTGAGCCTTATAGAGATAGTTAGTGAGCTCGTTGGAGTAGGCCTGAGAGAGTGGCTTGAACAGCACCACATCGAGCGGCTAGAGCGTGTGGGTTGAATGGGGAGGAAGGATTATAAGGAGGATCCTGTGGCGATCACAGTAGTCGATAAACTCCATCGTGACATGAGATCCATGGCCATCAAGGATGAGCAATCGCCATCTCCCTGATCGCTGCTTTGTATAGCGATCAAACACCTGCTTAAGCTAAGCTAGGCCTACGTCATCGTTTGACCAGCCTGTTAGAGATGATGAGATAAAGACCTTATACTCTCCTGCCTTAATATCCTCTACCTAACTTAATCGTATAGCTCCTTTCTTAGCTGCGTAGATAAGGGCTGGAGGCAGCGAGCTCCTATCAGCGCAGCAGCAGGCCAGGACTGTCAGAAACTCGCGTGATCCATCCTGGAGAGATGCTCGAACCTCCTTCTTCTCCCACTGACGCCTGCTGAATATCCTCTTGCTTCTGCCTACTAAGCTAATCAAGAAGCCCTTCTCATCCATATTGTATATATCTCGAGCCTCTAGGTGGTATTGGATGATCTTTCTATGCAGCAGCTCGAAGTAGAGTCTATACTTTGACTCAGAATTAGCCAGGTGGCGCGTACGATCTATGGCGCTGGTCCACTTTGAGATAAGATGGATCTCGTGTCGGTTGATGAAGCGAGTAACCCAGCTCTCGCTGAGCTGCTGATGGGCTACTTCTGATAAGAAATTCCTAATCATCTCCCTTGTAGGGGGTAGGCCTTGCTTGGTAAGCTTAGTGATATACCGTACAAGCTCTAGCTCTTAATGTGGCGCGAGGGATTGTTTGTCGGCTGTATAGTCGGCTCTCGAGCGTGAAACGCCTCGGTGTCTTCGGCTCAACGCACTCCTTGATACGTTGTACTTATCAGCATATTGCTGGTATACAATTTTATCTCCAAGCTCTCGCGATTCGATTGCTGCTAACGCTTTGTCAATAGCTGCCATGCTGGTTGAGTTATGACGCGTTGAAGTTTGTAGGTGTTTCAGTGTTTTGGTGTTCGGCGTGCGCGCTGCGAATCCGTGCGCGCTGCGCACGGGCACGTTAGCACCGACTTCGCCAAGGACTTTTCCCCGAACTTTTATTCCAGGAATACTCAACTTGTCTTTGAAGCATACCATGCGGACATGGTTAACCTGTATCAATATCTAGCCGTTAGCTATGTTTTCCGAAATATTGCAATGCGATTATGATTTTGATAGTTGATTAAGGTTACTATGTTGTTCTGCTTCAGAGTTTTTCCCTTGGTTGTCCCATCCGCTGCTTACGTTGGGGGCCCCACAGCCAACATTACATCATCTCGGCCAAATGAAAAGTTTGCATACGCTATGTATAGATTGATCGACTAGAAGACGATACAGATGGAAAATATCTCAAAAAACGCTTATACAGACCGAGAGAGGTTGCACTGTTACTTCTTCAGTATTTGCCGTTCGAGTCTGCTGGCAGTAGGTGTAGTGCCAGTAACCACAGTCAAGAAAACAAAGTCACAAGAGATTGATAATTCTACTCCAAAGCGTATCGCTTTACGTGCCTGCCTTATCGAAATTTTCTCAACGTAGCCTCTCGATTACTGCCACATTCACACCAACACCCGTCATCTTGCCAAATTCGACGTATCCTACACTCGTGTATGACGGGGATCTGTCTGCATAACTCCCTGTAAGCGCCATTTTTCATGAACCCAATCAGCGAGTCTGTCGATCAGCTTCTAGTACTCAGGCCAAGGGGCTACTAGTTTCAAGATATATCCAAGACATGAGTTGTTAGCATAGTTATCGGAAAGTCTGTGATGAAATGGTAGTATTCTGTGTTGAGGATGGCGCTGAGCTTCATAGAAAACGTGTATCACTATGATGCTACGGTCAGTGTCTCCCACATCTCAGATGTGTTTCAGTGACACAACTCCCGGACTCAAGGGAAAGTGAGGCGATGTCACTGAAGAAACTTGAGTAATTCCGAATACGGTTGCTCGGGACACTTGATCAAAGCTGTTTACATTCGTACCGGTTCTAGCTTTTCTTGTACAAGAACCATATCCAAGTTGACCTTGAAGTTATGTATATAAAGCTTACCTTTGTCCTTCCACTCGAGCCTCATCATCATCTATCCATCGTCTCAGTATAACAGAGTAAACCAAACATTCATCACTATGTTCTTCAACACTGCCCTTTTCTTGGCTGCCCAAGCCATTATGTCTTCCGTAGAGGCCGCCCCCAAAATCGCGAAAGGCAACTGGATGGAGCTTGACTGTTATGTTGCGGGCGTCAAAGTCAGCGGCAATTATACAACCGCCGGCCCACCCCAATTTGACGAAAATGGGAACATTAAGTTCACCTACGACTGGCAGCTCACATGGCAAACCTGCAAGAACACTTATTCATCCACTGTACGACAGACTCCGCAACAATCAATCGATTGACATGATTGATTCCTATATAGGTTAAAGAATTACTTCATTAGGCAGCCTTTAACCTAGATAGGAATCAATCATGCCGATCCGATTGATTGTTGCGGAGTCTGCTGTACGATGATGAACTTCCAAAACTGATTGGACAGGACTAATGCTAATTCCATACAGGCTAGCTACGACAATGCCAAGGGCCGTGTAAGATTGTGCTTACACATTTTCAGACTCCGCAACAATCAATCCAGATTGGTCAGATTGATTGATTTGATTGGTCATTTGGAGTTTTTACCAACTCAATCAACTCAATCTAAGCTTTTCAAAATAGCTAATCAAATCAACTTGCGAAGGTCAGATTGATTGATTTGATTAGTTAGATTGATTTATTATTAACGAGTTGTAAGGCGAGTAGTGTCGTATTAAGAGAAGGTTTTTGGTGTTGAAGATAGTTATCTTGGACCCCTATCTCGCTTAGCTTGTGATCCCTGTCGGCCGGGCAAGCCAGTCTCTATGCATTCACTTCTCACCAGCTAGCTCTCCTCTTATAGGACTAGCTCCTTCTGCTTAGGGGCTAGCCTCTTCTAGGCTTCACCCCGCACCTATATAGCTAGTCCTTCGCTGTTCTTAATACAACAACGATTTCGCTCACTCAGTTCCCTAATAATCCCTTACTACGCTGGCAAATGGGTTGGGTATACCCAGTCTTGGGTTGGGGTTGGGTTGGGGTCGCACAGACCATGGGTTAGGGTTGGGTTGGGGTCGCACAGACCATGGGTTAGGGCTGGGCTGGGGTCGCACAGACCAAGTGGTAGGGTTGGGCTTGGGTTGGGTTGGGTTGGGTTGGGGTTGGGTTATATTTTTTGGGTACTTTAACGGAACAACACTTAATTAAGATAATGTGTACACGTTGATGATATAGTAGATACATAAAACGAGATATATTAACACAGCTAATTATCACGGTAGCGCTGAGGACGCTGGCGCTTTCGAGGTGGCAATTGACGCTCCTCCTGGACCTCTTCCTCCGACTCTTCTTCTGTAGTCTGGTTCTCCTCATCTATATCGAAGGTATGCTCTAACGAGGCTGGAAGCTCAAAAAGATCATTAACCTCGTCAATTGGCTCTCCATCCTCCCCTAATTGAGCAACTAGGTAGTCTAGACCCTGTTCTTCCTCTTGAGATATTGTATCCTTAAGAACCATTATCTGCTGTATTGTCCGGGCAGATAGTCGGTGCCTCCGACTACCAATAACATCCTTAGCAACATTGAAAACTCTTTCAACCCCAACCTGAGCAATTGGTATTGCTAGTATATCCTTCGCCACTTGGGATAGTCTATTAGCAGATGTCTATGATAAACAGCTGTGATAACTTACCAGACTTTTTCTGGGTAAACCGCTTCTCTGAAAGTATATCCCACTCTTTCTCTAGCAGCTTAGCCTGTCTAGCACTATTTGCTAATTTATACTTAGGCTGTTGCAAAAGCGATTTCTTCAGTTGGTACTTCGCGGAGCGGTCGGCTGTTCTAACGCTTTCAAGTACCTTCTCCTCTTTATCGAAAAGAGCTTTGCGTTCACGTTGAGCAATAGCACGGGCGCTACCACTCAGAGAGCCAGTATAGGGGACGCTCAAATTGATAGGTCGGCCTTTTCGTGAACCCCCACTACCTCTTTGATCTAAGATACCGTCAATCTCGTCAGCTTCACACGCAAATCCCTGCTTATATTAGCATAAGCTGTGATAAATGGCTGTGATTATTACATCGGTAAGCTGCTCCCACTCATCTTGTTCGAACCCAGGCGGAGGTTCAAGTTTGATGGCTGGAACTAGGCCTTCAGGTACGTCGCCGACTTGCTCTTTCGCGACAGGCATGGCGGGGACTGTGATAATGCGCTGTTGTAAATGGGGTGTTTTCAATGTAGTAAAGAGAGTTATTAGGTGTTGGGAGTTACTGGGCGTCAGGGGCTGGAGAAATGGGTAGACAGCATTATGCTCACCTAGAAATGGTCCGTGCGCTGCTGCCTGCGCTAGCGCGAAAACGCGGAAATTACCCAAAATGATCAACACATCGATGATTCCTTCATTTTTGGGCTGTACGCATGCGCGAGCTCGGCGTTTATCACAGCAGTTTAACACGTTTGTATGATATGCTCGCTACTGATTTTGCAACAGAAATGGTTGTATGCGATCGTGAAACAGCAAATTACGTCATGCAGTCCGTGCGCTGCTGCCTTTACTAGTGCGGAAATCGGGAAATTGCCGTCGCCCAAACTTTCCAGCTACCTAACTCTTTCAGCCTACTACTTTCTTAATTGTCGACCACATTTATCACAGTAATTAATCACATACGTCGCCTACGTTCATCATCTACTCTACTACGCAATGGCAAGGACAAAACCACGGCCTAAGGTCACCGGTAAAGCCGGCCGGGGTGGTCCTGATGGCAAGACAGTTACTGGCGGCAAGCCGGCTCAGAAGGCCCTTGCTAGTAAGGCTAGACGTCAAGTAGCAGGAAAGTCTACGCGAAAGGCACCTGTAGCTGTTAAGAAGAAGCGCAAGTTTAAGGCCGGCAGTAGGTTATCACAGTCGTTTATCACAGCTATTTTCTAATTTAGCTTAGCTGTCGCATTACGGGAAATCAAGAGATACCAGAGAGGTTTTGAACTACTCTTGCGAAAACTCCCCTTTTCCCGCGTAGTGCGCGAATTTGCACAGGTGCACAAGGCCGATATCCGCTTTCAACGATCTGCAATCGAAGCTCTTCAGGAAGCTACAGAAGCTTTCTTAGTTGGTTATTTTGAGGGTATAGTCTATCTACCCTATACTATTTTTCATTTAATAACTTTTATAGACTGCAACATCAATGCTATTCACGCAAAGAGGGTTACTATTCAAGAGAAGGATTCTCAATTGGCTAGGCGCTACTTTGCGCGCGAGTTACTAGCTTTTCTCTAGATTATAAGATATATCTAGATACACGTGCTTAAATGCTAGCTGGCGAAGCCTCTGTATATTATAAATGAAACTAGTTAATGCTACACTGTGTTAATCTACTGTGATACTATATAAACTTTTCTTTTATTGAAATCTATATTATACATCTTGCAATTTTTTTACTATAACCCAACCCTAACCCATGGTCCGTGCGACCCCAACCCAACCCCAACCCAACCCTAAGCTTGGCGCTGACAAATGGGTTGGGGTTGGGTTGGGGTCGCAAAATTTCTAACCCAACCCCAACCACACCCCGACCCATTTGCCAGCGTATCCCTTACACACAACACTAGTTGCCTAGCTACCTATACAGACATTTTTCTTTAGTGTTTAGTATCGCCCACGATGGCCAAACGCTCTCGAGTTCCCACCAACACTGCTGCCGCCGCCGCCGCCGCCAAACGGGCGCGCCTATCAAGGCCCTCTGTCCTATCTCAGCGATCGCTGTCGCCTCAGGAAACCCTTGGCGCCGCCGTAAGCCAGGCCACAACGTTTGAGTCGCAATTTTTCGAGTCGCAAACAGAGGAGGAGGGTGCGGCTGAGGGCAGCCAGGCTGGTACAGCAGCAACAACAGAGGCTAGTGTTGATACAGAGCCTGATAATGGCGATAACTTTGACGGCATTAACTGGGATCGCCTCCCTCGGTTCATGAAGCCTCTTACAACTGAGCGGCGCGTCAAGAGTTGGATCTTTCAACATGGATATCGCGTTGTTGAGCTCTACGATCAGAATCGAGTGTGGTTTGTATGCAAATACTGCCACATCCACAAGGTCATTGACACTGGCGGCAGTGGAGTTTTTGACGTATCAAAGGCCACCTCCTCAGCTGCAGCTCATCTTGGCCTTCAGAAACGAGGCCATGGCTTTACAAAAGACGGCCTGAAGCCTCGAAGAACAGGGCAGCAACTCTCTCTACGACAGACGCTGGAGACTGGTGTTGCAGTCTCTCAAGAGGCTGCCAACGCGATGGGCAACTTCAACATCCAGCAGTTTCGTGAAGTTGCAGTGTTCTGCCTTCTTGATAACAACTTGCCAATGGAGCTACTTGCAAGGCCGTCCTTTCGCGAGATGATTAGCCTTGCAAACCCAGAGGCAGAGGCAGCTTTGTGGGTAAGTCCTCGCAGTGTAGCTACCTACGCAATGCGCCTCTTCCAATATATGCAGCCACAGATTGTCTGCGCTCTGTCAGAAGCTGCAAGCAAGATCCACATAAGCTTTGATGGTTGGACGACAAAGGGTGGCAAGCGTGGATTCTTTGGAGTCGTTGCACACTTTGCTAACGCCTCTGGAGTGATACAAGATCTCCCCATCGCCCTCCCACATCTCGCAGGCTCTCATACTGGTGATGCTATCGCTGATACAATTAAAAAGACGCTCCAAGAATACAGTATTGGGAGTGATAAACTCGGCTACTTCGTCCTCGACAATGCTGCAAACAACGATACTGCAGTCTCCTCGCTCGCCCACGCGTACGACTTCAACGCTGCTCACCGACGCCTCCGCTGCGGCCCTCACACGCTTAACCTTATTGGCCAGGCAATTATCTTTGGCAGCAATCAAGAGGCGTACAACAACAACAACGACGAGCAGCTCCAAACAGAGGAGGTGTACATGCAGGAGTGGCGTCAAGAAGGGCCCTTAGGTGTACTTATCGACGTTATCAACCATATAAAAACGCCTCAACAACACGAAATTTTCCGAAGCTTCCAAACCGCCGCCAACGCCGAGTTGCCAGCTAGAGAGCGCCTCCACGTACTTGAGCCTGTGAAGCCTGTTGTTACACGCTGGAACTCTTACTACGCTGCCTTCAAACGCGCAACTCAACTCCAGGCAGCATACAACTCTTACGCTGAGCACTACATTAACGCACTCTCCCTTGAAGATCGCCGCGCTTGTCAACGTGGCAATAAACTCCCTGAAGCACCTAGTTGGATGAGATCAACAGGACTTACAGCTGCTGATTGGGCGGTGATAACAGAGTATCAGGACTGCCTAGAGCCGCTTAAGCTTGCTACGGAGAAGCTTGAGGGTCGCGGAAAGGCAGGCAAATACGGCGCTATATATGAGACTATTCCTGTATTTGAATACGTACTTGGCGCGCTCGAAGCCCGTACGCGCTCGTACGAGCAAGTTGACTTCAACCCACCTGATGCGCCTGAAGATCACCTCTTTGTTAACCTCCGCGCCGCCTGGAGTAAGGCCAACGATTACTACAACAAGCTCGATCGATCGCCAGCATACTACGCTGCTACCTGCCTCCATCCATACTACAAATACTACTGCGAGAACAGCTGGGTGGATAAGCCAGAATGGCTAACATCAGCCAACGCTGGCTTCCTGCAGCTCTGGCAGTCGTATAAGCCTCAACGTACACGTCCTCTATCTCAAACAACTGCAAAACCAAGGCATAGAGGAATAGATGATGTGATTGGCGCCCTCGTACGGCGCAACAAGGCTCAGGTAGAGGCTGCCCACGACGATGAGTACGAGCGCTGGAGAACTCAAGAGCCAGAGTGGACAAGCGAACAGTATCTTAGCGATGGCCACCCAGTCAAGTACTGGATTCAATTACGCTCAAAATACCCGTGTTTAAGCCAGTTTGCGATTGATATACTCACGATACCAGCATCTAGTTGCGACTGCGAGAGGCTCTTTAGCGAGCTTGGCGATTTACTTGAGCCGCGCCGGCGAGCTCTTGGCAGCGAGTTACTTGCTGCCCTTCAGCTTGTACGTTCGTGGAGACGAGCTGGCTTTGACGGCTTGTACAACAACGGTGATGATGAAGATAAGTGGAGTGACGTCAAAGATGAGGAGATTGTACAACAGTACGATATAGAAGGCTGGAGTACAACACCATAACCCCCTGTATACTACTTCTTAGCATCAATCAGCCAATCAACCAATCAATCGCAATCAATCTGCTCAAAAACCCTAACAATCAATCCGCAATCAATCAGCAGCGTCGCCGCAAGCTAATCAAACCAATCGACAACCTTAAGATTGATTGATTTGATTGTTGCGGAGTCTGCACATTTTTAAGAAACCTAGCTGACTTTCCTAAGTGTATCGCCAACAGTCCTGATGGTATAGCTATGCCCAACTGGGAGAAAAACTGTATTCAGCAATCCATAAACGGCTGGTACGACGTTGATCCCTCTACCCAACAACTATCAATCACTCAAGAGCCCTACCACGCCGACTATGTTATTGGACACGGAACGGCCTGGACTGGTTGATAGAATAGATGGAGTTCTTGTCACGGGTACTATCCCTTTTCTGTCTACGGGATTCACAAGCGCTGGAGACTTCAGAGTAGACTCCGCAACAATCAATTCAATCCGGTCACTCTCCTAGACCCACTTACCTATCTAGGTAGGGCTTAAACTCCTATAGGTAACTACTAGGCTTAAAGCGGTAATCAATCAATCCAATCTGAACCTTCTAGGACCCACTTAATTGATTGTTGCGGACTGTGGTAAATATCACCAAGAAATTCGTGTTAATCAGGGCTAATGATACACAGTGCAATTATTATACGGATCCTACTTACCGTTGTATCGATCCGTTTGGAGCTCCACGAAAAACGGTTCCTGGTGGAGCAAGTTACGAATACGTTCTCGGAAATGATTGTAGAAATGGAGATCTAGATCCACCAGATAATGAACTCTCAGGCTGGAGGATGTGTGTTAAGGATGGGTCGAGCTGGTAGGATATTGTGTCCGGACAGATGTTGGGCTGCCGCGCCAATTGGGCTACCATTTTCACGACGCTGGGATGGAAAGTACAGTATATGAACGTACTGTCGTGAAGGAACCTCTATTCCTTGGTATACGGTGGACTTATATGGAAGAATAGGCTGGCAGTAGAAAATGTATTGTTGTATGGTTTTCAAGAAACAATTTGCCCCATGCTAACTGCATCAACAGATCCCAGCCACAGCTTGGAAGTGAGGGACACAATCGCGCTTTAAAAAGATATCTGTATTTGCTTGCAGCAAGCTTATGTGGTGGATGAGGGTATACAATAGACAGATCGCGACCTGACGAACCCTCTGATCGTTTTCCAACCAAAGTTCGTTGGTCTAGGTAGGACGGCCAGATTGCTCCGAGATCAGCTTTGCCCTCAACTAATTGGTTGATCCTCATCGAGCTCGTTCCCGAGTACTTCCCGCAGCAGATCCTCGAACATTTTGCGATGTACAGACTCAAGTCGTTTCCAGTCTTCCGCGGAAACCCAGCCGTCAGATGCAGTATTAAGCAAACTCTATGTTTCAGCTGATGAGTAGTTTTGAAAAGCTGATAACTCGCTTGCCAACTATGTTATCCTTTGTGATGAATCGCAATTTCGTCAATTATGTAGAGGAAACGGACACCGCCCTGTGAGCCCTAGTTTTCTCCACAGTCGCAAAGTCTGTATTAGAACCTCGCACGAGGCAACGGCACCATTCTCTCAAGTGCGATACCGGTGGCTGAACGGCCGAAAGGAAGTCTCGTCTAACTCTTTCGCTGCAGAGAGCTTTGGAGAAAATAATTGAAGGCAAACACTGTATGCTTTGGCACAAGCCCTGCTCTTAGGATCTACTTTCGCCTCGTCCCAAGGATCAGAGCTAGGTTGCGCGAAGGCGGGTATCGGATCCCGCATACCAGAACGCAGGCGCAATGCTAGTCAATTGCCAATCTACAATGGCTATTACAATGGTAGGATCTTCTTCTGACATAGAAATGTTCTTCGAATGTAGATTAGGGTGAAACATTGCAGGAATAGCGACATTATGGATCAAAGAGTTCTTGGCCATTTCATTAACAATGCGCGGCCATGATGGAGCAGATTGTTGTATGTGTCGATGAATCCCTGATAACGTGGGACAATATGACACAGATGCGGGTGGTGGGATTCTGGAGATTCTGGTGTCGATGAGTCCGTCACAGTTTCGGCTATGTCCAGCCCTACGAATTATGCTCCATGTTCTTGTCAGGCCTACGCAATGCGAGGTGTACAATATATACTATTCTACCACGATGATCAGGAGTTCACTGATCATACGTACCTTTTTGGTTGCATAGCGTAGTGGGCGTAGACCTATGTTCTGACAGTTCTTCTCATCAGAAGTAAATATAGAGTAACTTACAGAGCCCTCAGCGTGCGAATGTTCGATACCAGGTGAGATGCCCTGCTTGCGATGATGCGACACATGGACCCCATCGGTAGAGCCGACCTCGATAAGACTTGCGTTGACCAAAAACTTCTAGGTTGTTTGCCTGCCACCGGTGCCCGACGCAGTGATGCTTCAAGGTTCGATGGGTGAGCACGCTTCAATAAGAATAGCACCAGATTGTTTGTATGCAGAGGTGATGCCGATAGCATATTCACCTTTCTCTGACACAGCCTTGCACCACTTAAACGAGTAAGACTGCTCTGTTCTCGTTGTTACAATTGGTTGCTGCTGAGCCGGAAACGTCAAGAGCTGCATGGAGAGTACCCGACTACAATTGCATCTACTTCAGCCTCGCAATTAATGCCTAGCAACTGCTTCTTGTCGAAGCGGAAGTACGCAACAGTCTGCGTCCCGACCCGCATCATGTCAGCACGGAAGGTCACCCCAAAGCGCAAGAGAAATGACACCAGGATCAAATACCTCGCATGCTCAATTTGACATCAGGATCGCTCAAAGATTCAGTGAAATACTTCTCGCTATATTGTAGACCATGCATTGTCAATTGGTATCATAGCACCGTTGATCATCTTGGACTCGTCCGAAGAGAGGAACGCAATACCTCGCGCAACGTCGTCGACCCCAATATATGGTACCGGCGTGCCTTCGCTGTCTTTTGAGACATGCAACTGTACAATGGGACTGCTAGGGTGAGCTAAGGTCGCGAATAAATGTTATCGTGAAACACATACAAAAACGAGTTGAAGCCAGCGGAATCGAAGTTTTCCATCTGTGCCGAAGATGCAATGTTTGTCGCAACACTTCCAGGTAACACACCATTGCAGCGAATGCCCTCCTGATGAAACCTCCATGCTACGTTCTTCGTTGCACCAACCTAGAAGCGAGTGAGTAGAAGCTAGCAGTTGAATCTGTCGATACTCACAAGCCCATGCTTACTTGCTGTATATGCTATTCCCGCACTTGCGCCTGTCAACCCTGCCTTGCTGGCCACATTGACAATGACGCCAGCCTTTTGCTGCTTCATAGCCGGTAGAACTGCCTTCATTAAACGGATAGGCACCGTGAGGTTGATCGCCATGACTCTCTCCAACTCTTCATCTTGAATGGTATCCGCGCTGCTCCACCCATCGGTCACGCCCGCGCAATTGACCAACACGTCAATACGACCATGCTTGCCGACGCACTTAGCTACAGCATGCTCGACAGCTTGAGGTTCAGTCAAGTTGGTTTGGTAAAAATGAAAGGTGGAGAAGTCTTCGACAAGTTTTTGTGGCTGCGCGCCCATGTCAATGCCGAAGACCGAAGCGCCCCGTTCGAGAAAGAGACGGGTTGTTGCCAGCCCAATGCCAGAGCTGCAACCCGTAATTATGGCGACCTTACCTTGTATGGAAGATATGGACATTTTGGGCGGGCTGTCTGAAGATATTCGTGATGCCTCAAGCTGTGGATGAGTCGTGCATGCATGATGCAGATGCGCGGGAAAAGCTAGGATGACGTCATCTGTTAGCGCGGCAGGGCCCACCTCCGGCGTAACCCCAAGAACGTCTCCGATTGAGGCTTTACGTATGGCTATCTACATTCTCACGACAAGAACTGTTGAGCAAGACGATGAGCAGTTCACCCAATAGCGTGGTGCGTTAAAAAAGCCGATGTACATCTCATTTGTCGACATTTTAACACACCAATTCCGCTACACGCTCTATTCTCACTCATCGCGTTACAAGCGATATGCCCCCTCATGGCCGTCTGGTATGATTTGAGATGATCGAGAAGCTTAGATCATCGCCTCCATACGGTGAACATCGCTATTCTTAGTCCACTTCCTGATCCTCTTGCCCAAACCAAAGTACAATGGAATACCAAAGAACGCCGGCCCTATCGTGCAGGCAAAGATGACCATAGCAGGAGTAATCCAGCCGTTCTTACTCTCGTGGGCCAAGTCAAACACCCAGTAACTGTACGAGAAAGCAATGGTATTCTTGCACACAGTCGCGACGACCATGATCTCGCCGGAGATGGGCTTGTAGCAGTCGATCGCGTAGGCGATACAAATCGTCGGCACTGTAGTCACGCTCAGTCCACTAAGCCCATAACCCCAGACTACAATATTGCCCCACGCCCATTGTTGTTGGTAGGCAACACTGCCGAGAACGACAGAAAGTATTGTGATGATCATGTAGATCCATAATGCAGGCAGTCGCATCTCCGCTTCACGAATACCTCCATTCTTGCGAGCTGCGCGTGCGGCGACCCAGTCAGAGTAGGGTCCAGCAGTGGCCAAGCCGATAATAGCACCCACTGCGAAGGCGAAGTTGGTATAGCCTACCTGATCTGGCTTGAAGAAATAAGGCGGGGCTGCCAGGACGGGTGACTCAGTGATGTTGAAGAACAACAGCATATCAGCTGGTCCGGCAAGCATCAACCCAGTCCATAAGATGATCGGGTTGAAGAAGATCTTGATTGGAGTCCATGTATCACGCACCACGAAGGCCTTCCACTTGGGATCTGGTCTCTCAAAAGGGTTGAATTGCGCGCGGGATGGGCGACCGTTACTGGGGGTAGGTGTCTCTAGCGAGCTCATCTCAGAATCCCGCGCTGCTGTATGTGTGGTGTGTTTTTCCAGCTGACTCTGTTCGTTGGTGTTGACAATCTCGCTGCCGTCCAGAGTTGTAGTGGTGTTCTGCACTACGGTAGCGCCACGATGAAACTTGGTCTCTGGGAATGTGAGCGCGATCAAGAGGATGGAGAAGGCTGAAAGGGCAGTCTCAAGCCAGAAGAATGACTGCCATCCATGCAGAGCTGCGATGGAACCGGCCATGATGGGCCCCAGGAATGCGCCCATGAAGTATCCCGTGCTATATAGACGTATCAGCCAACTTCCCTTGGGCAGTTTGCAATGGAGAAGACTTACAAGTAAACACCCATCCAAAGCCCTCACTTGTGCAAGAAGAACACATCGGCAATCATTTGTACCGGTATACTCTCACTCGTTGCGCATACTAAGCCATTCACTGCTCTGGCTGCCAATAAGCTCTTTTGGCTAGTTGCCAAGGCTTGCCAGATGCAAGTCAGCGTGATTAGTACTGAGAATACCAGGCTGATAGCGCGGTGCCCAAAGATGTTGGACATCGGTACGATGATGAAGTTTGCGAAGCCAAGGGTGATGACAATGATACCAGTTAGTAGAGCAAGCTGGCTGTCATTGAGATGATATTGTTGCCATTCAGGACTACCCTTCTTGGAATCGGCCCGATGCTTCTTGGCCGAATGTTCTACAACCTTCACTTTCACTCCTTTGCCGTTATGTGCTTACGTATATCTTATGTATATAACCTTGTGTATCTACTCCGTAGGACAATCAACGCAGTTCTCATATGCAGTTGTTGACGTCTTGTCTACTGCGATAGTTATGAGCCCGGATACGTGCTGCTGCACCATTCTTCAATAACTGCTGTTCACTTGTCTTTCCTCAAGCGTATTCTATTGTTTGTTTAATTGTCGAATACCTTGTTGAACGTCTTTTGCTGCCACCGTATTGCTTGTCGCAATGGCTGCAACCGAATCGTCTAGTCTTGTGACTAAGACTACCGTTATTCTTGAGAAACCATCTGATTGGCAAGAATAGCTGTTTCTTAGGCGGGATAAAGCTACTCTTAATAGTATATAGGAGTACTGCAATCCCGACATATCGCAACATAAGCTGAAGAAGCTTATCGAACCTGTGCGACCGACGCCTGCTACTGTAGCAGAAGGAGTAACGCTTCGCTCACAGCTTACTCATGAACAACGACTTAACTACTAGGACCTGCTAGACGCCTAGGAATACGACCAAAAGACCTATCTGCACTAGCAGAAGGCACTAAATGAATTGACATTGGAGATTGCGCAGACAACTACACGAAGCAATCTATATCTACTCGAAGGCAAATTAACGGCCTACGAACGACTAAAGGCTCTTAAGGAGCACCTTTCGCCGAACACTGCAAGACGATCACGCGAGCTTGTAGTCAAGTACAGGGACTTACAAGCAACACGGCGAGGCCAAGCGGTTAAAGGATGGCTGGACGATTGGATTAAGATCACCAACCAGATAAGAACGCTTAATCTACCGGACGTAAATAGTTCTTGGAGCTAGGAAGACTTCCTTATTGCCGTCAAACCACTCGATAACGTATAGGCAACAATGACGCTCACTGATCTCCTTACTAAGGACGAAGCAGGAACACTAGTTCTATCTCTACAAGATTACGTGTCGAAATTTCGAACATTCCACAGTCGTACAAGCCCTAGAGCAGCAGGAATAGGGACATTTTCAGCTACGTTAGGAATAGCTGATACAAACGGAGGTCATAAGCAAAGAAAGCCGAAGTGCTTTTGTGGCGAGTACTATTTGTTTATTAAGTGCAAATATTGCAACCCGAAACTACGAGAAGATAGCTAGCAAGGCGACAAGGACATCTTTGAAGCAAAAGAAAGGGCAAAGAAGCATCCAAAGCTAAAAGACTACATTCTTCGAGCAGAGAAGGGACAAGGACCTTCTAAGAAAAGACCGGAGATGACTAGCTCGAAGAACGGTACTGCATCTTCATTAACTTCGACTCCGACTCCTATTCGCTTTAACGACGATTAACTAGCCACGAGTCCTATTTAGACAAACGCCTTAATACAGACTTTCAATACTGCAACGACTAAAGTACCACACCTTATGAACCGATGGGTGTTAGATCCTGGATCGAACGCACATGTTTGCAACACTAGACAATTTGGCTGGTCCTTTGTAAGGAAAGCTAAACCTAGAGAAGTGATCTATGCTGGTGGCTAGGTTGTTCAGATCGCTGAATGGGGCACTGTTGTACTCAATGTACGAACACTATCTAGCAAGGCACCTATTAAGCTCACTCACGTTGCATTAGTAGAAGGGTTCTTTGCCAATGTTCTTGGTCTATCGCGCTGTCGACCGCTAGGAATCCATTTCGATTCAGGACGCGACTTGCTCTACCAGAACAACCCGAGCAATGTGGTCGCAATGCTGGAGTACAGCAATAGGCACTGGCTTATCGATGCTGAGGAGAATGACCGACCCGAGCTAAGTATGTTATTAACATTTGCTGCTCGGTTTCAGCCTCAAAGAACATCTCAGAAACTAAGACTAGCGATCGTTGCTACGGCCAACGAAGCGCATTAGTTGTGGGGACATGCGAGCAAGTAGGCAATTGATTATCTGCCTGAAAGCGTTACAGGTTTTGAACTTGTTGGAGACAACAAAGCGCCGAAATAGAAGGACTGTGATGTATGTATCTAGTCAAAAATGACGCAACAAATCTCTCGAAGGACCCCTGAAGATACGAATACAACGCCTTTCTATCGCGTTGGCATTAATCTGGTTCAATTACTTCCTCAAGGAGAAGCTTGTTACTAGACTCCGCAACAATCAATTCAATCCGGTCACTCTCCTAGACCCACTTACCTATCTAGGTAGGGCTTAAACTCCTATAGGTAACTACTAGGCTTAAAGCGGTAATCAATCAATCCAATCTGAACCTTCTAGGACCCACTTAATTGATTGTTGCGGACTGTGCTTGTTACAATAGTGACAAGTATGCCTTTCACGCAATCTGTCATTCGATCAAGTGGCATGAAGTCACAACGATTCCAAACCGACAAAAGAGTACTCTAGTGAATGTTATTAAGGCTCTAATTGCAAAGATTCAACGACAATTCGAATACACTGTGGTTGTATTTCGAATCGACAGCGAGCCTGGTTACCGCGAGCTATTGTACGATGTCTGCAAAGAGCTTAGTATCAAAATTAAAGCGCGAGCGGCTGATACTCCTGCGCAAAATCCAAATGCTGAAAGAGCTGGAAGAGTCATAGTTGAACGTGGAAGAGCATTGAGGATCTTATCAGGACTTCCAAAGGAATTAGCAAACGAGCTTATTATCACTACCGCTATGTTGCTTAACGTCACGCTAACAGAGAGCCTCGATTAGGAGACGCCTTACTAAAGAGTGTTTGGTAGAAAACCATCAGTAGCGCATATGGCTCCAATTAGATGTCGTGCTTACGTGCTCGACAGAAAGGTCAAGCGTGGAGACAAGTTTGAATCTCGAACGATGATTGGATATTTGGTTAGTTACGATTCGACAAATATCTTCCGTATCTAGATACCATCTAAGGGACGTGTTATACGAACACGCGATGTGGTCTTTGCACGACAGCACCTCATGAAGAACGACGATAAGCCTGAGAAGCTCTCAGAAGAAGCTGAGCGATTAATTAAGATCTTAGATATACCCACACCTTAAGCGCTTATAGTGTGAGGGACGTCAATAGTTGAGATGACCGTATCTGTATTAAGTACTAAGTGAGATATTGCGTGCAGGTTCGAAGACCTGCGCGGGTCGAACTTTGGTGTTCGGCTGTGGCCTTCGCTTAAGGCGCACGGGCCACCTCGCTTACTAGAGGTCGCGGGTTTGATCCATGACATATAGACATTGAGGACCTTCTGTCTCTATTACAGAAACAGACTTATGAGGAAAACAACTCTTTAACCTAGAATGACCGAAACGATGCTGAAACAGCAACTGAGAAAGATATTTAGTTTAAACTAGGGAATCTAGACAAGGAATTCGATAATTCTGCAACACTAGAATCTACGATTAGGGTTAGACATCCCGATGATAGCCCTACAACACCAGAATTAATGGTTTCCCGTCGACAAAACGTACCAGGCGGTTGGGGAGATTAATACCAAGACTACGTGCCAGACCGATACTAGAACAACGCTCCAAGACGTTTGAATCCAGAGGTTAGCAGTCAAGAGAATGTGATTGAAGGACACCGAAGACGACACCAAGCTAACTACTCTGATCATAATCACCTGAGTACGAATATGACCTACTATAGTACATTTTTGGCCGCAATCAGTCAACCAGAAACGACGAAACTGTTCGGAGAATTACCAAAAGTTCGACTCTATAGAGATCAGCTGCCACCACCTCTAAAACGCTATCGAGACGTTGCTACGCACCCATTTGCCAATGAGTTTCAGAAGGTAATGAATGTCAAATTTAACAACTGTTGGAAGAAAGGTTGCTTTACTTAAACACCTACAACCTTATTAACTGCTAATGCTAAGGTTTTACCCCTAATGTGGGTGTACACATACAAGTTCGATTAAGATGGATACTTGTATAAGTTCAAGGCTCGACTTGTCGTACGCGGAGATCTTCAAGCAGAATAGGGAGACACCTACGCGGCCACGCTGGCTGCCCGAGTCTTTCGAGGATTAATCGCGCTAGCTACTGCGTTCGACCTCTTAATGTTTTAGTACGATGCACTAAACGCGTTTCTAAACGCACGAGTAAACAGAAAGCTTTTCTGTTATACACCTAAAGGCTTTGCAAAACAGTATAGAGAACTACTCCTAATTCTTCGAGCATTATACGGTCTTAAGGAAGCTCCATTGCTTTAGTATGCAGAACTTCAGAAGACCCTAAAGAAGCTGGGGTTAAAAGCAGTTCCTGGAGTTCCTTGCTTATTTGCCAACAACAATCTAATCGTTTTCTTCTACGTTAATAATATCGTCGTCTTAGTATATCCTTCAAAGACAAGTTACAAGGAGGAATTCGAAAAGCGCTTACTACAGATCTACGATCTCCGAATACTTAGCGAATTAAGTTAGTTCCTTAGGATTCGTGTGATACGCGATCGACCTTCGAAGAGCATTTGGTTAATTCAAGACTCCTTTATTAACAAGGTTGCAAGCAAGTTCAACCTAACAAGCGACAAGGGATACCCCGATTTTCTGATAAAGGAGAACGTACTACCACCGTCAACGGAAGAACCAAACTCTAAGCGCACGAAAATCTATCAACAACTAGTTGGATCACTAGCTTACATTGCCACGTTTACACGACCTGATGTCGCACGAGCGCACTCAGTACTAGCCCGACATCTTGCAAACCCTGGCCAAAAGCATTTATACGCAGCAATCTATTGCTGGCGTTATCTTATTGGCAAGAGAAATCTAGCGCTCAAGGCCTCAGGAACTCAAAATAAGAAAGACCTGTTCGTAATCCCCGTAGAGAACGCGGACAAGTATACAGACACGGTTGAACCAATATTTTATGGCGCATCTGATGCTGCCTATGCGGACGAACCTGACACGAGAAGAAGCTCTAAAGGATACTTGTTTAAGCTATACGGCCTGTCTGTTGACTGGAAGGCTGCTATCTAGAAGACTATTACAAAGTCTACAACAGAAGCAGAACTTCTAGCTCTATCCCGAGCTGGCGGAGAAATAAAATGGTGGAACAGGCTGTTCCGCGAAATTCGATTTAATCTAGATATAGTCTCGAAGATCTGGTGCGACAATTAACAGACTATTGGCATAGTTACAAAGGCTGAAGAGAAGCTTCAAACAAAGCTAAAACACGTGGACATTCATCAGCTGTGGCTACGACAAGAGGTAGAGGCTGGAAGAATCTATGTAGACTGGAAGCCGACTGCCTACATGCCCGCCGATGGACTGACAAAGGTACTACCTCGATAGAAGCACGCCCAGTTCATCAAGCAGCTTGGTCTTGAAGACGTCTCAGATCGCTTAATCACCACCATAAAGGACATTAACAACGAGTCTCTCTTAGAGATATATAATTAATTTCAGCTTTCACTATTCATTCAAGCTGGGGGGGTGTGTTGCCATTCAGGACTACCCTTCTTGGAATCGGCCCAATGCTTCTTGGCCGAATGTTCTACAACCTTCACTTTCACTCCTTTGCCGTTATGTGCTTACGTATATCTTATGTATATAACCTTGTGTATCTACTCCGTAGGACAATCAACGCAGTTCTCATATGCAGTTGTTGACGTCTTGTCTACTGCGATAGATATTCCTTGCCCAGCAAGGGAAACATCTGTGCAATCGACAGTTCACCTGTCACAGCAATCCAAGTGAAGAGCCACTGGGAAGCCATGACCATAACTGTGCCATACGTCAATATCATTGAGAGACTACTAGCAGAAGCACTCACATTTCCATTTCCGACCCCAATTCAGAGGGTCACGCGGATCAGAAGAGGGTACTGGAACCAGGGTTTGCTTCGCTGAGGCATCATAGCTGATGATCTCTGTTCCAGGGATCATCTCGACGTTTGCATGATTGAGTGTCATCGTTGGGGTCATTGCAGTGAGATTTGTCGAAAGAGCGCTTCTCGTGGAAACCGACGAGATCAACACATCTTATACGTCCAGCTTATGGTTCTCCAGCCCGGGTGGGATACTAAAGTCATGCGAAATACAGACAGCTCGCTACACTACGAGAAATTTCCGCTAGGTCTGAATCTCATGTGACCAACGCACATCTCGAAGCTCGAATGGAACTCAACAACAAGCCATTTACGGCATCCTCTTTCAAGAGTGGTGTATTTCGAATCGGCCAAGCAAGTAATTTGACGCCATTAGAATAGCCTTTCCAACGCTATTGGTCATCTGCCAGACTTATCCCAATGAGCAGTGGTTTATCAGCATAATCGACTGCTGTTTTTCCGACGGTGTGGTTACTCTATGATGCACAAGAGGTAAGCTGCTGGCGCAGAGATTATTCGGGCCACCAATCGCTCCATGGTGATTACTACCTAATTTACCGTGTCTGCATATGCCGAAATGTGGCTTACCTATGATTGTCTATTGGGGCGGGTCGGAATCGAAGTGCGTATGCCTGGCATGCTCATCGTGAGGACGTGGATATCGGTTTACAATGCGTTCACGATGGGTGGGTCTATTCCCCGGGCATGTTTGCTTTAGGAATTGGCCCTGAATACGAGGCTCAAATCCTCCACCATTGGCATACAAACCCATAGATAGAAGACGCATGGCGTTGATGCGGGGCGCCATCCGCAGAACGGCATCGGACATTGCGGGGAGGCGTGCGGCGCTGACGGAGCCTCACCCAACCGCGCATGCTACCTAGATAGACGAAGCTTGTCATCGCCTTGCGGCGCACCTCTATTGATAGAAGCCTTATCAATCTTACCCACAAATCCTACAGTACATACTATTTGCTATCTCCATGTGCGAGCGTCCTTGTGCGCTTATCATCCGGCAACTGTCCCGGCATGGCATGAGAAGATTGCCTAGGTACCTCGCATACCCACTTGCATGTATGCAAGAATTATACAACATAGTAGAACAATGACAGGCAGTGCTCACTTCTTGATATTTCTGGAAGCTCTCTCGCATGGGATTCGATAGCACATGATTACGAAAACCGACGGGGCTTTCGATCGGCACACAAATTGTGATAATGGGAAAGCATGATCAGCAAAATCACACCAGACGCCTTAGCATTATAAATCCACTTACTTCAATGCTTGGCTCTTTCTTCTACACTGAGTACTCTCAATGATAGAATCTAGCTCACCTCTCTGTCTGGAAGATTTAGCTCAGCATGTTCATGCCGGCGCATTCGTCGTAGGCTTTATCATACAATTCTTCTAACGAAAGTCATTGGCTATGAAGTCTGGTGAAACGAAAAAGACTGGGGAGCGATCGAAGCAAAGTTTGAAAGGAATATTGGCGGGAGATGCGATGTCACGTGACGATACCTTGCCTTTGGACGGCAATTCCACAAGGTTACCGGGAATGACGTCAGAATCTGTATACAGTGACTCCCGAAAGCATCTGCAGCACATGGCAAGAACAGCGGAAACTGTACGCGGAGCACGTGTCTTTCAGTCTCCGATAGGGCCCCACAACAATCAAGACACGGCAATCGCAGCCGGATCCGTACCACAATGAAACCTTGGAACTAATCTCACAAGCCAGCTTTCTCTCTACGACTATGTCATTCTCCAGTCTGTCCGTAAGGGTTTTATCTACGCTTGATGAAAATCTGTATCAGCGCCCAATCAGTAAAACTTATGTCGGGCTTCTGTCGTATCAAACAAGAATTGCTGCGATATATACCCCCATGCTACGATCTACATGAGCAAAAACATTCGGCAGCGATACCATGTTCACAACATGAGATATTGGTGGCTCATCAGTTCTCGGCATCATGTACCCGGACCGTAGCATCCACTCTATCGCTTCCCCATGCCCAGCGAAAGCGAATCTTCGCCACAATCAATACCACGCGACTGCGATGGCCAGCTGTCGATATTACAGTCCCTTGTCAAGCAATATAGTAGAACGTGGAGCTGGCTGCGCTTCGGTAGACTCATTTCATCTGCCGATTCGCCATATAGATTGAACATGTGACAAAAGCAGCCTCTCAGAGCAGACACAAATATTTTGTTAGTTCATGATTATCACAAGATGATAGTGTAGATGTGATTCTAAAGATATCATTGGCAAGAGGTATCGCTCTTCACTTAACGTTTAATATGCGAATACATGAAGAGCGCCAGTGTGGACGAGGTAGTAGTCTCATGGTTGAGCTTAAAAGGTCTTCGCGGCTGCCACTTGTTCTACTGCAACGCCCTCTCCGAAGACTTCCCTATTGAACATCACTATCATGTTCTGGACCACGCTCGCCACAGGCGCACTCTTGACCCAGCATGTCGCTGCGCAAAATATGCTGCGTTTCGCCTGCTCCCAGCTCACCGTCGAACGAGCTGACCCGCTGGTAAACCCCGGACAACGACCCTCTCCCCACACCCACCAAATCATCGGTGGAAACTCCTTCAATCTAACTGTACGTAACCCAAACCTTCCTCACGAACACAACTGACACCCCGAAGATGGACCCCGGTGTCTACGACTTACCCACCCGCTCCACCTGCACAAGCTGCACATACAGCGAAGACTTCAGCAACTACTGGACGGCTTCCCTCTACTTCAAGTCCCCAGAAAATGGCACTTTCCAACGCGTCCCTCAATTCGCAAACGTCGGCCTTCAACAAAACGGTGGCATGACAGTATACTACATGCCGTACTCCGCCAAGAACAACAAAATGACAGCCTTCAAACCTGGGTTCCGCATGCTCGCCGGTGACCCCATGGCCAAAAGTCCCAACCGCGCAAGCATCTGCCACCGCTGCTTGGGAAACGGCGAGGGCTTTGCGCCGTGCGACGCAAAGGATACTGCGGAGCTGCCTAAGAAGTACTGTCCGGGGGGAATCCGCGCGACAATAATCTTCCCATCGTGCTGGGATGGCAAGAATCTCGATAGCCCAGACCACAAGAGCCATGTCAAGTATTCCAACAGTGGGGGGCTTGGATCGCAGAACTGTCCGAGTAGTCATCCCGTGCCTATTCCGCAGGTCATGTATGAAATTATGTGGGATACGGAGCGGTATAAGAATAATGCTTATTACTCAAACAACAAACAGCCATTTGTGTACAGTTTTGGGGATGGGTGAGTCTAGTCTTTCTGTTTACCTCACCGATGAGAAGGTTGCTAATGCGGTTTAGGACTGGCTACGGTCAACATGGCGATTACCTCTTTGGCTGGAAAGACGATTCGCTGCAGAAAGCTATGGATGCGCTTCCTAGTGGTAAATGCGCTAATGCGAATTGCCAAGTTCTGAAGATACAGTCTGCGCAAGACTCGATGAAGTGCAAGAAGGCGCAGCAGGTTGTGGAGGATGTGGGCGTTAGCGGAGACTGGCTCAAGGAGCTACCTGGCGATATGCCTGTCACTTACTAGGTAGGTACTAAGGGGCTGAAGTTGGCTTGATAGATAGCGAATACAGTCGTTGGTCATAGCAAGGCGAACGTGCATCTCGGCACTTGTAAGATGCTGGCGCTGAAACGAAAGAAGTCGAAATAAGCATCTAGTGGCGGCATACAGCCATGTGTATTAATTTACATATATTAGTATGATTTTTGCCGGACAAGCGTGAGAGGTTGCTCCGCAGCAAAAATACACAAGCTCCACTGATACCCTACATATGCTATATAGCGTCCTCGGGCCTTTAATCTGGAAACATTTTTTGCTTGGTACTGAGTGATGCGACATACCGCTACTAGTGCAGGTCACGCATCCTGATATTGCTCCTCCTCATTTCATCGTCGCCAGCACGATTTAACATGTGGTAGAAATCGCATGATGCATTGTACAAGCGTCCATAAGACAGCCAATTGTATATCACACTCGACTCCAGTTCTTCACTCGCGTATGTGAAGCCAGTCACGGGATGAGGTTGTGGCGTGAAACATGTATCACTGTGCTATGTACTGGACCATGAGCGAGGAAGGTGAAGATTTCGATAAGATACACGAAAATGAGTCGCAGCCGCGTAGTTGCTTTCGCGAAGAACTGAGGGATTGGTCGAGAATTTTGCTTGAGCCCAGAGACAGTGTTTTGCAGTAATCACTATTGAGTCTAGGCATTTTCCACATAACCTAGTCGTTTACGTGATATGTAGTGTCGCGGAGTTTATACGACGGGTGTTTTTGACCAAGAAAATATCATGGATCGATCAAATGCTTAACATTATCAAGAGAGATGTCCAATGTATGTGGACCAACTCCGGCAAGCTATAGGTCAGCCAAACACAGCCAAGAAAACACCTCTATTTTGACCCCATCTCACCCCCTAGATATGATCACCAGAAATCCCTGCTCACTTAAACTTCGGTTTTCATGTCAGTACCTTCTCTTTGCATCAATTGGCGTACAACGCTAGGAAGAAACCATACCGTCTAGCAATATTGAGAGCCACTGCAAGCCCAACCCCATCCTTCACCTCCCCAAATACAAGTACCCGTCACGCACTAAGAGAGAAAGACGCTGTCAGATTCTTTTTGAGACTAAAGCATAACAAGATCGATGTGATTTACCTTAACGCCATGGCACTCCTCGCAGTTTTGCTTGTCAAGTTGAGCGTCGGCGACAGGATTGGTAACTGCAGCCGCGTTTACGGCGCCGATGGCGAGAAGAGCAGTAACGAGCGTCTTTGCGAAGAACATTGCTGTAGACTTGTTGAGGGCGAGGTTATCAATTGGAGAAAGCTTGGTGGGTGTCTGAGTGGTTGTACAGGATGTGATGGACGAGTACAACTTGTATAGTGGGGAAACTGTACATATTTATACCGGAGACGCTGCAACAAAGGCAGGGCAGACCAAACACCTCCCTGCCTTCTCCTACAAGGTCATGTACCTACCGGTAGCAAGCTCGGCAATCTGCAAACCCAAATCGGTCGTATTCTTCGGTCGTACTCCAAAAGATGATCCAGGAATATAACACCGTGAGTAACCAGTTGGCTCGGACAACAATATCTGCAATGTACAAGTGGAGGCGCACCCGCTTAGTGCTTTACTAAATCAGGAAGAATGTCTAGGTGATCCATGCCGCAATTTATATGGTGCACCAAGGGGTTCATTCGCCGAACCAATCGAATCGAAGAAGCTCCCCATCTCTTTTGCGTCCACTATTCGCCCAGTTCCGCGCCATTTCACCTTTCCTGGGAAAGAGCCTCAGCCGAGTATAATAGGACGACATGCATAGCCATATATAAGAGGAATAAGAGCGTTATGGTATGGGCCGTGATATACCGGTGTAGCCGTTTTATAGGCCATGTGTCGAGACGCGGTGAGAGCCTTCACTAGTATTCACGGTGAATCAGGCTTCCCGTGCTCTGATTGGCCAGGCACTGATTAGTCAGCTGCTCCGTGCGCGCACCATAGATATTCTCCCTTCTCCCGTAGCTCCAATACAACAAGTTCACGCACGTTTTCTCCACCTTCATCAATACGTCGCTGGCAACGGGCTGGATTTGGGGACGATGATTTTTGCGGAGGCAAGCTATCTGACGAGTATATTGACGACGTATACTAACTACTTAATTAGGAAATTAGTAGCTAAAGATAACAAAAATACACCAAGCTGAATAAGCCGACCAAGCCAACCAAGCCTCCACTCTAAATAAGCCTACTAAGCCAAGCCTCAACACAAAAATGTTCTATTAAGCCAAGCCGGAGCTGTTGGCTTGTTCAGCTTGTTCATTGAGAAGTCTGCTAGGAACGGTGTCGGTGGGACTTCGGTATGAGCGAATTGCAATTCCAGCGTTCTCGCCACCGCCTCTAGGAGATACCAAGGCATGTTAAAAGCGTTTACTATACCTGGGTATCGCGTGCGCCACCCGTCTGCGGCCAGAGAGAACGTACCTAGAGACATTGTCCGAGTCCCTGTTATACACCACTAGGGTTTGACATGACCACAGATATGCATCTGATGTTACTACTACTACTACTACTACTAACACTGCGCCTCGTTTTTTTGCTTCCATCCTATCACCAAGTCACAGCGGACTCGTGAATTGTATTCATGGTTCAAAGACCACAAGGACACTTGTATGAGGTATCTATCACTGCGTTTATTTCAGTCTCAACGAATCTGGAGTTAAGCAAACAGCCTACGCATATGATTTTGCTGTTAGTATAGCGCTACTAGATCTTTTTGTAATTGATTAGTGTCCACAATACAGCGAGAAAAGTGCTGTTTGGCGATGTTACGTGTGTGATGAAATCTGTAATAATTTAGGCATGAAGTTCAGTTCTACAGGGGCGAAGATGTGTAATTCAGAACAGATTCTGGAAGGCAAAACCTATTCATCGTGTAAGGGGCTGCGCAAAGTTTGCCGGTGCCTGGTAACAGGATTGTATTCGATGAAGAAGAAAGCTATCTGCGGTGCAACGACATCTATATACGTTTGGCTTGTTGTTCGCGTAGCTTCTCGAAGCATCTAAAGTGCCGAGGAAGCTCCGAGGGTTCCACCGAGGATCACCATAGCATCCGGGCTCTAGCCCGTTACACATCGTTATCTAACATACCTGGGCACCACAAGCGAATCGACCATTGTAACATGTGGTAGTAGAGAGAGCACTCAAGATGAAAAGTAGTCGTGGATCCGCGATCAGATAGGAGTGGGGCGTAAGGATACTTTGGGCGATAAGCCAATATCGGGTTTTCTCTCTACGATTCTTTACATAAGTATTCTACCTTTGCCTAATTACCCAACGCCGAAGAACCACGTGACTATCGACTACACCACAAGAGATAAGATAGTTGATAAAGCAAATGTTATTCATGAACAGCAGTAAAATAGGTATGTAATATCTGTAGAACTACTGTAGCATGTGTACAATATTGCGTCTTGCAGCTTGTATACCCCAAAGATCCGCAACCCGCCTCTACCTTCCGTCACCAGTTCCAACACCGCCCGGATAAGCCAACGTGCCATATGAAATCGATAGCCACTTTCGGCAACGCTTGCTTGAGTTGATCATTCGCGTGGCATAGGGAATTGGCCAAAACCATGTCGAAGAGCAGTCAACCGATCTGAAGGAACGACGGTTCTTTACTTCGGAGGCGACTGTTTAGCCCTGACTTCATGTCAGCAGCATTCTCCCCAGAGTAGTTACATTTTAGACACAACTTACGCGGCATATAGCCCACTGTGGACAACCGGAGTGTTGCGTATACACCGGATCCGTGTAACATGCTTCTCTCTGGCACTAAAGCGGGAAAACGGTTAGATGATGGCATAGCTAGGTAGTGATTCTAGTAACAACTTACCGAAAACTGACCACAGGGAATGCAGTCTCGCTTGCTAAGCTCACCGGCGTCGAGAGGGTTCGCAATTGCTGCCGCATTCACGGCACCGACTGCGAGCAGCATAGCAAATATGGTTTTGGAGAAGAACATATTTGACAAGTGTGTTGAGATATTTGCCGGTTGTTCGATAGTCGAGTGGCAGTGGCGTGTAGATTGTTGGATTTGAATTTCGTTCTTAAGTTGACGGCGGCCGCGGATCTTATAGAGAACGCGGTGTAAAAGGTGGATACTACAAGTCTCCCATCAATGTCACACGGCAAATACGCAATGCCCAGGATAGAAACGGTCTTGTGTTCGGTCAAACCGTAGATTTAAGAGTATAAGTGGAGACACTGTTGTTTTAGTGCTTACCTCACCCCCCAGATTGGGATCAGAAGTAGATAGTCGGGTTTCATCGTACTGGCAATCACTGCGTACCTTATATACAGTAAGGTAAGATCATCATGAGCAACCCGAAGCCTGGATGTCTTACTTTCCCAGTACACGGCTCAGCTACTGTACTTACGTAAGAACTCCCGATATTCTCTCAATGCCCAGTGTAATGCATTCCGGCCCTAGTGCACACAGCTTTTGTACATAATCCGCACAGTCATATCACTACACGTGTTGCTCCCTCTCTCTATCAAGTGATAATGACAGAGGGTGCGGAAGCTATAACGAAAAGCCGCCCTGCCAAGTCTTAACACGAAGTGACTTGTGGATCGACAGTAGAAAGCCCGATTTAGCAAGTATGGCGATGGCATGAACACTCATGAAGAGCTCGAAGAAACAGATATCTGAGCTCAGAGAGACGCATGTCAAAACTAGAGGGAAAAGGATGACGGGACTTCATCATCTTTATTGCCTGCCATCGTGAACCAGCGTCTACTCATTCACTCACACCACCATGCACTAACCACCGCGATACGGCTCGGGGCTGTGTAAGCCAGCAAGAACATCGGCGTCGCTTCAACGACGAGCATCTGCCAAGGGATCAACACTGTCTTCCTATGCCGTAGGAAAGGGCTAGAAGAGATAGCTACATTCGTCCGGCCCAGAACCTACCTTATCAAACACCCACCTCACCGCTACAACTCCGACACACCCCACCTATACTCCTTAAAATCTTCCACCTCCTGGCCTTACTTCATCTCTTTGGCAGAATATGTCGGTTGTAGAGGCTAAGGCAGGGGGCACGTGTGTATAAGAGGAGGGGATGGGGGAGAAAAGTAGAGATATCGCGGCAATTTGTTTTATGCTTCACTCGTTCACATGTGTGGGGCGGAGATGAACGAGGGCATGGAAGATGTGGGATGAGACAGGTGTGGTATTGTTCTTTAGCTATGTACTTGGCGACGGGACGGGCAAGGTGGGGATGCTGATATGAACAATCTTCTTCTCGTGTGATGAAGAGTGATGGGGTTATCCACCCCGACTAGAACAGATGACAGCGAATGGATTCCCAGCCCTACCATGCATACATCCCCTATTCCCAGTCCCCCAGGCAAACGTAGCAACATGACATCAACCGCCACGGAGCCATCGCATGACGATTCTGTCATGAGTAGGCGACAAACATCTGGAAAAGAAAAAAACATACACATACCAGCGATTTGCGTCCCAAGCATCTAGTTCATCTCCCACCCCTTCCTAAACGTAAGAGTACAAGGGCGGTCGACTATCCAGGCAGCACCACGTGGAGGCGCAAGGGTCCGACTTCTACCGCCCGTCCTCCTCTTGCGATCGCACCCCAGCATTAAACGCCGCGATCCATATTCACCATGACAAGCATTTCTAACCCCGAAAGGTCCCAGCAGCTTGTCCCCGCTGTTGCAGGCATCCACAGCGTCAATGAGCTCTCCCAAAGTACTATGGATGCCAGGCTCCCCCCGGTCAATCAGGGTCCCGGAGGAGATAACTTACAGGCGGGGAGTCAATGTCCCGAAGGACGGTTTTCAAAATAGGTTTCAACAATTCGCCCCGTAAGACGGTTTTTTGCCCCGAAGGGCAGTTGTTTTGCCCCGGAGGGCGGTTTTCCCAACAAATAGGTCAACACAAAAACAGATTCCACTAAAAAGTAGCCAACGACAGAATCCCCAAAGGGATAAGGTTTTTGCCCCGAAAGGCGGTTTTGTTCTTTCCAATCCCGAAGGACCATATGACCCAAAAGGGTGAACACGAAAATAGATCCACGAAATAGGCAACGACGCCCCACCTCGGTGGGGCAAGTTTTGTCTGCATTTCAGCCAGGGACCATAAAGGTCTGTCAGAGAACCCACACGTCCGAAGACGGTGAGCCTCAATATCTGTAGGCCTCTTCCGCGCTGGGATTCTCCGATAGAAGATCCACGGGCGGCGGGGATACGGCAAGAACTGCCGTTCCCTGCAGAACAAGTTTCGAAACATCGAATCGACGGCGCACGCGGGGCTACTGCCACACGGCAAACGAAGGAGGGGATCTAGAAGAGCGGACATTTCCGAAAGATGCAGACGGATCTGAGAGGATCAGGCGTACCCGAAGAGTGCAGGCGTACCTGAAAGAGCGGGCAGACCCAAAAGGGCATGGCACCAAGGTAAAGGAGGCGAAGGTGGGGGGCGAGAGGGTCTGCACAATGGCCAAGACATCGGGGCTGATGTGCGTCCAAGGGTGCCTGTAAGCAAAGTGCCATGGACCTTGCGGTCTATCAGAGACTTCTGACGAAGCTCCATATCGCAGGCTTCTTCCACACACGCCTTCCTGAAAAGGATGACACCGGTGGCGGGGGCACGGCGAACCGTTCCCTGACAGACAGGCTCCTTACGCGAACCATCGTGGGTGAGAAAAGGATACTCTACCTGATACCAGTAAGGGCGGGAGGTAGTCGCATGTTAGGCTCGAGCCGGAACGGGAGACAAGGAGCAAACCAGATTCAATCACCAACCCGGTACCAACAAACCGTAGTTCTGGTGGGCCAAGGGTGAGCCAAAGCTCATGACGGATCAAAGCCACGGTGGGCTGTCGCTTGGGGAAGTTGTCCAGAAGATGCACATGGCATCTCCGGGACAACATCCAATAAACCTCCACGTGCTTGACCTGGGTGTCCCGCAGATCAGACGACCGTGGTTGTCTATTTCAGAGTGGACGGGATGGTTGGAGCTCTTCCAACCCACATCCACTCCGTGAGCGGCGAGCTGTATCCAAAGAACGCCGTGGACCTAGTGGCCTGTCAAGACCTTCCGAAGAAGGCTGAATATCGCAGGCATCTTCCGCACTCATTATCTGAAAAGACAACTCTGGCGGCGGGAATAATCCCTTTGGACAGCGAGCTCTCCGCTCTAGCTAGCACTTGTCCAGTGCAAAACACCAATGAGACTAGCTACCACGGCAGCAGTCCGAAACGTCAACAATCGCCGCCGACGGAGAACATCATCAACTGCAAGGTTTTCATAGCTCCGTCAACCGTTCCTCCTACACCACAACGTATCGCCAAGGACCGAAGGTCTATCGGAGCCACCAGGCTGAGAGCAAAGTGGAACTCCATATCTGTAGGCATCTTCCACCGTTCGCCTGAGAAGGTTACTGAGTAGCGGGATCATGCAAAGCCTGGAGGCAATGAGATTCCCTGTGGTGTTGGGTACTAGTGTTGTCTAGCCTTGAGAACGTCGCTGCCGATGTTCTGCGTATCGGAATCGTGTACACAAAGAGTAAGAGAAGCCTCGACTCCCTACATATTGCACTTCCGGTTGGAAAGAGCGCGACCTCACGCCAGTCAACCAAGGACCATGAGGCCTGTCGGAGCACTAGGCTCCATATCTGTTGGTATCTTCCACAGCTCGACAACCTGATAAGGTGACACTGGTGGCGGGGCTACAACGAGTGCGCCCTGACGTGAGGAGCAAAGACCTCTTTCCAGCTGCGGGGTATACTGCATGAAGGGATGCGGTACTGAACTCATCATTCCACGTCGATGGAAGCTGTCGGCTGGCGAGGATCGGACAGGGTGTGAGAAACGAGTGTGGGAAAAGATCGCAGAATACCGAGTCAAGAAGTGGTTACAGGCGGGGACATGGACGCGGGAGGGTAAGGAAGTTGAGGGTGGATGTGGTGAGAAGGGAGTGTTGTGAGAATCAAAGCTGCAATGTTTTGCAGGGCGAGGTGAACAGCCAACGTGACGAGGGGGGATGCGAGGCTTCGTCAGAGCGCGGCGTCACGTGCCCGTTGCGAGTCGAGTGAAAGGCAACCTTGGAACCGCAGTCTCGTGCTGCGCAGGGTCCTTTGCACCAGTGCTAGACGCCAGTAAACAGCACCACGTACGAAATCATAATAGGAAAATGGGGTATACCAAGCAAGTTTTCTCAAGGACCGGAAAGCCAACCATGGTACTGTCCACATCCGGCAGAGGGGACCCGACCCGCATAGGGCCAGAGACTGTCCCAGGGTGGAGACGAACAGTGACGCTAGACATGAGCAGTGAGCAGATGTAGTCTCTACGACACATCTCAAAGGACGCATTGCCTGGAGCATACATAAACTGTACAGTCTAGAGCACGTTGTCGTGAAGCTGGGTGTGTTCGTCCTCGGGGAGCCGCGACCGGTGTGGAGTACATCATGACTGTTTCGACCTGTTTGTGTCTTGCGTAATTAATTAGGCGGCCGACCAGACAAGCTCAAGCAATGGATCCAGTAAACCCGGTAGCGCAAGTCCGGTGTCGGTCCGCTCGTCCAGGTCTAATCGCTATCTTCTAGTAGCTCAGCAAGCTCCGCCTCTTCTTCAGCAGTCATCACGCCGTCTGTTTTCTCGGGCTCCTTTTCCCTGTCCTTACCGAGACGCTCGTCTTCTGATTCCTGGACTGCCTTGGCAAGCTCCTGCGGCTTCAAGCTCCACTGTCTGACTGTAGCGTCAATGCTCACGCTTACTATACGTTGTCCCAACAGGAGAAGTCCAGTGACTTCTTCAAAGTGGCCACTAAAGGTATGATGCAACTTGCCGCTTGCCCTCTCCCATACACGAACCTCTTCATCTCTGCACGCTGTAATCACCCATCCTCCGTCCTCGTCAACGACAACACCGCGAACAAAGTCGGGATGCTCAAAGCTCGAGTCTTCTTCCCACTCACGGCCTCGTGACAAGCACTTGGCCGTCTTATCGGCTGAAGCTGTCCACAGGTCGCCATCCGAGTCGAACCGTAATGCGTCGATGCTAGTCTCATGAGCGATGATGGGAGACGGCTGTACTTCTGAAGCTGATGAGAGCCCGATAGCCCATTGTCTGATCTCTCGGTCGCTGCCGGCACTGAAGACTGTAGCAGTGTCTTTGCCAGGCTCATAGTCGGCTGGGTCTAGCGCGAGAGCAAGAATGCCCCGCGTGTGTCCCTTGAGAGTATGTAGCTTTGTCGCCGAAGTAACGTCCCAAACAATGATGCTCGCGTCCTGTGAAGCTGACACCAAGATGTCTTTGCCATGAAGGGTGAAGGCAATGATGGCCTTGACGAAATCACCGTGGCCCTGGAAGCGTTTGGCGGGCTTGCGTGAGGAGAGGGACCATGACCACACTGACTTGTCCCAACACGCAGCAAACAGCGTGTCGGACTTGGGAAGAACAGCGACGGATGTGAGTGGCGCCACGGGTCCCGAAAAGGTGGCAACAACCTTACTCGTCTGCAGGACAAGACTGTCAGCAAATGGACAGCTGGCAAGACACGAGGAAGCTGCGAAGCCTGGGGTGAGGAAAGAATGTCTGACCGACTTCAATGTTGATTCGCTTCACGTTGCCTGCAGCTTCGGCTACGTAGACGTGATTCTCATCGTGAGGGTCGGCGATGATGTCGAGCACCTTGGAGGGGAGCTTCAGGGGGCTGCCGTTGGTGTTCTTGGACTTGGCAGCCTTGCGGGCCGTCTCCTCCAGCGACGAGCTACACCATGTCAGCGAGGAAAGAGGAAGATGAAGACAGACTCGTACGTCGTCTGGAAGTAATGTCCTGGGTCGTTGGAACGAGACATGATATATGGAGGGAGAAGCGGTGACGCCTGACTGATGTGGCCGAAGGCGGGCGGGTCAAGGTGGGCATGTGAGCAAAAGGCCCCGCAATTATGACTCCGCGTGCCGCAGATTCGCCGGACCGGTCTCAGCCGAGAGCGATTAGGCGATAGCAACTCTCTAACTGTGACAATGGCAGCTTCATCAAAGGCCAGCTTCATTCAGTGTAGGTTTGCATTCAATGTAGCTAAACTAGAATTTTACTCGACTGTAGCAAAGATGGTATATTAAATGCTCTCATGTATGCTGAATGCCAATACCCGCGCGCCGTAGATCGTTAACAAAAGAAATTTCGTGGAGTCATGTGTCCGAGCAGTGAAGCTCCATCTGTAATGTCATCGTAAAGTTCGTAAATGCTTCGTAAGAGTGAGGCGGCTATCCAAAACACGCCCATCATAACACTCGGGGGGATATCGCAAAAGACATTCCAGGCACCTCATTACTTTTGGTGGACCACGGTCCAACCATACCACATCGGCGTCGCAATCATAAAGTCGTGAGTGTAATCCACATCGTGTACAGGTCATCATGTACAAGGTCGTCAAAAAGCAAATCCACCAGCAGACGCACTGGCAGCGAGGTCGCGTATCGCCCACCTCCAGCCGCCGCGGTGTTCACCACTGTCGCGAAGGCCGCCAACCCAGCCTTCGACTCGTCGTCGCCAAATGGCTTCTTCGTCGCGTTGTCGGCGAATGAAGCCCGGCCCAACATCGAACTCTTCACCAACAAATGTCGGATCCTCGGGGTTGGGCGTACCAGTTCCGCTCATGCCATTGCCGCCAACAACGCTCTCGTTGTCTTTCAGGTCGTCAAGGCCAGCAAACGGGTCTTCGTCTTCATCTACTTCGGAGGGTGGTCCCATATCGTTGTTTATTCGTGGAGCCTTGAGCCACGTCATCTTCACGGGGTCGAAAACCATGCGGCCTTCGTATTTTACATTTCGGGGGACAGAAATCTGAGAAATAAGCGCCGGCCGGGGTGGGGATGGCGCTGGTTGTGGTGCTGGGGGCTGGGCCAATTTTGCTGCACGCGCCGAGAAGCTCCTGTGTGCATTGTTGGCGTGGATCGACGAGAGTGCTACGTGCGAGATTGACTGCGAACGATCATGGCCGCGGCTCATCTGGTTTCCCGGCGGTGCAAAGGTCGGCGTGCTTGCTGTGGTCAAAGCGAGTGTAGTAGTAGAGGTATTAGGGTGTGAGAAGGAAACAAGCGCTTCTTCATTCCCTTCCCAACGCTGAAGATTTGGGTTGTAAATCATCCCTTTCTCATCTACATAATGGTCAGTGGGGGCAGGGAAGTGGTGGTGGAGAGCTGTACTGTGTGTGTAGGGCTGGGTCATCTGCCGAATCAAGTGCGGCTTTTGCCCTGTGCCCTTCTTGCGTTGAGAGGTTGGGCTAGTATGGGGACTACGAGCAGCAACCTGGGCAGCCCAGCTGATAGGTCTTTGTGTAATGGTGCCTTCGCCTCGCGACCGCGTACCTGCCAAGCGCTGCTCACGTGCATTCCTACTTGCCGCGGTGTCTCGAGCAAAGCGAGGGGTGTGATCCATCTTAGGTGGACTGCGCGGTGTCTGGGGCATCGGCGTCGCCATCCTATCGGCCATTGCCATCCGCGAGTTGCTCGACTGCTGTCGCAAGGTCTTGTTGCTGGCCACATTTCGTGGGGCCTTTTCGAACTGCTTCTCCTTGGTTGCAGAAGTAGGTAAATCATCAAACAAATCAAGTTCGTGGCCATCACCGAAGTTCCGCTTGCGCTGGGGCTGCGTTAGCTTCTTCGGGGGCGGGTGACGTGCAAGAGCGGAAGGGGCCAGTTCACGTCTCACCCCTGGACGGGCTGCATTCTCGTTTTGATGGGCAGACGAGCGAGAGTAAGAGCGCATTGACGGTGAGTGCGGTCGGCGGGGGTCAGAATCACGACGGAGATGGACTTGAGAGGAGCTCTTGGCCATGACATGGTGGGATTGAGAAGCGTTGGCACCGGCGGGAAGGAATGGCATGCGCGGCTGCTGGCTCACAGCACTGTTGCGAAGGAGAGGGGCGGACCGTTTTGCGCGAAGAAGCTGTGCACTGGTGGTAGTAGGCATTGTCCTGGTAGGATTGTTGGACGGTGCACCGCTTTCATACACAGGCGTGAGTCTTGTCCGGCTGGCGATGGAGGGTAGTGGCCGGGGTATCCGCGACGTGGTTGGCCTATCGGTAAACGTGATGGTGGTGGCCGGACGAGCGGCGTGCGGCGCAGTGCCCTTTGTTGCAGGCTTCTTCAGGATGATGTGCTTGTTGAGGGTCAGCTTGTGGCTGTCGAGGATCCCGCCTCGTCCCAGCTCGATTCCATTTTCAAAGTCGTCCTCCTCGTCCGCAGGCTTTGACTTTGGTGATACAGCCTTGGGGCTATGAGTTGGCGAGAAGAGTCGTCGGGCAGATGGGGGCGACTTTGGCGACCGTGGAGATCCAGAAGACCTTGGAGATAATGGTGATGTGGGTGACTTGGGCGACCTCGGTAGTCGTGGTGACGTGGGTGGGTCTCCAAGGGGGAAAGAGGTAGGGGGTGGCGCTGAGGTTGGCTGTTCGCGGATCTGGGCAGGAGGAAGGAGTGAGGGCTCTGTGGTGGGTGCTGGTGCAGGCTGAGGTGCAGGCTGAGGTGCAAGTGCTTGTTGTGGTTCGGCTTTCTTGAGCCTCTCTAAGCGTGCGCTAAAGTCCATGGGCTCGGTCGGCAGCACGAGGCCACCAAGGTCGTCCTCCTCACTCTCCATAGTCATGCAGCTACCGAGGCTGGGGCTCATGGCACCGATGGAAGAGCTGCGTGCACCGCGGGTTGCTTGTCGCGTGCCTGCAAAGCGAATGCCCAGTGAACCCTCGCCCCAGTCAAAGTCGTCGTCCTGGTCGTCGGCATCACTACGTGGCACGGGTGGCTTGAGCTTTAGACCTTCGCTCGCGTTGGCAGGTAGCTCGAGGTCATTGCCCCAGTCATCATCAACGGCCATCTTCTTGGACGACCGCTTCTTGCCCAAACGCTTGATGGAACCGCCCAGCAGTGCCGACGGAGGCACGCTCGTCGGAATGGGAATGCCAGCTTGCTTCGCAGCAGTGGTGATGGCCGATGTGTTGGTGGCCCGGTCGTCTGGTGTGATAAGGAATTGCCAGTCATCTTGGGATTCGGATTCGGAGCGCACGCTCATGCGTGATGAAAGCGAATGGACGGTCGAGTTCTTGAACAATAGGCCGTCGGAGCGGTCGTCAAAGTCGCCGTCGTCCCAAGACTCCATGCGGGACGAGTTTGAAGTTAACGAGGCGATACGCGCCGCAAAGGAGCGGTTGGGGGCCGCCATGCTCGAGGTCGAGCGCGGCGCGATATGTCAGTCTGTGTGTGTATGTTGAGTGTTTGCGTGTGCAGGATCTTCGCGTGAGCTGCAAAAGATGGCTGGGTGGTGTGGGCCGCCTTTGGGGTCTCCCGAAGCCTGCAGGGCACAGGCGGCGAAGCAAGCGAGGCGGTCAAGGAAGGCGCGCCCCGTGGCCCGCACGTTTGCTTAGACACGCGTGTCGTGTGTTGATGCTATCACCGACAGCACTTGACGGCCTGTTGACGGTTGACAGCCCCTGTGCAGAAGCAAAACCAGTTGCTCGATGCAGATGGACGACGTGCAGAAGCAACAAAAGGCGGCTCAAGTGTTCGCGCTGCACTTGATTGTCCAAGTAGCTTCCCGGGCACCAGTGTTTATACCTGCTGCACTCGCACTCGTTTTATCCAGGAACCAACGGGCGGGCCACACCAATGAGTGGCGCGCCGAGTGCCTGGCTGTGATTCGCATAGCGCCGCGGGTGCCTGGCACATCAACAAACACTAACCTCCGCATCTGCCTACGCAACCGCAACCGGCCTCGACCACATGGCCCTATAAAATTGCCATTGCTGCCATTGTCGACCCAGACATCCGTTACAGAAGTTACAGTTTCGATAGTTTTTGCCCAGCACATGAAACGCCCAAGAAGCTGTTCCTGGTGCAATCCTCTTAGTCTCACCATATCGACCAGCATTGCTTGCAACACCATCCGGAGATCTGCACCCCCAAACCTTCTGCCCAACCAACAAGGCAAGTTCGCCATATTGCTTATTGCTTGATCCTTGGTGTCGTCCACGCCGCATCAGCAGATACGCAAGCCATGTCTTCCAGCGTAAAGTACCTTGTGCCCGTTGAGCCGGCCAGCGGTCACGGGGAGGTGGTCATTATCCACGTGGAACAGCAAGGCAGTCACCCCCTCGACATCCGCCTGGTCGGCTCCGAGGGCGAAAGCCCATATGTGACATCACGTAAGCCGGTGTTTATATCATGCTTCCCATTCGGAATCTGACGCGGCCCTAGTCCAGCACCGCCATGTCGCAGCCCTAAGGCACAAGTTCAAGGGTAGTGACGACGAATGGGCCGCCATCCTGTCTCATTTCCTGCTCCAGCAACAGCCCGATATCGGCCAGTCCGAATTACTGCAAGGTGTCCGCATGGTGTACCAGCTTAGAAATAAGCAACTTGAAATCTCCTTTCGCCAGCATGTCCAGAATATCAAAGTACGTCACTCATCCATCCATCTGACCCAGCTTTTGTCTGATTAGTACAGGTCACGCTCGGCGAGATCATTCTACCCGAGGACGATGAATTTGAGTTTAATCCGTTTGAATGGGTGCAAACTTCAGCCGTGGCGCACGCTGAAACCCTGCAGCAAATGGCCGTATTGAAAGCCAAAATCAATAGTGAACACGACACCATTGCTAAACTCCACGCCCAGCTGGACGACTTTATCAAGACTAAGAATGAGACGGAAACGGCTATGCTGCAACAGTTCATGACGCTGCTAAATGAAAAGAAGCGGAAAATCAGGGACCAGAGCCGTCTCCTAGCTGGTGTCAAGGTGGATGAAGCTATCGGTGGGTCTCTCCACATTCGAGTCGTCATAAATGCTAAACATGTCATTAGCAGCCGCTGTCCGGCCAACAAGGGAAGTTACCACCAAAGGTCGCAAGGCAGGCGCGTCACGAGCATCCAAACGCAAAGCTCCTGTGCTAGCACCAGAGCCAGATGTGGCGCCAGAGTCAGACAGCGACCAGATGGAAATAGATCAAGTCAAAGTAGAAGAGCAGGACGACAATGAGGCGCCTGAGCCCATGACACCAGAGCAGTCGGACACTGAAACAGAAGTAGAAGACGAAGCCGCACCACATAACAGACGTCGGTCATCTGAGACGCTCAAGTCGAGTTCTGGTGTTGCACAAGGTTCAAAGGGCAAAGCCACCAAAGGCAAAGGCGTACCCCCACCACGGGCGCTGCCGTTTGCCAACCGCATGTCAACAAGGAGCAGCAAAGTCCCAGAACCACAGCCTCAACCGATTGTAGTAGACGATGAAGATGACGACGACGAGACTGAGGATGAGGAATTGTAGTTGGGTGCGTACTCATTTCAAGGTCGTTTGGTAGCTTTGGCTGTGATTTCCCAGCGACGAGCAATTTGGCAAACTAGATAATGGACATGATATATATGTGGCCGCTCTCAATCCATGTGCGATGCACACACAGATGCATGTGACGTTGATGTCATGTACGTCGATCATTCGGGACAGCAGGGACCTCCCGAAGACCCGTCAGTAGGGACCAAGCGATGTATCGCAGACGAATATCACCGAGATGCCATGACCGTGACATTGAATGTAGTGTAGTAGAGAATTGTGCATATAGATGCAAGTCTAAGCAGGAACGAAAGCCTCGTCCGCATGTCCAGTCATGTGGTGAGGTGGAGTGCCGGCCGGAGGCAGAAGCGACCAATCGACGATGGAAAGGCTCCGGGCTGAAGCGCGCGCGCCCGCCAAGCCATGTCCACCTGGACGTCTCGTCGTGAAGTATACAGCTGTCGCAAACACTGGAGCCCTGTATTGCTAGAATCGCCCCCGCAGTCGCCCTATTCCCCATCCTACCGCGTCCGAGCAATGTCCAAATCCAGCCAGCACAACGACCAGAGGTAGCCGCGCTAGTGTGCTTTGGGTGAGTGAGGGTGAGGCTCCGCCATTCACGAGAGCAGTCGTCCGTTTGTATGTATTGTACTGACAGCCCGTGAGCAGTCCGCCATTGCTCCCCTCATATTGTTATTGCGCAATCTCTTTGCCTGTCGACTTCACACCGCGCCCCCGAGCTACTTCGGTCCCCGCTCGAGCGCCTACCTAATGCTCCTCTACTCCCACACGTCGTTGCATTGCACCTATCGTCGCAGGCCCGCGTCCTCCCCACTGCACGCGACCACCACCACTTCCGACACCCCAGCTCACGCGCAATGTCGCGCCCGGACCAGGCTGAACTTGCCGTTGAGACGACGCGGACCTTGAAGCGCAAACACCTCTCTTCAGCCGATCAAGATGACTTGGACGCGCTCGACACCATCTTCAAGCGCATCAAAACCGTGATTCCGCGCGCGCCCTACATTCTCTCCACACCCTCGGTCAACCCTTACCGCTACCACTCCCAGCAACAAGCCAATGCCTGGATGATTGGAAGGTTGTTCAGGCATGACGAGGAGCACTTGCAGTACAGGACCTATTGGTATCGCGAACCATGTCAGGATTGTTTCGAGCTGCAGGCGGGCGAAGAGGAGGAACCGGAACCGGAGCTCCCATGCTCGCAGGCTTTCAATCGGCAGCCCGCAAAGAAGAAGCCAAATTTGTCTGCATTCAAGGTCAAGCCCGCAAACGGCACTAACACGCCCGGTGTCAAGATCAGCTCACCCAGTCTTGCGCCGGCGAAGAACCCGCCGCATCAAGCAAATGAAGTCGCCAAATCCGATACTCCGCCTACGCCTGCTGCAAAAGCCCCAGCCAAGTCACCGAGACCGTAGGTACAGTGCTCCAGCTTCAGTTACATCACTAACCATTGACAGTACCTCTAATGCTATCCGGGACGAGCGTCGCATTGACCAACCCGTGGAGTCGCGACCCAGGGCCTCTACTCAGAAGAGCGAGTCGGTGGGGTCGAAAGTCATAGAGAAGTCCGACCCTTCGAATTCCACACCACATGGCTTGCCCCCGCTTCTGTCGCCCGTACACGAGCCATTGGGTAACCCCTACGGACTACCGAACTTGCTATCTCCCACACTTCCCGCAAATGTGCAGGCCGAGTTGGATAGGTTGGAGGTGCAGCGCAAGCGCGCCGAGTCGGACGCATCTACATCATCATCAGACCCCAAGAGCCAAACATTGGCTGTGCCACCACGTGCATCTCAGAAATCCAACGGCACGCCCAACTCCGAAGGCCGTGTGCGCTCTGGTTCTGTAAACGGCAAATCACCAAATCCCGAACCAGTCAGTCATGCCAAACAAACAGACCCCAGTATGGTAGTTAAGCTGAAATTCTCGAAGACCAAGGCACCAGTTGTAGGCCAAATTCTCCGCTTGCCCTCTAAGCGAGCCAACATGGAGAAGAAGGAGCGCAGTGAGGCACCCAAAGCTGCTCCGGACCCTGTACCCAGGGTTACAGATTTGCCCGTTATCAAGAAGAAGCCTGCCCCCAAGATTTCGGCGCGGCGTGGAGAAGCTACGACACCGGTACCTGCGTCTATACCGAGCACAAGTGTGAAGCCATCTTCGGCAAGCGCAAAGCCGGCCGAGAAACGGACAAGGCCAGAAGAAGACGGCTCGTTGGCGGTCCCTCCTGCTAAGCGTCCAAGGGCAAGTTCCACGCAGGATCGCCCCATCACTCCTGTTCAGAACGCCTTATCGCCAGCAATGTCCACCAAGGGTTCGACACAGAAGAACCAGGCTCAGTACGCGACTCCGAAGAAGGATATCAAGTCCGTGAACATGTTACGCAGTCAATCGTCAGAAAGCAACGACACAACACCTGGAAGATCTGGTGCAACTTCCGCAGGCGGAAAGTTGGAATCCAGGGCGGGGCCTACTTCTGCCCCTCTAAACAGCAAGAAACGGGCCGATATCGCTCTATTAGGACATACGTCAGCAAAGTTGAACCAGATGGGCCGTGCGCTGAAGCATGAAGCGACCAAGATCCTCACTGGTGGTAAGATCACAAAGCAGGAGGAGAAGCGAGCTGCGGTGACCAACCTGGAGTGCATTCTGTAAGATTGTCCTTGTATTCTCGTTTGCATATACTAACAAAGTCAGTGCGTACATGGCGGCATACTTTGCCCAAGACGTCTCGCTGAATCTCCGCGGTCGTGCCGGGGAAGTCGAGCAAACCTGGAAGACGCTGCTGCCACTTTGTCTCTCATATTCTCGCTGTACCAAGGACTTTCAGCATCTTGACGGCCTACGCTGCTACCTCAGCTCAGTCATCGCTTCCGCAATTTGCACCCACGTCTCACAGCGCTCTATCAACCCCAAGTCCCACGACTCGCCCCAGGATGTCAATCACGCCGAAGTCGCTCGACAGCACAATTCGATAGTAGAAAACTTTGCTCTTCTAGCCGATCACACAATCAAGAAGAACCGACATTTCCAGGACGCCACCATTGCCCTGCCCTGGGAAGACCTTCAATCCATGTACAAAAAAACGTATGCCGGCCGCGAAACAAACGTCAAGCTGATCAAGGAACCGGAAAAGGTCAGTGGCGCCAGGATGTCTGGTCCTTACTTTCTGCCTCTCGGCACAGAAACTACGCCTATCCAGGCCGTCAGGTTCGGCCTCAAGTTTCTGAGCGAGTACTGCGAGAGAGAGAAGTTGGACTACCAATTGCGTGTCAACCTCGATAGGCCGGAATAGGGATACCGACGATCAGGGTGATGATGGTTATGATTGGAGAATCTGCGCAGCTAGCTAGCAGCGACAGCCCAGGCGAAACATATTTGGAGGACTGAGTCGACTCTCCCACGTGTCTTGTACCGACATGACATATCTCTACCAAGCAGCCTCTCAACAACAACGAATAAACTACGCCACCGGCGCTCCACACGAAATAGTCATTACAATGACTCTATATATCCATCCGCCACCCACACATACATACATACATACACCCTACCATCCACATACCTCCCTCCTCCCTCCTACCTCTCTCTCCAGCCAAAACTTCGATACAAGGCTGGCAGGCTTGCAGGTTCACATATCCCATTCCATTTCCGTTCCATCTTCATTCCGTGCAAATGCGTTTCAGCGACATCCTCCCTACATACGTCTGTGTATCCATACATACACGACCACCCCATCTTTCTTTCTTTTTTTTCCTTTTTTTGTGTGTGCTATCTATTGACCGAAAAACGGTGATGATGATACCCCCAGATAAGAGAGAATCCAACATACACACAACTTCCTGAATGGGGCTATTGTTGTTGTTGGTATCTTGAACTCTCTTTTTTCTTCTCTTCCATTTTATCATTTGGGATCTTTTGCTGGGAAATGGCTGGAACTGGGGACATGGTGTTGAGGCTGGCTGGCGGGTTTCTTGGTTTGGCTTTTTTAACGGCTGGAATGCGTGTATGATGGGAAAGGCGCTAGAGATGGATTGCAAAAGCTGTGTGTTTGCGGGCGGTCTTTGTCGTTGCGGTTTTCGGATTGAGGTGATTGCGAAAGGCGTAAGCTGGGCGAAGTGAATGCGGTGATGAAAAAGCGATAGAAGATGATGATAGGTCAATTTCCTGAGAAAGAGACAAAGAAGAGTTAAAAAAACTTGATTCTTTTTATTCGTGTTATTCACTTAGCGTGTTGTTTTCGGAACACGTGTACGTGATGTGATATGTGATTGTATGAAACTCGTTCTCGTAGATTCATCTGAGATATACTCCCCAATAACTCACAATTCGTGTGCGCGCGAAGAAAATGGTACCATAGTACAGTCAACCGCATCGGGACGACCCCCAAAACCACCGCTCCTAAACGATAACAAATGATGATAGGGAACAACTTTGATATCGTCACCTAACAGAACTTAGGTAGATTCATCCGGCTGAACGTGTAATTATCCAAACTCTCCACATCCGTAAACGCCTTACCGCAAACTAAACTCCACTCATGATCCTCGCTCATATACGACCTACAACCACTCTACTCCAAAAACACCCTCTCTAACCTCTCCAACAACAAATCCGCATGTCTCCTCTGGAAAATAAGCATCGGCCTCAACCGCACCGCCCTCTCCCCAGACCCACCAATATTAACTCCTTTACCCTTTGCCTTCCTGAGCACCTCATCCCTCCTCCCACTATCAAACGCAATAAACGTGCCCTGGCCCTTGCCCCTGAGGTTCATAATCTCACCGGGAAACCTCTCACTCAAGCGTTCCAAGCCCGCGAACAAATAATCGCCCGTGGCAGCGGTGTTAGCGACAAGATCGAGGCGCTCGATTTCCTGGATGATGCTGCGGAAGAGGATAGCGCGAGCGGGATCACCCATCCAAGTGTTGAATTGACGATACGGTTTGTTAGGGCGGAGGGCGTCGTTTCCGAAATAATATCCGGCGGTTTGCGCTTTCTTGGAAAAGGTGACCATGTCCGGTGGAGTGTCTAGACCCCAGTGTTCATGGGCCCAGAATTTGCCGGTTGCACCGACGCCGGTTTGCACTTCGTCGACGATGAACATTACGTCATGTTTCTTGGTGAGCTGGCGTAGGCCGCGGAAGAAGGTAGGGGTGGCGTGGTTGTCGCCGCCTTCGGATG